TTGACATGAAGATGAAACGGACAAGATGACATCACTTGACAGGCTGCGCTCGGTGTGAAAAACCTTGGCCTTGCAATGGAACGAGCGCTACATGATATCCTCCCACAGCTGTCCGGCTGCCGGCAAACGGCCGAGGGCCCGGACGCTTCTCTCAAGCCTGGCCCAGCCAAGTTGGTCAAATGGATGCAGACATGATCCTGGCTTTCTGACATTGCCATGCCTCACCGGCGCCACCACGGTGAGCCCGGTGAGAGTTGTGCCCACTCGCTTTCAACGTTCCTAAATGCCGGAACCATGCCGGCAGGCTGTAGTGTGTCGGGGAGGTGCTCGCCCAGAAAGAAAAAGCCTGCTTCTAAATGCCAGTGTCGAAATGTCTGACATGTAACCGTGAATGATGGTTCTGCACGCGTCATGGCAAGCATCTTGGTTGTTTAGAGTTTCTCGGATGGAAGAACGAGACAATCGAAAGTAAACTTGTCGAGTGGTTCTCGCCTTGTCGGCCTGTTGCAAATATCTGGTCCGCCGGTCAAGGTCTGCGTAGCTTTCGAGGACTCGCCGAAGATTTGTGTCCACAGCTCAGCTCACACCACAAGTTTATGCAGTGTTCCTGATTGCGTTCAGCGGGATGCATAAGCATGCGATAAACGTCCAAGGTGGTGCGGGCAGAGAATTCTGTGGGCCCTTCAGTGAGCTTCTTACCCTCCACCGACCAAGCTTTAAAAGCCACCCAAAGACCCGCATGTAACCTGCTAGAATGCTTCCACCACGACCGCAAGCGCTGAGCCTGCGTCCTAACCGAAGATCTTCCACAAGTGCCGAGCAGGTGCCAGCCTCGCCTCATCGGAGGACGTGTTCAGAGAGATTCCTCTGCCTTCGACTCCGTTCTCATTGCAGAGTGTCTTGAAGCTTCTAGTCCAATTGAGCTTTATCCGTACCTGCGGGCAGTTTAGTGACGGCTCGGGAAGATCTTCGCAAAGCCAACCGGAGGGCAAACCTCTTTGGAATTCAAGGCTCCTTGAGTCCTTGAGTTGTGAGTCGAATAGCTCGCCACAAATTCGAGCGGGGCTTGAGCGCCAGCACCTGCAGCTCAAAGAATATCCATGAACGAACGGAAGCACAAGGGCATCTGCGACGGGCCAGGCAACAGGTAGAAGGCGAGTGAGGGCTTGGAAGCGCCAGCAACAGGAAAAGCTGCCTTAGCAGACGGCCCTCGTCCTGCGATGGCAGAGTTCGACTCTCAGCGCCTTGGGGGGTGGAAGGGCTACAATGGCTACAGCATGCGACACCCTTGCACGAGCTACAGCTTATGACAAAGCCGTGGCCTGAAGACACACTGCCACTCCTTGCTGTTGAACTGTGGCACGGTTGCAGTGTTGCATTGCTGTTGTCCTCTTGAGGTTATGCAGCTAAGGACTCAAAACCCCCCCCCTGTCGAAGAAGCAACCGAGGCCAGCCCCACCAGCATCAAGAAGTTCTCCTGGATTCTTGGCTTGCAAGAGGAGCCGCAACCACTGGGACGAAATCGATTGTTGTCACGGTGCTGCTGATGTTGTTGTTGATGATGGTAGACTGATGATGCTGCTGCTGATGATGCTCCTGATGATGATGATGATGATGATGATGATGATGATGATGATGATAGGGATTAGGAGCCGGCGTCCCGGAAGCGGCTATTCAAGGCTCGCTGGCGGGAACGGATTGCTCAGAATAACACTGCTCACCATCATACTGAGGTCGCCGCAGCTCTGTGAGTCAGACGACTTTCACCAGCCTCGCATCTCGCGGAGTGGCAGCTCAGGAGCACAGAGGGAGTTGGACGCCTGCGACACATTAAGCGGACTAGCCAAGATTTCTGAGTGGAGTTCCTTTGCGAAATCCAGAGCCGGGGTAATGCTGATGGGCTGCTGCAGCGCAGAGCACTTGCAAGGCTGCTTCACATCATGCTGGGTTATCTTCTGTGCCGAAAATTCGCGCTGTCAGACGAAGATACTGTGTGTCAGGCACATCACTCGCAGCATCTCGCAGCCATGGCTGCAAATGAATTCTTAGCCACACCTGCTTGGTTCGGAAGATGGGGAGTGTGGAAACCGCATCGTCAAAACAGTTGTTGTTCATGGTTTTGACTCGCAGGCGCTCTCAGTGTTGCCACCTCGATCGCGTCAGCGCAGACGCTTCCCTGCCGACAGATTTCAGGCACGCAGACATCTCAAAACCTCGATGACCTCAGTGCCCCCTGACCTAAGAAGCCTTGCCGATATGTTTCATGTGAGTCGTACATATATCATCGGATCGGTCTGGCATGGATGAGTTAGTCAGTTGTGTCGTTGTCTTGCTCCAAAACCTGCCTGGCATCGTCATTGCATCGAAATGCGTGCTGCTGCTAGGATTACCGTTCTCTTCCTGAGTCCTGGTTGCTCTGAAGGGTTGTTTGAAGGAGAAACGCTGCAAAAGGGCACTATAGCCACCAGTATAGGTCGTTCCAACGTCTGTATCCGTACCATACCTACGAATTCCTACCATATCAGTCTTCTCTGCTCGGATTCGTCAAGCTATCCGTTTGGTGAGGCAGCTTGGAGGAGGCGGAGACACGCCTGCCGGGACCCCGGAAAGGTTGGGCTCCAGGGCCCTCCCTTAATCAAGCAGCTGTCGGTTTTCTGATGGCTTCGCCTGGCTGCGTGCGGGGAGTTTCGGACTTGTGTGTGGTAGTAGTTTTGACCTGATTGGATTATAGGATCCTTAAGGGAGGGTGGTTCAAGGGGGGAGGGTATCAGGAATCCTTAGGGGACTGTAAGGGAACCTTAGGGAGTACTAGGGAGAATTAGGGATCACTTGGCTATATAACCCCTTGGACCCCCCTCCCTTAAGGATACTACAATTGGAGATCCAGGCGACGATCCAGAACTTCTTCATCCTTCGTGGATCACGCAGCGCACTCATGAATGATCCACTGAGGCTGAGCAATTCCCCATGCCTTGTTGGATAAGTTGGAGAGGTTCACCTTAACACACCCCTGAGTTTTCCAAGCTGTTTGACATGATCGTGGCTTGTGACGTTCACGCCCTCCAGGCGAAGACTGTTTGCATGGGTGGGCTTCGACAGGACGAGTCCGGGCGCATTGTCAGATCTGAAGTGCTTTCAGCATTGGATGGTTGGTCTTCGAGTTCCGAGCGCAAGCATGTGAAAAGATGCTGCGGTTCACTTTTGCCGTAATGCTCGCAGTGATTAAGAACTTTCAGGCCAGCAGAGCAATGCTAAGAAAAGTGGAAAGAAAGGGAGCGTAGTGGCACTCAAGAATGCCGCAGAGTGATGTTGAGAAGGCTGAGAATCGGCTACGAACGACGATGTTCGGATAGGAAGAAGACGACATAATCTTGCTTCTGTCCAGGCTTCTCTTCAGATCTGTGATATCTGCAAGGAGACATAATTCCGGCTTGTGGTTGCTGAGATGGCTCGTTGAGGGCTTCTTGCGGCCTTTGCAGCTCGCAGGGCGCCAGCAGAGCTTCCCATCTCGGACGCGGACGCTACGCCTCAGAAGGCTCTTGCTCAGATGTGAGTTCATGAGGAGCGGTGGGTGCAACATGAATCTGAAGTGATACTTCTTGCGACTCTGAACCAGGTCACTCGGTGAGGCCCTGAGCACATGGGCAAGCCGGGAGGTGGTCGCTGGAAGGCTTCGGAGGGCGGGGGCTTCCGAGGGTTGGAGGCAGCCGCTGAATGCTGGAAGGAAAAGGCGAGGTGAGGCTCGCTCTGAAGCCCAAGGTCCCATCATTGCTGACTGGCGCGGCAACCCGCAGCCGGTCGAAGACGCACTGAGCTTCATCGAGCTTTCTTTATCCCAGAGCTTCTGCAGTCGACAGTTAATATTACAAACTGGAGCGCAGTACCTGACATCGACATAAAGAGCCGATGGATCAAATGCTTGATGAAGCTTCTCCACGGCGTGCAGATGCGGAAGCAGACGCGAGTCCTAGCTTGTGGTTTTACGGGCGAAAGCGGAAACTGCAAGTAGGTGGACTGCTGCTGCTGCAGCTGCCGATCCTCCTCCTCCTCATCCTCCTCCTCATCCTCATCCTGCTCTGTTGCACCTACCTCGCTACTTGCCTACCTGTCCTCTGTCCTACCTACGCAGCCTGCTTACCTACCTACAACTACATCTACAGCTGCCTACAACTGCAACTGAGACAACCGCTCTTGTTATGTCTGTCAAGCTAGCGGTAAATTAAGCGGAACTTGAGGAAGCTTTGCAAACCTCTGATCACAGATCAGCAGTAGTCCCTGCAACGAAGCCGCAAGTTGTACGCCATCTCCGGCATCACCTCCCGACCCTCAATACAACAGAACATGCAGCTTATGCGCCTGCATCCTGCCTCGACCCGCATTTTTGGTGCATTTTGGTGCGCCGCAATCCTTGCTTTTCCGGACGGCATGTTGAGATGCATGGATGAATCATGATTTGAAGACGAGTTGAGACATCTGTTCTAGGCTACAACATTGGGACTCCGCATTAGGGTTGTGAAAGGGTTCAATGAAGACGACCCATATACTGGCCCAGCACCAATGGAAAGTCGCCAAATGCCTTCAGCTTCTTCTCACTCTGGTTGCAGAGCCAGAAAGCATCGTGGACTTGAGGACATGCGTTTGGACTTTTCCAACTAGTTACGTGTAAAACTGCATCTCTACCGTTGATGTCATTGACTGCCGTTCCCGCCCCCTGGCCTCGCGGCATGGAGATTCTGAGATGCACATGTCAGCATGAACGGAGGTATTTGGAGAGTTTCACAGCGTGCTTAAGCCAGTGCTTGAGTGGCCATAAGACTGCAGGTGCGAGAGTGGCCGTAAGATTGCCCCAGAGTGCAGGACCTGCTGGTTGTCCGTGTGCATTCTGACAGGTCTTGTGACCGGGCGAAGGAGAGGCTTAACAATTGAGACCACGGTGGTGGTGATGGTGATGGTGATGATAACGCAGGTAGGGATCCACTTCCAGCTTCCAGGGATGCCACGGATGCCACTGTGTCTGCAGTTTCGTTTATGATGCTTGGTGGCTGATCTCGGAATCTCGAAGGGAGGCGCTTGCAGCTACTCGTGAAGAAGCGGCAGCTGCGTTTGTATGGGTAAAGGCTTGCTTGTTTGTGGTCGTGGTGACAGGCCCTTGCCGGAAGCTTTCGAACTTCGGGCGGCGAGACTACATCTGTTTACTACAGTGCATTGACTAGGCAAGAGCTTGCCATCCGGACTTCGTTCCCTGTCTTTGAAAATGACAAGCTTTTCAGGTCCACCTTTGCCCGAGATCAAAGGGTCCTTGCCATCCCGAAACCGAGCACCCAGTGAGTCACCTGATGCAGTCGTGTCAGATTGACCATCGTAGGCTGAACATGCGACTCTTGCCAGAACCAATCCGAGGTAATCATGCAACGCAAGACAAGAGTACCACAGATGTTGACAAATCTCGCCGCCACCTCATAGTTGGCTCCTGACATGTGGACGTAACAACAAGACGATTACACACAGTAGGGGTGTGCACATGGGCCCGTGATAGGTTGGATTCATACAGCATTTAGATGATGACAGCTCTCGGAGATGCGAGTTCGACAAGGCCCAGTTGGTGCGGCAGGGGACATACCGACCTGGACTGCCCTCGGATCCGCTTGGATTCACCTGGATTCGCCGGCATCTGGGACGACCGAAGTCTTTCCCGGACTGCAGGAAGCTAAAAGTCCAAAAGCCCGAGACTCCAAATTCACCTGCTTTTTTGAACACAGCGGTCTGTCCCTTCAATTTCAAAGCGCCAAACAGAAAGACGGTGAGCATCGCACAATGGCCAAGCATTGACTTGAATCCATTGTTCGGAGAGACCGCTGAAGCGACCTGCTAAAGACTGGCGTCTTCGCCTGCCCGACTCGTCAGCAAGCAGCACTGCCTTGCGTTTGCTTTCTTATTTGTCAACTCAGCTGTCATAACGGACTAAATCAGAAAGTTTGTTCGAAAGGGAGAATCCTACCGCCCTCCTACAGACATATCCCCCCGAATACAGCCAGAGCAGTGTCCGAAGTCCTGCCCGACAGCCCCAATGTCCTTCACAGTCACGAATCAAAGGCGCCAACGGCCTGAGCAGAGCTTGATTTTCCTGACCCTTACCTCCAAACGAAGCGAGAGCAAACTCAAGGTGTACCTCGAGCAGTGGCTCTGCGCCTAAAGGATGCCTGCTCGTTGAAAAGACTCCATGCTTGATGCAGTCGCCTTCAGGGCCACAAGTTCAGCTTTGCTTGCAGATGCATCGAAGTTGTGGTTCCATCATGATGAAATAAAACCACAGGGGGGTGGGGGGGGGGCTTGCAAGTCGAACTGCCGTGGTTTGCCGGCACATGGCTGCTCGGTCTCTCGTCAACGAAGCCATTTCGGTCCCGGCTTGAGATGCCGACGTTTCTCATGATGTAGAATGCAGAAGAGCGAGAGTACTGTAGCCACGCTGACATCACAGCTGCCGGGCCGAAGGTGTCATATTTCCAAGAAGAAGTGTTGAACGTGTGCGATTACACACGAGCTTGCTCGTATGTCGCCCGATCTAAAAGCACAGCTCAACACTAGATCGTTTGGTTTCATGTCGTGCATGATGCAGAGTTTCGTTTGCTGCATCTCATACAGTGTATATCCGTCAAACATAATTGCGCTTTCATGAGTGTTAGTCAAACTCAGCAGATTGGAATGCGCTGCAGATTTTAGATCAGTTGACATGGGAACCGAGCATGTGTACAAAACGCTCGGGTTTAGTGCGAATTCGGAGTGGTGGGGCTTTTGTGATGTGTGTACATTGCATGTCTTATGTATTATGGCCGTGCTAGATGCGTTTTCGGGCACTGGTCCATATTGACGACGACTACGTGTTGGTGTGCTTATGCACGCATATGATATGCATCTCGAGACGGTGAGTATCTGCTTGCAGGCAGGTATAGTGGGTATAGTAGGTCTGGTGGTCTGGTATGATATGGGACGGCATGGCAACGCACGGCACAGTAAAATAGGGAATGGTACGGTAGAGTATGGTGTGTCATGGTAAGTCTCTGTGCGTGCGTGTGTGTGTGTGTGTGTGTGTGTGTGTGTGTGTGTGTGTGTGTGTGTGTGTGTGAGTGTACACCCTGATTCTAAGCTACGGGTTCTGGTGATTGTTGACTTTTCACAGTTTCAGAGGCAGGGGCCTCTGGTGGGAGCCTGACTGGGACCAGAGCCAACGAAGACGCCCAGTTAGTGCTTGTGAAGCAAGGATGGACACATCCTTGTGTAGCTGTTTTCAGGCTAAGCCGAGAACCTGCCCATTTTCGTGAAGCTGCTTCGCTTGAGGTAGTTTCATCGTCTTCAAGATCTTCCCCAGAAAGTGTGAGTGGTGGTGTCAACCTATACTCTGTGCGTGTGTGTGTGTGTGTGCGCGTGTGTGTGCGTGTGTGCGCGTGTGCGTGTGCGAGTGTGCGTGTGTGTGTGTGTGTGTGTGTGTCTATGCACTTGTGCAGCAATGCATACAGGCATGCAATGCATGCATGCATGCATGCATCTACGTATGTATGTGCGTATGCATGCATGTCGCTAGCTTGCTCGCTAGGAAGGCAAGTAGGTAAAGCTACATATCCAGGTATGTACATGTACAACAGCACAGATGTTGAAGTTAGATGTTCAGGCATACACATAACATGGCATCAGGCAACACGCGCTCGTGCAGACATCTCTCGAGCCTTCATGTCCTTGAAGCCCAACTTTGCACTGCACGGGGGTCATAGACTTGCCCACATTGCCTGCGGCCCTTGTCCATGGCCCTCCCGGCAAGGAGAGCGGACGAGGTATGCATAGCTGGCCGATTTTGAGACAGGAGGCAACTCTAGGATTTGGTATGGACCAGCGGCCCAGTGGTCCACTCGGGGAAAGTCTCCCGCCCAGTACTTTCGGAGGCAGTACGTGCTTTTTACTGGGTTCACTGAGCCATCTACAGATGCTTTGTAATGTATTCGGAGAATCCGTAGCCGAGCTTGTTGATGATGCTGCTGGAGACTTGTCGGAGGGCACGGTGGATGTTGCGAGTCTAGGCAATTAAGACTTGCCGAACCCATGCGTACAGGATCAATTCTGCACTTCGAATAACTGATCCGAGCATTTCAGGACGACGGGCTTGTAGCTTTGATGCCAGCACGGCACTACATGACTAACTACAGATGGTTATGTTTCAGGTCTATGGAGGTGCTGCTGCAGGCTATGCCGGGTCTGACCCTCAGCTGAGCCACCACTGAGTCCTTTCCGTAGCTTCAGCTGCAGGTTCGGGTGGTTGTCCGGAGCTGCTAATGCAGCATCTAGCAGAATTTTCGGCACATTTAGTGAACAAGCAGCAGGACCGGAACAGAACATGACCAACCTTGAGTTTTCGGCAGAAGCTAGCTGGCCGCTGGAGGCCTTACCTCGATGGCCCCTTCCGCACCTTTGGTGGCTGCCAGGCCAGGCGACTGGGGATGCAAGTAGCTTCTGCTGGCCAAATTCTACCATAGGCTACCCAAATCTCGACCTCAATCGGATGATCTTCTGATTCGGTGAAGCCCGAGAGCACTCGTTTGAAGAAGCTTGCAAGTTGTCTTTCCACTTTGCAGTTTCTGAAACCGTGAGCTCCATGCACTGGGTCATCACTACGTTTTTGGTCCCTGATCCACCCAACTCTGAGGATGAGAAATTGGACATCGGCTGCTCTTACTGTAGTCTGTCAAGCTCGGCATCTTAGTCTTCTCTCGAGATATGTAAAAATCGATGTCTTCTATCATCCCTTCCTCCTGCACTGGCTGCTGTATTTGCTGCAATCTGCTCCGTCATGCTGTGTGAGAGGTTCCCTCTTGCGTGGCATACATGCCCTCTTTTAAGACCTCAGTCAGTAGAAAAACATCCTGTGGAGGCAATGTCGGGCCGCACCTGCCCGAAGTGCGGGAGCAATGTACCTCCGGACTCCCGCTTCTGCTGGAACTGCGGCTTCAAACTGTCAGATGCCGCGTGCCCGAGAGTACATGATGGTAACCTATCTCCACAGCTACACTGCTAGGTTTTGCTGCAATCTGGGAGTTTCGTGTTAGAAGGCATGTAACCTCACCGTCACCGGGACATGGGGGACCAAGGCCAGGAATCGTGATCTCGACCAGCATGCAAATTCGAAGCCCCTGTGTACCTCCCAGCCCCTACCTCGCCTTTGGGAATCTCACATGCCGCATGCCTGCACAAGAATGTGACCACAGTGCCCTGCTCCGCCCAAGACCCCTGGTCACGAAGCAGCGCTGCAGACCGGTGCCTCGCCAGGCCCGAGTTGCTTTCACCGCACCCTCCTCCCGTTTGAGGGATGCATGGCAAACGGAGTCGAAAAGCAAGGAGATCTGAATTCACCCAATGGGTTCCTTCGTTTGTTTTTCGTTCGTTCGTTTGTTCGTTGGTGGTCGTGTTTATTTGCATGTGTGCTTGTTTGTGCGTGCGTGTGTGTGTGTGTGTGTGCGTTTGTGGAAATGTTGTTTGTTTGCTGGCTTGCTTGTTTGTGTTTTGTTTAGCTACAGTAGTTCGTTTGCTTTTTCGTTTGTTTGCTTGGTTGCTTGCTTGCTTTCCTGCTTCGTTGTTTCTTTATGTTTTTGTTCTTGTGTGTATATAGCCAGCTATGCATCAAGCCTGTTGCCTAGTTACATAGAGGCATGATAGCTTGCCGATGTTTCTTGTGACTTTTCTGATATGGAAGAGCCCAAAAAACCATGCTTTGCCCGCTTCAACGTCCTACTCATTAGGTCCGTTATCAGATCCCCAAGTCCCCGAGCTCTGAAGCGCTGTCCATTGTCCACTTTGGCCGCCGTCCGCCGTTGCAGATGCCTTTCCGCCTCTTAATGGCTTCTCTCCCTACACGTCGCCGGCCCCGCCGCGCGAGTCTTGATCGACTTCATAGGACGGGAATGTGCATCTGCGCGTCTGATGACTCGTTTGCCTAGATGCAGTTTTAGGCCATTGCATGCCGCAGTGGGTACCTCCCGTGGGAGTGACCTCCTGATACAGGTAGGTGCTGTGGTTGACTTGTTGCATGTCAGCTCTTCCCTGGTTCTAGGCATGAAGTGTTCGCATGTGCATGACGATGCGTGCTCCTTGGACTTTCTATCAAAATCTGCCGAGGCTGCCAATGACGAAGCCGTTGTCCGAAAGCAGGATTTTGGCAGGCCTGACTTCAACCACAGTTCGTGTATTGATTGGAATTTCTCAGACTTTCCTCTTCCTCTTGGCTCCTCTGACCTCTTTGTAAATTGGACACGAACGAAGCCACTGCTTCGACAGCCTGGGAGTCAATTTAGGCTTTGCGATTTGAGGCTTTACTGTGACCGGCCAACTGCCACAGCATGGAAGTACAACTGCTTGTTACTCCAAGCGGAATTGGCCTTAGTGCAATGCCTGTGCAGGTCAGGCATCGGCAAGTCTGCCTGCAGAGTTGGAGGCCGTCTCAAAGAGTTCCATGGGCTTCATAAGACTTGGTAAATTTGGCATGTTGTTCTTGTGTTGTTTACGTTTCCCAGTGAGTCAGGAATTGATCTTGCGATGTCAGTGCTTTAGATACTTCATTGGTCGAAGCAACAACCATAGCAATAGAACCATAACAGTAGTCGCACTCCGATGTGGCAGAAATACAGATTGGCATGGAGCAGGTCCTTGCTAACCGCACGAGCAGCTTCGAAGTCGAGTGCTTTCGTTCAACATTTCTCGAAGCTTATGCTTTTGCTCTTGTTGGGCATCAGCATGCTTCGGTTTGCATCTTTCTCAGTGCCCAAACGAGAGTTCTATTGACACCTTATCGTGACCTCGGACTATGCTGGCAGCTTTCTGCTGGGTTCCATTGCGACAGAGTGTGTTCCGCACAGCGAAGAGGATGCAATGAGAGCTTCTGTCTATCCAGAGGCCGTGTCGGACGCATGCAGAGGCAGGGAAAGTTGGGAGGGACACGTTGGCTAGACATAAGGCGGTGTTCTGTTCGTGCAGAGCGCAGAATGTCTCGCGTAGCTTGCGGACGCCCAGCAGTGACAGATTCATGTTCGGGGCTTAGGCCCTTGGTAAGCTGAGTTTGCTATTGCAGACTCGATCAGTGCGGTATCCTAGTGCCGAGTCAGTGCAGAAACACAGGCGAAGCACACCTGTGCCGCAGCAAATCGTTCGCTCATCCTGCAGTCTCACTCCTGGAACTTGGGATAGAGGCTGCTAAGCAGTGCGCACCAATTCATAAAAGCAACAGAAGAAAGAGAGGTGGCCGAAGCCTTTTGCCACTTGCCGTCGTCGGAGATGTGACAGGAGATGGCCATCGCCCCAGCTCCGGTTTGAGAAATCGAGTTCGAGAATTGTTGGGATTGAATATGAATCGTAGTTGCAGTCGCCGAAGGCACTACTTACACCACTTACTACTACTGATTTACTACTGCCGCTGCAGCTGGCACCACCACCACCACCACCACCACCACCACCACCACCACCACCACCACCACCACCACCACCACCACCACCACCACCACCACCACCACCACCACCACCACCACCACCACCACCACCACCGCCACGACACGACTAGTACGACATGTAGTAGCAGTAATCGTCGTCGTCGACGATGGAAACAACGGCAAAGCATAGCAAAGCAGTAGTAGCTCCAATTGTCAGCAGCCAGAGTCTAGAACTATGTCTGTCAGCACCGGAGCCTTTCAAGAGATAGTTTTGCATCGGCGGGCCAGCTTGACTTGGGTTACCACTGAAGTGGTCACGGTCGTGACCCAGCCTAGCCAGGTTCGTGCTTGGATCCGGGATGTCACTTGTAGTTTCGAGTTCAGGTAAGGCAGACGCGCTCTACCCTGTCGATGCCGATCGCAATGGAGTTCCTGACGTTCTGGAGGAGATTCTTCCTGCTGTCGAATCTGTCGAAGCTAGAGAGCGACTGTTGACATGCTGCAGCCGAGGGTACCCTAAACATCCCTTGAGACATGAGATTCGTAGTGTATGTGCCTTGCGATAGCTGAATGCGATAGCCGATAGCCGGATTGAGTACTAGACAGTCACGGCAAATTTTGCGAATGGGAGAGCAGGCGTCGTGATAGCCTCACCACGCGGCTAGCAGCGGCAATGTAATCATCTAAAAACCGTTGTCATCGTCGTCATTGCCATTGCCGTTGGCATCAGGATAGTCGTCATCGCCGTCACTACCATCACGATCCTCCTCCTCCTCCTCCTCCTCCTCCTCCTCCTCCTCCTCTTCGTCCTCCTCCTCGTCCTCGTCCTCCTCCTCCTCCTCCTCCTCCTCCTCCTCCTCATCATCATCATCATTATCACCGCCACCAGCATCAGCATCAGCATCATCACCATCCTCATCATCAACATCATCATCATCTTCATCCCCACACTCATAGATAGTGATGACAGCATATGTAGCTTACTTTCGATCAACCGTACCAAGAAACATCACTGCATCGTCTCATAATGTCGACAACCACGCATGCTCTTGATTATGCTGTGCTGTTGCTGTTTCTATTGCTGCTTCTACAGGCAGCAGCCGCTGATGCTCCTGCTCTTGCCACTATTCAGCTGCTACAGACCTCACATGGTTGCAGCAACACCGACAACGACAGAACAAGTTACTCTGCTCTGCGTGTTATTCTTTTCGGGCTGTTCAGAGAGGAGATGCGAAGGCCCCTTGGTTCCCAAAACATGCCAGGCCGGAGTGCTTGGCACTGTGCAGTAACAGATGTATCCTGGATTCTTTTGGATCCGGTTTCCAACATCCGTCCAGAGGGTCCGTGCTGGGCTTATCAGCGACATACTATTTTGCTTGGACTATCTACGCGTGCATAGGTGGGGGAACATGGCGCAGCAGGGCAATGAAGGACTTCATGGAATCGAACACGAGACTCTCATACTCTGAAAGCCATGAGTATTCCCACGATGTAACTTATCTGAGCTATAATGCGTGTTTTATGACGTTGCTATTGCTTTCCGATCTCTGTTTACAGTAGACTTAGCAAGAAGTTGAAGCATCACCAGTCCCTGCAAAAAAGGGCAGATAACATGTTTAATCCGGTTTGCGCGTTCCAACTTGTTGGCTTCTCGCTGTTTGCTATTCCACCTAACTGCCAAGTTACTGCAGTCACAGCCAGTGGATATATAGCCATGACTGGTGACTTACGAAGATAGTAGAGTTTTCGAGGGTAGCAGTGATGGTGGTGGTGGCGATGATGATGATGACGATATTGACGGTGATGGTGATGTTGAGGATGAAATGATGATGGCGATTCTGTTGCTCTTCTTGGGGGTGATGGAGAATGCACTGATGATGGGGCGCAGGATGCTGACAAGAATGAAGACGACCATCACGATGACGACGATGTAGAGGCGAACAGTGGTATGAATGATGTGCGCGGTGATGGTGGTGATGGTGATGGCCATGATGATGATGTAGCGCAGGATTGTACGGGTGATCTGTATGATAATGACGACGATGACGAAGACAGGGTGAACACGAAGGCAGGTAGCGACTGTGATGCAGAGGATGGCCTGTTGACAATCGTAGTGGTGAATGCCGTTGTTGTGGCTGATAGCGCGCAGGTCCACTGCACTTCACATGCGAGAGTTCATCTGCCCGGCGCCAGGCAGCCTGCTTCCCGAGTCTTTCACAATTCCCCAGCGTCCGCTGGAGGCCGTCCTCAAGCGGCAGGTTTAGCCCCGGCGCTCGTAGAATCTTGCAGTCGGCGGGCTTGCATCCTCCTGTCCATCTTCACATTTGCTTTCTACCTCGCTCCTCTCTCTCGCTCCAGGTGTGCATGGTGAACGTGTGCAGGTGTCTGTCTGTATGTTGAACCTAAACTTGATTTCCTTGCATGCATGCATGGGTACGTACACGTAGACGCTCATAGACATCCATCGACCCAAGAGTAGGCAGACAGGCATACTGCGCAGAAAGAGACAGAGAGAGAGAGAGAGAGAGAGAGAGAGAGAGAGAGAGAGAGAGAGAGAGAGAGAAGAGTCGTGTCCAGCACTAACCCAATGCCCGCATGCGCGCGCGCGGAGGGGTGTGACAGCTGTCCCTCTGGGAGAAGTCGACCTGGACTCGCCACTGGCGGACGGAAGGAAGGAGGAAGGAACAGTGAGTCGGGCGCCCCCCAACGGGGGGACTCGCCCGTCAGCCTGCTCTCTCAGGTGATGAGAAAGAAAAGCAAGAAGGAGGAAGAGAACGAGAAAGAGAATCTCCATTCAAAGTCCGCTTGGAGAGAGAGATAGAGAGAGAGAGAGAGAGAGAGAGAGAGAGAGATGGAGTTGATTCCTTTGCTAATGGCAGATCCTGTGAAACCCCGGGTCAGTGCAGTTTAACGCGGATGGAAACGGTTGTTCCATTCAATTTGAGATGCGAGCCTTGCCAATGGCTTCAGGCGTGTATGTCCCTTCGTAGCGAGATTTGATTGTTTTCCATGTATTCATGTCGCCTATTGCCCGCTGTGGGCTGGGCATGCCGCATAGTACTTCTGAGTATGGTGCTTCCGACAGCCAGCACACGGCGTCCAACGCAGCAGCTCGCTTCCGAAAGCTTGTTGCAAGATGCTTTGGTCGAGCAAAGTGTCGAGCCATCCAAGTTTGCGTACGCGTGGTACCTTGCCGACGATGACGAAGACATCGCTTGTGCAATTCTGGTTTCCGCTTCCATTGTTAAAGAAAGTGCGACCCGACACACGGCAGATCTCGTGGTAGTCTACAACACTGACATACCTGGAAAAGAGCGTTTTCGTAGGATGGGGATCAAAATGGTCCAGGTGTCAGCAGCTGCTGCGAAAGGTGAGTCACAATGGAAAGAATCCTTCCTGAAACTCAGGGTGGCAGAGCTCTTTCAATATGAGCGCGTGATTTATTTTGATGCTGATGCCTTCCCGCTGGGAAGCTTGGACAACTTGTTTGACATTGCTCAGTTCCCTGTTGAGCTAGCTGCACCTCGGGCATATTGGCTGCAGCAGCCATTTGTCCAAAGTGGTGGGCCGATGGTGCTCGATCCTCGCAAGCTTTTTTTCGATCGGGATTTCTCAGTGCCAATGAACAAGTCTGTGGGAATGCTGGACAGCGAGATGGATTGGGTGAACAGCCACTTTCGTGACAAAGCCGATGTGCTTGATGGCTTCTATGCCTTGCTCATTGGAGAATGGTGTGCTACCGATGGCATCTATCAATATTGGCAGAAGTATTTCCAGAAAAGCTCTGAGTGGGTCATGCAGAATGCAGTCATGGTCCATTTTATCGCTGACTGGAAACCTTGGCGCATCACTTCAGCATCTGGGCTTCATGACAAATGCTCCGAGGCACAACCAGAGCTGCTTAAAGTTTATCAGAGATGGTGGGATGCAAAGGCCAGGGTTTGCATCTAGGCAAGACCAGCTGCAAGTTGGCGTCCAGGAGTTGCATGCCCAAGGCAGCTACATCGCGAAGCTGTGAAAAGTGACCATGGCAAGGTAGTGGAACCCACTTCCCACATCAAGACACGCACTTCAAGGGCTTGGGACACGGTCCTAAGGTCTTGCTAGCACACTTCCCAAGCTGGAATTGTAAGCTTGTCACTGAAGTTTGAAGTGCCGAACTTTAGAGACGGGGGTGCAAGGACATTATGACAGTTCGAACTTCCATCAGGCGGATTTTGAGCCAGCCATCGATGCACTCCCTTCGCTTCGTCACGTAGGTGTCACATCCTGGGTCAGCTTATGGTGTCGTTGAGGAAAGGCCCTAGACAGGGGGCTCGAGTCTTGAAATAAAGCTTAAGTCAGAAGCTTGATCCCTCGGCGAAGCGAGCGGAAGTGTGTGTGCGCATGTATATGTGTGTGTGTGTGTGTGTCCGCGTTGAACTACCTCTTCTGGACGCTGTTGCCAGCATGTCGTCCGGGTTTAACACCGTTGAGATCCTGGCGGCCAGCAGGAGCTTGTGTCTGCAGCCTGCCGAACCCAGAAGCCTAGCCAGAAGAGTGGGGCGACCCTCTGCAGGCCGATGCGTTCCGACCGGTCGGCAGCTCGATTCGGTAGTGCCTGAGAAGTTCAGTCTAGGCCTGGGCTGTAGCTTGACGGTCAGGGTTTCGAGTCTGATTTGTTGTCGAGGCCAGTCTTTGGGCGCTTAGGTCTGCAGTCACCCAAGAAGCCGTTGTCACCGCAGCTTTCTTCAAAGTTGCTGCATGGGAGCTTGGATCGAAACACATGGACGTTTCTCAGTGCAGAGGTGTCAGCTAATCTGTTCAGCCAGCATCATTCCGACTGCAACTCACGTTCGCAGTACGCACTGCTGGTTTCCTACCGGTCTTCGTTGTTTGCTTCAGATTCGTGTATCGATACCCATGGCTGCTGATGGCCACGAGTGCACAGCAGAGGTGGTAGAGGCCGCGTGAAAGCAAGCTGTGTTTCAATGCCCTTTCTCATCACTTCCTCTGAACTGAGATCCGCCGAGCCTTCAATGCTTGTATTGTAGCGTGGAGAAGCTGCAGCCGCTTGTCGAGAAATGATCTTCCACCACAGACTGCCTCCCGAACCCTTGATGTCCTTGGCAGGAGCCGCAGAAGCCAGGGCATTCTTGTCCTTTGGCTCGCAGTTTCCGACACTGCGAGGCTCTGCGAGTACTCATTGGAGCCTCTCGGGCTGCACGAGGAAGTGTCAGTGTCCAGCGAATTCTGCAGGGTGGCGGGCAAACATGAGCTTGCTGGGCCAACTTTGACGAAGAAGCATTTTGGGTCTTCGACATCTTGCGGCAATGGGGCCGACTCAGGTTCTCGTCGGCCTGGCGGTTGGCCTCGTGCTCTCCTTGGCGCTGTGGCAGAATTTCAAGAAGAAACAAGCGTCTCAGAACATCAGCCTTTGGCCGATAGATTGCGGGGCGGTTCCGCATATATGCGCATGGATAGAAACAGCACCTACTAGTACAAAGATGTGATTAAAGGTTCACCTGTTGGCAGCAGGATTTATGACACCACACCGGATGCATGTACAAACCTGAGCCGAAGCGACACAGGCCTGTTCTCTGTTTTTCTACAAAGATCTCCACGCGCACGCCACAAACACGGCTGGCGGATACAAGTGAACCCTGAAATCCCGAAGAGCCGAAGAACCGGTGAGTGGAAGCTTTCCAACACCGCGATGCACGTGGCAAGCCCCTGCTGGAGTTCGACGTGCTTGAAGGGCAGAGACCCGCTCCAAAGACCCTATCACCGAGAACATTAACATTCATTGCTGCGCTGACGCTTTCGTTTTGAGCTCTTGTCCGTTCTGAGTGAAGGCTGCCAACCTGCCAGCAGAGTCGGAGATCCTTCAAATCCTGGCCTTCCCTGGGAAGCTATGGCTGAAAGCCTTGAAATGTGCTTCCTGGCGCGATTGGCTCCACCAAATCTACACCAAGGTTCAAGACATGGCATGAGATGGCATCATGCTCAGAAGAAGGGATACTGCAATGCACAGTCAGCTCCAAAACACCGAGACACTTAGCACCGTGACAAGTCGATCAACAGGTGGACAAAGCAAGTGTGGACACATGCACATGTCGGTATGCAAATGTATGGGCATATGTGTTTGTATTTGTACAGCACATGCACATCTACAATCTACATGTACGTATAGGTGTAGATGCATAATATGTACATGTAAATGCACATTTAATTTTTCTGTATATGGATATGTGCATGAATATGTACATGTGCATGTATGTACAGGCTTGGGTGCTTGGACTGCTCTAGAAGTAGCAATTCTTGTGATGATGGCGTACCACACAGCACGGTATCATGTGCAAGATTGATAAATGCATCACCTGTCAAAGAATCAACGCCTGTCGGTATCTCGTCAGTTGACATTGACGTCGCATCAATCGTTTCACCATCGATTTCTTGTCAGCCTGTCCAATAATATAGCATGCATTGAATCTGCCTTTCCCATGAAATCTCCGCTTCCATGATGCATGTTGCACGCAAACGCGAAGGCTCTGATGCACCGGGATGTGCCAGGTAGGCCTAAATAGTCAAAACTCCAGCAGCGACTTGCTACAGATGCTGGAACCCTCCTGAGGTGGTGCTGCCCATGATCTTTTGCGGCATGGTTCATTCCATGGCCGCTGGTCTTTCAAGGCTAGATTACACAAAGATGTGCGTGAAATTCGGCCGGTTCTGACATGGGAATCTCGATTCCGATTAGTTTTTTACATGGCCGACTAAGGCCAGAGAGCAAGACTACAACTTGCCTGAGGTTTAAACTGCCCAGCCCGACCAAGCGACGTCGCAGCCGTCACAGCATGGCAAACATTCGCTTCCCGAGTCTTGTCGCGCTGGTGTTTTCCAAGCCACTGCTCATGCGGACGTTTCAATCCTTAGATTGCCCGGCATCTTGCCTGCCGCGTCTCATCCCTTAGTGGGGCTACCGGCTTTGTCCGGCTTTCTAGCATGGATCTTGGAAAGGGTGCTGCGGCCTTGGTTCATTTGTCCTGATGGCTGCCGCATCCCAGGTCATGATGCGAGAACTTCCAGCCGCACGCAGTGCTGCTATCTGGGTTATTGGGCTCTACACCACCACCACCGCAGCCGGGATTGAATATCCGACCTGGGACAGCTGACCGCTTGTTTGTATCACCTCAGACGCGAAAGTCGGGTGGCGGTCTTCGGACAAGCTCAGCTGAGTGACTGTTTCTCGATAGATCTGCGAGCTACACATACTTGTAATTGGAAGTGGATTTGACTACCGTCATCGGTCGTTCTCACGGCAACCCTCTGTCAGCGAGCAGTCCGCTCCAACTTGTCCAAGTTCCCAATCATGCTCACGCCCAGGTTGTGGCAGCTACGGAGGTGGGTCAGGGGATCGGGGAAGCACATACGCCGTCACGCAGCCAGCAGGACCCCTTGGCTTCCGAAGCCGAGAGAATGCGCAGCTGCATCGATCGTAAGATACCCGGTCCGGTGGGTGGCCACACAAAGCCATGCCTCAAGGCTCTTAGCTGTGTGTCGCAGCGAAGCCCCCATGCTTTGCCAGGCAGCAGAGTTGTCCACCGGCTCGATATGCAACAAGCTTGGAGCAATACATGGTAGAATTTCTGCTTTTTGGGTTTACCGGCCGTCAAGACTTTTGCTACGGCGGCAATGAGTCGAAGTGCTGTGCTTTGGGCATGGTTTCCACGGCCCACGGTACTCGGTTGGTTCATCTGGTTCAGTCCCGTAGAACAGATTCTGTGTGTCAGCTGTCCGTGAATCCCCAAAGTTGCAGCTTTGGGAGGGCGTTGCCATCTCTTGGACGCTGCTGCGAACCTCCTTGAAACCTGTGGAGGCGGCCCTGGCCAAGGCTGGAGAGAGCTTGCTGTCATTCATTAGCTAAGTAGGAAGTCCGACACTATACGCCCGTGCGTGCAAGCTAGGATCTTGCATCTTTGTTGACGCTTCCATGCGTCGCCCTCCTTGACGCTCAGGGTGTTTGTTCGCTGCCTGACCGTTGGACTGGGCAAGATCCCTCACGCAGTTTGAGATGCCCACTTCACTGCGAGAGCTTGGGGAATTGCGTGTGCGTGTGTTTGTGGTCCTAGCCCCTGCACCTATGGCGGGAGCGTGGATGAATCTACCATGTTCAACCATTCTCACCGACACGACTCTCTCACCTGACAGTGACACGACCAGGAGACTGGGCTAGAGAAGATGTCCATGCTGGACACAGTTCTTAACATCTTCGACCAGCTGGTTCCGAAAAATGTTGCTCCTTGGGTCTGAGCTTCAGAGCACGCTCTCGTCTCTAGGGCTGTCGTCTAGTGCCACTGCAGTATCATGGTCTGACATGGCATGAAGCCATGCCTCCGAATCGTATAACATTTGATCGAATCCTGCACGAAAGCCAACTGGGTGTCCAACTTCCAGATCATGCACAGTTTCTGGTCGCATAAGAACCGACGACCTCTCGTTCCTTATACCGGACAAAAATGCTGGGCGATATGCCTGTGCCTTGCAACCTTGAGAGAATCACTTCGGTGTAACTGATTAGGTGAAGGACGCGGCACAGAACCACCTTATCTCGGTCATCCTCATGGCGACCCGGCAGAATCGGGCAGTCATGTCGTAATTTTGTTCATTCGATTCGGCGTTGCACTTTCGCTGCTGATTGCAATCTTCCAAAAGCAGATGTATCTCAAGAAGCAGAGCCAAGGCAATCATCGTCGGCATCCTCCTCCGTGTAAAGCGCGATGATGGCCGCAGGTGTTCGGGAGATTCCAATTTGTGACTAGCGCTTCGGACTTCAAACGACATCGACGTTTTCGCATAACAGGAGAACAATTTGTAAGCTCTAGTTTGGTTTCAGCCCTCGAGCATCGGATGTGGGCTTTGTCTTCCAGATTGAGGGTCCGAACGCGAAGAGCTTGTGCAAAGTTTAGAAGAATACTCACATATTGCCCGGGCGCCATCCTCAGTCGTTCAAGGGCTCGCTGTGCTTGGCTTCGTCAGTCGGTCTTGCTTGAATGCTGTTGGGGTGAGCAGGAGCATTTTTCTTGACCTGCTGGACGAGATCAACGAGGCACATTTATTGCACATCATGTGATGCCTGTGATGTTGCCGTGATGGGTGTCTCCCCATTTGGAACTCCTACTGGTAACTTCTCTAGACCTGGACCTCCGGGTCGAAGGCTCCAGTAGGAGTCAGCAATTTAAAGTTTAATGCTTATGGTCTAGATCTTGAACGAGACTGAAGCCTTTACTACGTGGTACAGATAGTAGGTAGTCGGCAATAGCAGCAGTGGACGTGGTGGTGGTAGTAGTATTATCAGTAGCAGTCAGTAGCAGTAGTAGCACTAGTAGCAGTAGTAGTGGTGGTAGTAGTAGTAGTAGTAGTAGTAGTAACAGCAGCAGCTGCAGCAGCAGCAGCAGCAGCAGCACGAGTAGCAGTAGTAGCAGTAGTAGGAGTAGCAGTAGTGGCAGTGGCAGTGGTAGTGGTAGTCGTAGCAGTAGTAGCAGTAGTCGTAGGAGTAGGAGAAGTAGTAGTAGAAGTAGTAGTAGTAGTAGTAGTAGTAGTAGTAGTAGTAGTAGTAGCAGCAGTAGCAGCAGAAGTAATAGAAGTAGTAGTGGTAAAAGTCGTAGTAGTAGTAGTAGTAGTAGCAGCGGTAGTAGTCGTAGTCGTAGTAGCAGCAGTAGCAGCAGTAGTAGTAGTAGTAGTAGTAGTAGTAGGAGTAGTCGGAGTAGGAGTAGGAGTAGGAGTAGGAGGAGTAGGAGGAGTAGGAGGAGTAGCAGTAGCAGCAGCAGCAGCAGCAGCAGCAGTAGCAGTAGCAGTAGCAGTAGCAGTAGCAGTAGCAGTAGCAGTAGCAGTAGCAGCGGCAGCAGCAGCGTACACGAAGCCGAATGCAACCAGGTGGTGACGAGATGCATTAATGTGCTGATCTGGCTCAGCCCCCTCGGCGCTGGGAGCCTAGTGTGGGAGACACTGCGAATGAGCGCAGTGATAAGTATTCTCTCCATTGTTATCCTGCTATTGCCACTGGCGTTGCTAATACTTGTCCCAAATCTCTTGCATCTTTTCTGAGCGTGCGGATGGCCCACCTGTGCTAGTTGCCAACGATTAGTGTGTCCACAGTCGTACCTGTGCCAGTACTGTCGATGTTGTCGCCGTGGATGCATGGGGCTGAACAGGGTTTAACGGGGTATCTCGCCTGTTTTGACAGTGAGGTTGTGTTTGCGTGTCTGGTGAACTCACGCATTCCTCGTGTGGGATGCATGTCAATGTACGTGGTGCATGCAGCTGTAGGAGCATCAATAAACCTGGTGCCAAGCATTTAACGTTGCACTGTGGAGCCTGGAAGACTCGCTGTAAGCGGATGCTTCATAGAACGTTTCAGAACAATCGTATTTTCCGACAGGAAGCCTGACCTGGCGCCCATTCTCTAGCACTGAACCGTTTGCTGAAAGTCTGAACTCGAACCCTAAACCTTATACCCTAAACCCTAAACCCCCGAACCGAGGTAGGGAGTCTCGTTTGCAGCAGCGCCGCGCGCTTCGACCTGGCCCACCTCGGGACGGCAGTGGCCCTGCCGCCTTTCTGCCAAGAGTTGCCCCCAGTGCTCTCTGATTTGGCATGAACAAGAGCGGCAGGGGCCCCCTGTTTTTGTAGGGTTTAGGTTCAGGGTTTAGGGTTGAGTGGCAAGATGCAGTCAGTTTCTAGTGAAGAGGGTGACGTGTGGTCAGTCGTGCGAGAGCGAACGTCGATAAGTGCATATACGAATGCATGCATGTACGTGTTTATTATGCATGTTGTGTGTGTATATGTATATATGTGTAAACATGCAGAGCCATTCAGATAGCGTAGTTACTGGTATGTAGACGGCCCACCCCACCCCTCACCCCTCTCTCCTTCACACTCTTCTGAAGCCCGCCCCCTTTCCAGGCCAAGCCGATTGATCAAATTCCTTGAATCCTCACGCGATTGCGGTTGATCTGCTTCTTTAAAAAGGCCTCCTGATTAGGCAATGGCGGATGATCTCATTTGCTAAATCGCCTCAAATCAATCTTTCAGCGATGGCGGTGGCGATGGCGATCGACGACATTTCTTTGAACTCGCACCCTCGTTTAGCGATTGTGATGGTTTTTGGTCGTTGGGCACCAAACTTCAAACGCAGAACCCCTGCTCAGAAATTGGAGCTCTGCAGTCCGAAGCTATACCATCCAAGATCTCGTGTGAACGACCGCGAGGGCCTTTGCACTCCTGGTGTCTGAGAGCATGAGGATCGTTTTCTGAAGGAAGTTCAATTCACAGAAATCCTAGCACGAGGATCAGTCTCGCCAGACTCAATTGTGCTGAGGCTTGTGGCAGCGGTCCTGTGTGCTGCAGGCAGGTAATGCCTCCACTGAGGGATTGCGCAGGTGCTCAGAATATCAGTAACGCCCAGCGAAGCTCACGTTTCTACGGTGCGGCATCATCTGTAGTCAAACTGGTGCTCGTGTGTTGGCCACCCTGACCGATCTTATTGATTTTCTCGTAGTCGTAAATCAGGCTTTTCTTTTCATGCCCACTTTTTCTACATGCTCGCAGTTTCTAAATCCAGCTGGGCTAAGCCTGTGAAATTTGTAGCCCGCCGACAAAAAACTGAAAGTCCGCGCAGGTATTCACATGTTTGTCTTCTGTGCCCTGTTGCTTACTCTGGGCGCAGGCCAGCCGTGCTTTGCCCAAGCCTTTCTTAGCTCGGTTTGCGGAATAGAGGCTTCGGAATTCGGCACAGGATGTCTGGGGATTGTTACGCGGCATGCATGTGAAGTCAACACTTTCACGCGTCAATGATTCAGAAGCACAGCCATACAACGTTGATGTTGCAAAGACTACACCGATTAGAAATGTGCACAGTGTGATTCTATGGACTTGAAAGCGCCGTGAACAAGCAAGGCCTGACAAATACCGAAACCAGCAGTTGATTGAAGCGAGTATTCGTACAACGACAGTGATGCGAAAGGATCAGCAGCAGTCGTGGTCGTCGTAATTCTGGCGGGGACTGTTAGCAGTAGTAGCAGCAGCAAGTAGCAGCATTTAGTCGTATGTGCCATGCTAGCGGCAGTAGTAAGAACGTACCCCTCTCAGTATGAGACGCACTTTCTCCCTAACACAATCTCGTGTGGTACCGTCACCTGATGCCGTCTGGCGCGGATACTAAATCACTCTGGTCGCCAGTCAGGCCGCAACCCCATCCGCTTCTTCCTGAACTGCCTGCCGTCACATGGCTGCGGGGCACAGGGTGGGAAGAAGTCAGGCTGTTATCGCTGTTGACGGCGGCGACGGTGACAACTACTAGTACTAGTACTAGTAACTAGTAGTGTAGTAGCAATTAGTAGTAGCAGCAGCGGGAGCATTAATTAGTGGTAGTAGCAGCGGCAGTAACAGTAGCAACTAGCGGCGCTAGTAGCGGTTAGCGTCGTCGTAGCAGGTTGCAGTGGCAGCGGTAGCCCTAGTCCTGGTACTAGTGCCAGTTCTAGCAGTACGCAACGCCCGCCGCGGGCGCCTATGTGTTCCGTAGCAATTACAACCAACAACTGTGATATTTACAGCAGTCCTACTACCACTACCACTACTACTTGTACCAGTACCACTACACAACAACAACTACTACCACTGCTACTACTTCTACCACTACGACTACTACTACTACTACTACTAGTACTACTACTACTACTAGTACTACTACTACTACTACTACTACTACTACTACTACTACTACTACTACTACTACTACTACCACTACCACTACCACTACCACTACCACTACGACGACGACGACGACGACGACGACGACTACTACTACTACTATTACACTACTACACTACTACTACTACTACTACTACTACTACTACTACTACTACTACTACTACTACTACTACTACTACTACTACTACTACTACTACTACTACTACTACTATTACTACTGCTACCGCTACTGCTACTGCTACTGCTACTGCTACTGCTACTGCTACTGCTACTACTACTATTATTATTACTATCTCTACTGCTAATATGTACTAATACAACGACTGCTGCTGCGACTGCTACTGCTACTGCTACTGCTACTGCTACTGCTACTGCTACTACTGCTACTACTACTACTACTACTGCGACGACGACGACTACTACTACTGCTGCTGCTGCTACTACTACTACTACTACTACTACACCACTACTTCTACTTCTTCGACCACTACTACTTCTACTTACTGCATGCTGGTACTGCTACTGTTACTGTTACTGCTGCTACTGCCGCTTCCGCTTCCGATACCGCTACTGCTACTGCTGCTACAACCACTTCCACCGCTGCTGCTAGGGCTTATATGGCCTGTCTTAAACCTGAACCTAGAACAGCCAGTCGCGTGATTCGAGGCAGTTGCTTACTGCCCTTGGCAGCTCGTCCTCTGCGGCTGCGCTGCCTCTCAGCATTTCCGTCGCCATTGTCCCCCGGTGCGAGAAACGGCAAAGGCAAATACTTCATAATTATCATGTAGCAGATCCACAGTCACACTGCGCCCACGGACACATTCACGGCGGTGGCATCATCACAGATTGCATAGAGAGGCAGATCGATTGCTGGAGAGATAGTTTTGTCGTTTTCGGTTGCTTCCTCCAGCTGTACACTCAGAACTCTTGAGTTAGCCAGAAGGCAGGTATCCCAACTCGTGTTGCTTGCTCTGAACACCGTGATAGTTCCGATGGTAAACGCTCTTGCATATCCAACTTATCGGCACTGTGAGTTGTGTTCGTATAAAGATGCTGCCAGGACTGTCCATACACTCAGCGCCCCTAGAGAGCCGCTCAAGACATGCCTCCCTGCCAACAGCGGCAAGCAAGGACAAGAACGACTTGTCACCGCACATCGCCAAGTTCGTGCTGAGCCTCGGGGCCACCATCAATATGGACGGGACTACCGCGCACCTGGAATCAGAAGACAGACAACAATAGCCTGGGCTTTGAAGTAGAGAGTCGCAGCCGATGGCCTCTCAGCACGAGGAAAACGTAGTGTCCGGCAGGCAACTTCCCCGAATGTGAGTGTGGTGGCAACCATCGGCATTTCCCCAGTCTCTGCGCGCCCACGCATTGTTGCTCGATGCCAGGGAAGCGAGCGGGAGTTCGAAACTGTCACTAACACTGACCTCCCAGGTATCTCATCTGTGCCACGTCTTTCCTGGCGGCCCTGCAGGGCATCTCTTTGACAGCCGGGGAACCTTCGAATGATCAGCTGCTAGTAAGAAGGGCATCGTCGAGGGCGTATTAGAGGCATAGGCCCTAGATAACGATCACTCTGCGGTAGGCCGCATCCTCTGAGGACTACGCTTCCATGGTTCTGATGGCCACCCTCTGCTCCATGGGCTCAGCCCCTGTACCCAGCGGCAGCCTAGAGCCTCGATGAAAGTTGAAGGGTTTAGGGTTTCATTGGGGTTTAGGGTTCAGGGTTCTACGGTTTCTGGGGACCGGGGACGGAGATCTAAAGATCTTCATGTTCCACGGCCATTCGTTGATTCGGATAGACGTTAGTGCCAGTCGTGCCTCCTTCATCATGATATTCTGGGAGCGACGCCCCAAGTTCAAGCCTTTTTTGCCGGTTGTTACACTGGTTTAAACAAGCTGGGCAGGCTGGGTGAAACTGTGTATGTCGCAGACCGATGCTACTATGGGGGCTGAATTGATGCCTGTTGTTCTGCCGTAGAGTCTCTGTGTGAGAGGTTGATCTCAAGTCTGGTGAAGAATGCTGTTGTGATTATTTCTCGGATCTATAGAATGATCCAGTAGGATCCGCAGAAAACCAGCCTCCACATGCGAGATTATGCGGGAAGGTGCTTCTCACGACGTTGCTCACTTCCTTGAAGCTCGGATGCATTGCATGATTGATTTATGCTGGAGGTTTTCTTTGCCCACGCCGGGGGATTCACGACATCTTGCAGCCTGAAGAGGATGGTTGAAGTCCGACTTCTAAGGAACATCCCCGTCACAGAGACGTTTGGCTTGATCACGGCCGTGGATTGGCTATTGGACCGAGTGAGGCAAGGGACCCAACCCGAAAGAGTAAGCTTCGATGGGGCTGCAAAGCCACTCGCTGCATGCACAGATGTTTTGTGTCGCTGTGAACCCAAAAACACCAGACCAGCCCACTTTAGATTCATCTAGAGAGCTCAGGGAAGCTAGTAACATGCGCAGATGGAGCGTCTTTGCCTTCCGCGGTTGCAGAAGAGTGATGGGGGAGTTGGGAGAAGCTTGCTATGTCATGAACATATTTCACCAACGATATGGCAATGCCTGTTGGCACGAAACTGCCTCATGTGGATTCAAGTTTCAAGTATGTAACTCAGACTCGCGACCAGCTGGAGCGGGGAGGGCTTAGATGAGGTCTTAAAAAGGGGGCCCATCCAGTTTAAAGAGCATCAGGAACTCAACAGTGGTTTGCATATTCACAGAAGACATGAACTGCACAGTTGGCTGGGGGCAAGCTTCTTTCGACAGGACATGTGTCAACGTCTACGGCGATGCTTGTGTCGCAGCGGTGGTTGACAAGAAGATGGAAGGACGCAATCCGAAGCAAGAGCTTTTCACTCCAGTTTAAAGGTGTTGAGGTGTCTAGGGAGACCCTCTCCACACAGGCAGTGCCTCGGTGGGAGAGCATGTTTCGGAAGGTCAGCCGCCAGAACTGTTCTGATTGTCCTCAGTGTTGGCATGATGGAGACGTTGATGTTGTTGTTGTCGTTGTTGTTGTCGCTGCTGCTGCAGCAGTCTCCGTTGCGTTGCTGTTGTTGTTGTTGATGATGATGACGACGCTGATGATGGTGATGATGATGTCATTGATAATCATGGTTGTGATAGTCATGATTTTGCTGGTGATGGTGATGACGATGGTGTTCTTCGTGATGACCATCCCACAGGAGATGAAGTTCATGCTGATGATGGGTTAGGTGTCATGACATTGAGTGTCCATCAGGCGATGCTAAGTTGAACGCAGCCGGGCTGCAGTATGTTGTTTGAGGGCCATGCAGCTAGCGTGAAAGAGCAGCATGGGCTGCCGGCGTCGGAGGCAGGCAACCATCTGAACTGCCAAATCCCTCGAGGGCCTGGCAAAGTGGACAGGGTCTGTGCACCGAGTTCCGGTAACGCGCATACTGGCAGCCGACATAGGACATAGGTGAAGTATCCACACGAGACACGAGAGACAGCAAGGTTTCAAGAGTCTCAAGAGTATTGAACAGCAGAGCCCAGAGCATGTACACATGTCGTGAAAGATCTAAGGCCTGGTGTCTCTGTTGTCGTCAGGGAAGCGTGTGATTCAGGCTACTTCTACTGTTGTACGGCTGTTACCTTAAGCAACATCTGTGAGGTCCCAGCAAAAGTTAGCCGCACCGGGACCACATCTTCTTATGCCATTGAAAGGCTCAATTAAGCGAAGCCTACGAAATTATCATGGGATGTGTGGGTTAAAAGGTCAAGCTAAGTCTTGCATAATTCGGATGCTTTCAGGCTGGTCAAAGCAAAGGCCTAGTGTTGCCTAGCAGATCTAATGCCAGATATTTGGTCGGCTTTGTTGCCCAGCAAAACTCGGCAAGCATTGCAGTCGGTTGACATGTCATCAGGCGTGTTTCTTGAGCCCGATGCACAAATCCACATTGGCTTAGTGGATCCTAAGTAGTTCTCTGAGCCACAAATGAGAATTCATCGCGAGCATTCGCAAGCGACATTGCATTTCTGCGCGATGCGGCCGTGGGAGCAAACGTCCATAGGTCTTATCTTCAGCTCCAACCCATCATCTGCAAACCTGTCGTGCGCACTTCTGTCAAGCGGTTGCTCGGGTCTTGCCAAGATTTCTTGTTGATTCGGCGCATCGGCAAACTTGGGAATGGATTCGGAGGCTTCAGTTCTGCAGAAATTTCTTTCAAATTTGCGGACCGCACAGTATGTGTGACTTGACGATTGTTCCCGGAGAGCCCTACAGTGCTCGTGAAGCCAGCTCCTGCGCACAGGGCAGTGTGCTTGCATGTAGAGCAAGGCTCCGTGTGAAGCTCCGAACCACCACCAGCCCGAACGGGCAAGCAGGCATGTCTGCAAGCTGCATCTGACAAGGGTTGGATGTTCTGGTTCCCGGGGCCAGGGCATCCGGGGCATAAGTGTAGTGGCAAAGTAGTAGTGTGACTCGTATCCTGATTGTAGTGACTTTTTCTAGACTGCCAGACTAGACTTTACTCCGACATCTTCTGACATGGTATGCGCTCTTCCAGTATATTCTAGCAGTTGCCAAGGCAACATCGGTTCTGCTGCACCTGCTGGTATCGAACCTATCTGCCAAAGACTCCCGAAGCAGCAGCCATAGCCTGTGCGCATTCTGCGCCGCGACCCACCTGCGGTCCGCGCTTAATCTCCGGAGAGCAAACAGGAATCAAAAAGGGAAGAAGGGCTGGACCCACCAAGGAAAGCCCAATCGCAAGATCGTGTTTCGGGTCAGACCTCGGCCCCGCGCCCGTCACGACATCATTTGGTGAAGCAGAAGCCAATGAGTCAGGTGCCGGCACCGACTCGACCCGCTGTGCGAGACGAGGTTTCTTCCGGGAGAACGTGGCAGTTTGCTTTGTGTTGTCAGACCTGACACCTGGTGTTCCGAAGGTGGGCGGCAGACCATGACTGTAGCCCACATAGCCACTGTTCGGACACTAATTCTGGCTGAGCCAGTTCTGCCGTGCAACACCACCTCTGCGGCCCGTGGCAGGTGCCCTACTCGGCCTATCCGTTTCCTGCGGCAGGCACGGAAATTGTGTATATAGCTGCTTGCTACACTGGGTTGCGAAACCAAGATTCACTACGTAGTATTGCCAACTTCCACTTCGTGCACAAGTGAATCCACGAGCCAGGAAGTTTTGTGCTACACTGCTACACATGCTCAGTGACACATGTTCGGAACTGAGACTGTCCACAAACAATAGGAAGGGCTAAATCTGTGCAGAACCGTAGCGAAGTACTAGTAGTCATCGTAGTAGTAGTAGTAGTCGTCGTCGTCGTCGTCGTAGTGGTAGTGGTAGTGGTAGTAGTCGTCGTCGTCGTAGTCGTAGTCGTAGTGGTAGTGGTAGTGGAAGGAGTAGCGGTAGCAGTAGCAGTAGCAGTAGCAGTAGTAATGGTAAGTGAGCATCGCCGCCTGACACATGAGTTTGCAGTATCCACTCTTCATGCCGATGAAGGGAACATTCATTGTTATTCGATGAGCCCCTGCACGGTTCTGTGCGACCGACGTTTCTGTTTATTCCACTGGCTTCAGCAATCATATCTCGGACCTGCACTTTCCCCTTGTTAGTGGCACCTCCTCGCAATATCTCAAACGTCGCCCCGTCGTGCTGGGAAGGCCACGCCCTGTCGGAGCCGCAGCAGCTGCAGCCCCAAGAGGTCAGTGGCGACGTGTGCTGCGTGTGGGGTGATTGAAGCAAAGGGCAGCATCTCCTTCTTGTGGCTTCATGAAGTTGGCAGGTGGCATCTTCACCTTACGGGTTTCCGACTGCAGGCCGTTGCACAGCACCATGTTTTTCGCATGCACATCCGGCAGAGTTGAAGAGGACTGTGTCGAAGGTGTCATTTGCCTCTGCCTTCCGATCTTTATTGGTAGGCAGTTTCGTTGCAGAGCCATTCCACGAAGGCCACGAACTCAGCGGATCTCAGCCGTTCAGACTGTTTCCTGTGTTTTGCCATGCTGCTCAGGGAAGGAAAGAAATTCTTCCATTTTACCAGTGTAACGGGGCAGTTTAGGGGTTTGCATGGCCTGACAGATAGCGGAAGCGGGCTCCTCACCGGCTCCACAAATCAAACGATGCAGCAAAATGTCATGGAATTCCTGCCAACTCAGACAGACAGAGAACAGCAGCTGAACAAGATTCAACGATACATCACCATCCTCGCAGGAGGCAAAGTTGAGGCCATACACCCTAAGCTAGCCAGCTAGCACGGTCAATTCCTAAACTGAATCGCCTCGGCCCTAGGCTGAAGGCATTCCCATTCTAACCCCCGAGCCGCCGGCCCAGGTGGTGTCCCGGCTTATCCGGCATGCAACTGGGGCCTTAGCTAGTGGTGTGAACGCAGGGGAGGGATTCTGCCGCGTTTGAGAGTATGTCTGTAAACACGAAAGCTCACGGATATTCAGTGTGCCATGGCGCCATGACCTGGTGCGGGTTGGTGTCTCGGTTGAAATCCACCTGTCCCAGCAAGTGCAAATCCTGGCAACAAGCAACTTGGACTGAAAAGTTCCTTAACACCCCATCACTGACGTCAGCCAGACAGTAAAAACGCGGCATGTCGAATTAAAGGAGCCCGCAAATCATCCTTCCTTTTCCTACGTAAGGCCAGACATCGTATCCGAGCGCTCCGCGAGACAGGCTGAAGTCTTTCATGAGCATCTCTGAGAGTTTCTGTCTTCCGAAGGGGACTCAGCATGGGAAAGACAAGATAGCTCCCCCGTCACAGGTTGTCAGAGGAGCCCCTTCCACGTGATCCGATCTTGGACAGGTGCCACATGATCTATGCACGATTCGGGATTGGCATCGTTGGGAGACTCCAGCACAGATCATGTCTGCCTCTGTCGAGTGCTGCATGCGAGGTGTGTCTCTTTTAGAAGGAGTTGGTGGCCGAGCCCACTTGCTGGCTCATTGGTTGTCCAAGTCCAGTGTCTGGAGGAATTAGTCTGTGAAGTCTGTTCATCATTAGGCTTGTCGTCAAATCAGCTGAAGCGATAGCTACTCCACCGGTCATGGACATGTTCCTGCGGGGTGTTTGTCAAATCTTTTCGGCAAGTGTCAAGGCCAGTGACAACGCCAGTCGATGTTCTTGGAGGTATGCGCAGCTTCCGAGCCGACAGCTGCCGGATCCTTTGACAGGCCTGGGACCCAAACAGGCGAAGAAGCATGAACAAGCCCAGAGGGTCGTCGGGATTTCGTGGCTCCGCCGGTGACTCCACTCTGACTCAACGAAGAATATCCTGACGAAAGTACAGGTCCTGAAGTTGTGATGGGATGTGGACTCTTGCACAGCGGCAAGAGCCATTGCCTCAAGATCCCTCGATGGGATCTGACACACAGGTGACTGGTACAGGGACGCATCCAGATCATCTTGTGGTGCGCTCAGCATGATCGTCCGCTCAGTGCAGTGCTCGGCAACGGGTGCATTTGCTACTACGGTGTATTGATTTCTCTACAATCGCTCCGCTGAGTCTATACAGTCTATACACATTCCCAGAGCAAACATTTGTTCATGTTTGTTCCGTCGCATCGAAGTTTTTCGGTACTGTTTGATGTACATTTCCTCTTGTATCTCTGCTCTGCCAATCCTCCACGGAGCCACGCTTCTTTTACGCTCACCTGCTTTTTTTCTTACAGGTGCTCGGCGCCCCAAGCACGAGCTGAGGGGTTCCGGTTCGCATGTGTTCGCTTACTGCCTGATTCTTGGGTTTCTCAGTCGCCGGCAGGTATTTCAGGGTCTGGTCAGCAGTTCGAGTTCGGCAGGGCCGTTCAGTGCTGGACCTTTTGCTGAGAGGCTTTGGCGCAACTGCCGCAAGCTTGCCTGCCGAAGTTTTGAGACCCTGGGGCCTGGGGCTTCTGAAGTTGTAGGGTGAGAGGACTGATGCTGTGAGCCTTCATTACCGGACAGCCTTCATGACATGGAAATCCGATCGCCTTGGTACGATGGCAGGCCCTTCCTTGGGGGCCTACGGTAATGGCTATGCAGCCAGCACGGGCAGTGGTCGAAATGGCTACTCCGCCTACACGAACGGATATGCCAATGGCTTCTCGTGCCCCCAGAAGCCACTGCTGAAGACATGAAGGACACACAATCGAGGCTCAGCGATGCGCTTAAAATGTGCCCAGTGCAGCCCAGTGCAGGTACTCCGGACTTCCCAACACGGGTGACACCTACTCCGGTGGGGCCTTCGGCTCCCCAACGAAGCAGAGGTTTATCAGTGAAGGCAGAGTAGCGGCTTAGACTCTAAGCAGACACGCTTTGGCATGTCGGCCCTCCGATCTTCAGTTGCTGTTGCTGCAAGGTGGCGCGGTTTCCTATGGCGCTCCGCCTAGCAGATGCTGCAGCCTTACCAAATCGCGGCACATTGAGTCCATTCCGGCAGCGCCTCCAAAACCTTTCTGTGATGTACAGAGTGTTTTCCAGACAGCCACCGCGTCGTTCTTCATGCACAAACCCTTCGCCGGCATGAGGTGGAGCTTGCGGTCCAGAGTTTGGAGCCGTTGGGTCGTTGAATCCGCCTGGTACCCAGATCTGTTGGTGGAGATTCTGCCGGTTCGGCGGTTCCTGCGGGTACGAAGCCGAGAGTTTTTGAATTGAAGGGTCGATTTCACATACACAGTGTTGCAGACCAAGTGCCTTCATTCTGCCTGTGCCGACCGAATATGCACTTACATACTGAACAGGGCACGTCTGTCAGATACAAGAGCTCGAATCTTGCACGCAGGCCGTACGTGCAGGCACCATCTAGACAAAAATGCTGCGAGACACTCTTGTGCACCGCACGTTGTTTTAGCACCTCCACCCCGCAACTTCTTGAGTCTTCCTCCTTGTCAACATCTTGAATCCCTCAAGGTTTGCCTTCCCTAGCATCGGAAGTTTCGTGGCAGAGCCCTTCGCGCCTGGCGCACCCTCGCTGAGCTCGAGGTGTCCGGGTAGACTAGGTCTGGGTGTCTGCGGCGCCAGGAACCGTAGACTTGCTGAGTTGGTGCTGGGCCTCGGAAGACGGTCGTGCTAGGAGAGCAGCGGCTTTGCAAGGATGCGACTGCAGTCGACCCTGAGATGTAATGATTCGGTGATATTCGGTGATATCAGGTGTTAGGGCCTGCGTCCATGGAGTGACGGGCAGGGTTTCCCTGAATCCTTGATGAAAGTCTCCAGGATGCCGCCAGCGCCGATCCCCCCTCCGCTGCCGAGCTTTTCAGGAGCCTCTGGGAGTTTGCTGGATCTTGCGATTCTTTGCGCCAGTTAACTCAGTAGCTTCTTAAAGCACTTCCTCGCGATGGATTTCCCGTGTGCTTTTCTGCTATATCAGTACGGTCCTGGTTGGTAAGGTTCTGTATTGTTTTTGTTGGTCTGGTCTCTTGTGATTGCTACCTTCTACCTAGTATTACACGTACCCCACTCTGCCCTGAGTTCATTCTTCACCTGATTCTTGTCGTATGGTTTGGAAAATGAGCCGTGACGCAGATCAAAGTGTTTAGCATCACCGCGATTTCTTTTTTGCGGTGTGTTTCTGCGGGATGCGGTCTGAACATACCTCGTCACATATCTCAAGACTGCCTCCCACTTCGGCCTTAGGCTCTCGAAGCATCCCCGAGCATTCTTGCTGCTCTCTGCTTCACTGGTTCGCGAAGCCTTGCAACCCAAAATGAAACGGAAGGGTCCCAAACCCGGAGCCAATGAGCCCCCGAACAGCAAGCGTGTGAACCTCAAAATCACCCTCTACAACTTTATCGCCAAGACAAATACAACAATCCAACACAAATCCCAGCATCTTTTGGTAAGCCCACAACAGAACGTATAACGAAGCCAAAGGCACCATAATCATAGACCTGACAGTCCTCATGTATAAACCCTAACAATGTTGCGAAGCTTCGATTCAACCAAAGGCCCGAGCCTCCTTGGAGGGAGTTTCAACTTTGGAGGCCGGCACGGATTGGATTGAAATTGTAGGGCTTAGAAGCGGTTTGAATAGTTAGCAAGACTCTTGACTGTTCTGTAGGGCTTCAGGAGATAATTCCAAACCCTACTCTAATCATCATTAAGGCCGATAACTATATCAGGCTGCTTTCGGATTTGGGCTCCATTTTGCTGTTCTTATTCTTCTTGTTGGTGTTGCTATTCATGTCGTCATCGGGCTTTGGGGTTAAGCCTGTCGTAATGAGGGGCTGCAGGTGTTGGGGGTTTGGACCCGAAACCCTGAGCCACAAATCCGATGCCCTGAAGCTTCAATTCAAACCCAGTCTGAGTCAGCGAGAAACGTGATATGCCCCGCGAGCCCTCACAGAATCCGGAAGCCCCTGCAATTGTGAGGCCTTGCAGCTAAGTCGCCAATCGATCCTGCCTCTACTCCTAAACCCCTGGCTGAGAAGTCTCCTGACTGCAGGGTTTTCGCTGCCGCCTCCGACTGGCTCCTTCGTGGCAGGCCTGGAGCTGGAGGTGTTTGCACATCCTTCTGAAGGGACTACATCAACTGAAGAAAGCATGGTCTGGAGCATCTGTCACAGATGCCACGGCCCACGCGACGGCCCATGGGGCGGCATGCCAAAGTCGCTCGGAACCAGTGGCTTGCGGTTACCGCAGCGATGCAAAGAGTTGCCGTGCAGCGTGGTGTTTCTCTTTGGGTCGTGCTTCTCGTTTCGCATTGGTCGACAGATAGTTTTCCCCTTTCACAGCCAATTGCGCCATAACCTGGGTACTTGATTTCGAGACCTCGAAAATTTGTCGATATTGGATGTGAGAGGCTCAACTCGAAGAGCTCTGCGACCAAGGTGGAGGGCAAAGCCCGGCGGCCGAATTGCCCAGTGGCCTCCGACCTAATGTGTTGTTTTCACTGCTTCATGGGTTGGCTACTTGCGAGGGCTGAGCACCTTAATACATCACCAGCAGAGACCTGGATGACACGCTGTGTGTGTGTGTGTGTGTATGTGCGCTGCTCGAGGAGTGAGGATGTGTGAGGTTAGCTTTGAGGTGGATTGGGGCCATCACCAAGCCCTGCACCGCCAAACTTCGCATCGAAGGAGAAGGCGAGGTGTTTTTGCCGTTGTCAAGTTGTACTGCGGGTTCCAGATTCTAAACCCTGCTCCCGTCCTGCCAGGCGAAAGATCAAGAAGGCTGGGTCCTTTCGACTGCATTTGGTTGCTGTTCACCAGGACAGGCGTGGGGCAGCTTGCTTCGTGAACGGAAGCGGAGAGATTGCAAGCTTAGAGACTTCCTTGTGTCCTTGTAGTTCGGGAAGAACACTCAACTCGCTTGGGCTCTGCAGCCGTCAGCGACCGGCATGGCAGGTCGTGTGGACCCGCAGCCGGCGCCGAAAGCGGAAAAGACGAAGCCAGCGCAGAAGACCCGGTGGGTTGGTCGGGATGTGAGGTACAAAGACTACACAGACGGCACCTCGGGCTTCCTGCAATCTGCACGGCAGGACCAAGAAACGAAGGCAAGCGAGAGGGGCGTGTTGCTGATGCCTATAATTCACGGACTGGAGGCCCAAAGATACGGCTTGTACTATCCATTCGCTCAGTTTGGCACCCAGAGTGTTTCTGCTCGAGACACGCTGCGTGTGCTCCATAGGGTAAGGCTTTTTCGAAAGGCTAATGTGCAAAAGTGAACTGCTTCTGACTTGGAAGCCATGGTTCACTGAGCCGAAAGTTTCGATTCAATCAGGCATCGGCCTAGTGTTTGCATTCAGCTGTCTTTGGCAGCTCGTCGAAATTCCAGCTGCCCGACGAAAATGTTGGGCTGCCGGTGTGTAGTACATTAGCACGAGCATGCTTCAGCCTTGAGGGTTTTGGCACCCACATGTGTCAAGCATCCGCCAGTGGGTGGGACCAAGCAGCGACTACTACGACGACAACCGCGACGAATAGCAACGATGAAGCTTGATGTGATTTTGACACGTTCAGTAGCAGTTGTCGTGGAGCTGAGCATCGTACAGAACCCGAAGAGGCCCTGGTCGTCGGGTCGTCGCTCCACACGTAGCACTAGTTAGATGCAGAAGTGGTAGTCGTAACGGTGGTGCTGCCGAGGTGATATGTGCGTTCGTCGTCGTTGTCGTGTCTTGGCTTTGCTGTCGTGGTCATGGCAGCAGCAGCAGTAGAAGTCGCCGTAGCAGTAGCAGTGGCAAGCAGCAGAAGCAGAAGTACTCTAGCAGTAGCAGTAGCAGGAGCAGCAGCAGTAGCAGCAGCAGGAGGAGCATCAGTAGCAGCAGCAGCAGCAGAGGCAGGTGCAGTAGCAGAGCAGTGCCACCAGGAGTAGCAGCAGCAGTAGTCGCGGTCGTTGTCGCGGTCAGTGGTCGTCGTCGCGGTCGCGGTCGCGGTGGTGGCGGTGGTGGTAGTAGTGCTGTTCGCCGTCGTAGTGGCAGGGCTAGTGGTACTGGTGGTTGTAGTGGTAGTGGTATGGTTTTGGCGGTATTTAGCAAGAGGCGGACAGCAATTTTCATGATAGTGGTGATGACTGTGGCGATGCGAGAGTTTAGGAGACGATGATGTATGGTAATGAAGTACTGTAGGAGGAATTTTGTGATGATGGCGTTGGTGGTGCTGATGGTCCCCGTATGCAACGACAGTGGCGGCAATGATTCTATCAATGATCTGGCTTCGGGCTTCTGTCGACTTCCCTGACCTTCAAGGCTGATGTGTGCATTCGCAGCTGGCGGAGCAACGGCGGCTTCGCCTGGACTGTTACGGGTGCTCTCTCACTGGGTTGAATGTATCGGGTTGTTGTGGTGCAAACGCGCTCCTTTGTACCTCTTTGTGCTGTTCGGAGCCGAGTTTTGAAGCATCGCGGAACAATTGATCTTCAAAGCCGACTCCTTCGATTTCCCAGGGTGTTTGCGTGGGTGCAGAGAGCTTTGAGAGCTTTCCAAGGCAGAAGGCGCAGGGCTGTTTGACTCCACATCAGTGAAGTCAGATATGCAAGCCGGTTTACTCATGGCCGGGGTGAGCAAAGCTGGCCAGAACTCGCCCTAATTGAAATTCAGATGCGAAGCCGTGGCCGAAAATTGTGAGGTAGAGCAGTAAGCAAGTCGCAAGCAAAGTGCGGTGCAGTTGAGGAGGTGGCAGTCGGCATCTGGTCATGCCCCATGAGGCAAGTTGTAGTCCGTCTTGCTGTCTCGGTTCTGAGCCGGGTATCGACGAGTGTAACAGCCTACCCGTACGCCGTACGCACTCCTCACCTCACATATAGTATGCCAAAGCTCGAGCTTGTGCATCCAGACGCTTCGACGTCTGCTACACACAGAATAATTACAGTGCAGCGAATTGCAGAGCCACTACCATGCCATGCCTCGGCAAACAAGAGAGCTCTCATCAGCACAAAATGTTCCCGCGCCATGGACCAGGCACGGTTTGGGAGACCGATATGCCCTCGAATTAAGGTCCAGGACATCGCTAGAATCTTTGACATCAGAGCTTCGGGTTGCTGGTTACACAGCCTGCATGTGTCGTGTTTTGCATTCTTTCGTCCATGTGGCATTGGCATACAGCATGGTGCACGGTGATCATGTTTGGCTTGGTGAAACATTGCAGTCGATTGCGCACGCGATCTTGGCTGAAGGCTAGAAGTCTAGGTACTTTGCAAACGCCTACCGCAGCATTTCTGACACCTTGCAAATTCCGTGATGCAGCTCGCAACAGGGGTATTCGTGGTCCCGGTCAGGCCGCTAAACCCTGAATCCAAACTCCTACACTCCTACAGTCCCAAAGTCCCGAACATGGATCTGTCCGGAACACGTCAAAGCAACCACAGCTTGCCGCGACTGAGCCATGGCTGACCCACGGCCGTTGCTCTCTGGGCAGGCATCCAGTCAGTATGATGTGAGGCTATGGTTTACAGTGGACGTGATGCTATCTCGCATGTGCCGCTACATGATGCGGATAGAAATGGGCGCCATTGGGATAGTTGTGTTGTCATCGTCCTTGTTATTATCATCGTCACCAGAGTCACCAGCATCGTCGTCACCGTCGCTATCATCGTCATTCTCGTCATTGCCACCAGTCTTGGAAACACCTATCTGACAGACGATGCTATGAACGTGCAATAATGAACGTATTGCCTGATTCTGCAATGTGTAGTATCGAAGCTGTTTAAGTTCTATCATGCTCTGTTCCAGTTTTATCTGGCTATCGTGATATAGTAGAATCTGCAGGAACGGTCTGGACCGTCTCACGGTGCAGGATGTTGGCTTTTGCAGGGCCGTTGGGCTAAGTTGATTTGCGCGTACGGCTTTTCCAATATGGCACAGGTTGTGAAAAGAGAACACCTTGGAAGACTATACCTACTTTCGACCTGCTCACTCCACCCTGAAGGCCCTCATGTTGACGCGCAGGACCATCTTTCCACACTACACTTTCATCTGTCACACGAAAGAAAGTCGAACCTTCAAGCTCGAAGCATCCAAGTGCACAAATGTGAGTGCAAAGACAGCTTTGCATATACGGTGGTTTCAACAAGTACTGTGCAGTGCCTTTCTCGGGGATGCATCGTCCTGAAGTCATGCTCCCGGTCATCACCTGCAGCTGGATGTTATCGATGCTACTCTCAAGCCCGTCCGAACCTTTTCTCGAGGGCACGGCCTCTGAGCTCGACTGCTTGGTCGTGGGGGCAGGCCCGGCGCAACGGCTTGAGGGGGCTTTGGCTTGGGCTTTCCAGCTTCAGAAGCACGTTGTGAGAAAGGCCGCATCGCAAGCTAGCTAATGGATCACCACTTCGGATCACCGGACGAATTCCCGAGTCCATTCAAATCATTTGCACGCACATCCTGCGAAGAGTATGTCTTGTCAGCACTTGAAGTACACAAGTCTCGACCAGGCATGGATTGCCTTAAGTCTCGTGCTTGTGTTGCAGCACCCTACGTGTCAAAAGAGCCTCAAGGTCCTGTGGGCCTGCTTCTGGCAGCAGAGTTGTCGGGCACTAAGCATGGTGAATTCTTTGACATTCCGGCTTCATTGAAGTGAAGAGCGGACTTGGTTGATGACGCTTTTATGCGAATGCCATGGGGCATGCCTGATCCTTGTGCAGTCAAAGCTCAGGGCCGCTCGAGGATGCCAGGCACTGTGGTGGGTTCCCGGAAGTCTTTGAAAGAGCCTGTATCCCAGTGACTAAAGCAAAGGCAGAGGCAAAGGTCAGTCTGGTGCTTGGGCAATCTCAACAAGCAGAGACGTACTGGGACTCCGATCTTTTCCCTCAGATGCAGATGCCGCACAAAACAAACTCCCAGCTCCAGTCTGCTTTTGGGCAGGTTGCTATTATCGACGCCCTGACAGAACCAGCGAAGATCACCAAGGCAGAGCAAGCTTCGAATTCCGAGCCGGGAAGCCTAGCTTCGAGCAGCGCATGATTTGTCTCTCTCCATCAGGCATCTGGAGTCGTCCCACGAAGCTTGGAGGTGCGGATCCCTTACTGAGAAGCGTGGCTTTGGGTGTTGAGCTCCGTGCAGTCGACGTAGATTGTTGTAAGGGCTCTGATATGTCAGCAATTAGAGATGTTGGGACGCGACCTCATGCATCCTGTCCTGATTTGTTCTTGCGTGGCTGGGGGCAGGGACTCGGACCCAAGCCACCCCAGCCCTCTGGAAGAAGTTCGCGACAGTTGCTGGACAGCCCATGACACCAATTCCACGTCCTTCCAAACCCCGAAGATCCGAGCTACCCTGACAGGTTCTGCCCAGTGAGGTGGAAGCAAAGCTGTTGAAGCTTAACTGCAGGGTGGGGAGCTGGAGGTGGGGAGCGGGGGCTTTCAAGTTCGAAGCCCAATGCCGCCGCCACCCAGGAAGAGCGGGAATCTGCTGAAGGAGATGAGAATCCTCGAGAAGCAGGCCAGGGCCCGGCAGTGTCGGATACACGTCGTGATCCTAAATGTTCACAGGAGAACAAGCCCATGAAGACGGTGCTGTCAGTGCAGACTGCCCCCATGGAGGCATCACGGTGTTTGATAGGCTTTGGGAAGACAGACTTCATGGTTTACAGCCTTGGAAAACGAAGGTCGCAACGAAGCACGAATCACACAGTAAGGAGGTCCACACTCAAAGAGGGGAGGGGTCCACTTGTGGCTAAAGGATTGTCGCAACAATCCGTGCGAGACTGCCATCCGAGCCCGGCAGTCTGAGCAGTTCCTCACAGCAGGATGTTAACATTATCATTTATGTCCTCACCCGCTGGATGTGTGAAGAGCATCTCTCAGGTCTACCATGGAATTCTCGGCATCCGCCAGAACGAAACCTCACTGAATTGCTGATGCTTTGCATGTTTGCCTGCACACTTCAGTTTCGAGTGCAGCAGGCACACAGAATCGCGCATCATCTTGCGGCCAAGGAAACTGAGCGCTACCTCACCGAGTACTTGACTGAGCTCCCCGACTGGACTCAGGGTGGAAAGAAGCTTGGCTTGTATCTGTACGCCTCACAACGGTTCCTCAAGAGTCAAAAGCTCGTTGGTGGTTTGCCTTCCCTGTCGGGCTCATGCCAGCAAGACAGCATGTTTGCTTTGTGCCGTCAGGTTCGCATGCTTGACAGGTTCAGGAAGTTCTTGTCGGCCAAACGTCGCTCGCAGATTCCGAAAAGAGCTCACCGCCTCGGGGCGCCTCTTCTGTAGCTGTAGCCCTACTTGACAAATTTTGCATTTGTCTCGGATTGGTCTGGAGGCCGTGTCTGGACTCTCGTGTAAGCTGTGGGATGATGATCCGCCAGGAAGAAGATGTCAATCCGGCGAGGAGTGACCTTGGAATCCTTCAGCGAAGGCCCTGTTACGCTATATTATACCATATTAAATGCCATATTATACTATAGTCTTCCAGCTCCCAGATCCCAGATTCTGTGGTGCAGGCCCAATGGGAGTTCAGTGCCACCTAAAGCTTCCAGAAGGTACTCAAACAGTGCCTCGACAGACTTTAGCTTCAAGATTCTTGCTTGCTTTGGCCTTTGGCGTGGGGTTAACAGGAGGAACAGGTCAAGCATGTAAGATGTGCTCATGGTCTGGGCCTCAATGCATGGGTGCAAGGTGACCTGCAAGTTTTTGGTCGCCTGCGACGGTGGCAGATCGACAATCAGGCCAGGATGAAAGCTAAGGGTGCGCTATTGAAGGCGCTGGTGATGAAGTCTTGGATCCAAGGTTTCGACCGGTTGTCAACTTCTCGTGAGATTGCCGCAGCGAAAGGCTGAAACACCAGTGTGATCCGGCCTCCGTCGAGATCCCTCCGGCGAAGTCGGGCGTTGGAATAATGTGGACACCTGAAGGCAATCTTACATACCCCTCCAAGCCAAACCCTGCGACTCTATTTTGGTCGGCGGACCTACCGACCAATTCCAACAGAGAAAAGCTACAAGTATGAGGTGATGTGTCAAGCGGTTGCATGGGGTCTTGAGATCTTCTAACACATGCATGACTCATGGTTGCACAAAGAACGTCCCAAGGAGACAACTCAGCACGTGCGACCACATGGACAATTTTCTCAAAGCCCTGGAGAGGCATCAGTTGGGTTACTCCTTCGAGGGTACCACCACGCCGGAGTATTTCTTTGGCCTCGACGCCTGCTTTGAGAATTGGGAGTTCGACTCCAAGGACGTGCCCCGGCGAACATAGAACACAGCAGAAACGCCAGCCGCATGCAACAGAGCCACTGTGAGAATAATGATAAGCTGGTTCCTAAACTCTTGACAGCCAACAAAACTTGCCAGTTGCACAAGAACTGACTGCCGGAAGCATCATTTTCACAGTATCCAGCACGACGATGTCATTCACAGAATCTGAGAAACTGAGGTCGTCAGCGTGTCGCTGACCCAGGACAAGGCCAGGACCCACACCTTTCATGTACTGCGCAAAAGCAAAACAGCAGCGACGACAACATCAGCAACAATCGCAGCAGCGGTAACAGAGCGGTAGCAGCAGCAGCAACAACAAGACCAACAAGATCGCATGCATCTGGTACGAAGCTGTCGGGTTGGACTGAGTTGCTGCGGTCTAGGGTATAGTCATGCTGAGTAATGCTTGTGCATTCTGATTTCAGGATCCATTGGCTCCGGGGTTCGCCTTCAACATACCCTTTGGAGATGGAAATTGCCTGCTGCGCCTGGGCAGGGGAACAGAACTGCAGAGTTTGAGCTTGGGTGAAGACCCGATGCACCGGATGAAGCCCAGGCTCGTGGACCTCGACCTGCAGCAGCAGAAGGATTGGGTCACAGGCGCATGTGATTTCCTTTTGGATGGATCTCCGACGAACCAGAGTCCAGAGATAAGCGCTGACGGTGAAGGGCAGAATAGCGTCAGATCGACTCTGAGATGTACGAACGAGAAGTTTGGCAAATCCCTAAGCGTAGGTGAAACGGACCGCAATGGCTTCCCAGTGCTGCGCCAGCCGGAGGCTTCCGATTTTGTCCGTGTCAAGCATAGTTTGCGGGAGATTCCGTTGCTTTCAAGGTGTCTGTGTCAATGGGATGTAAGCAAGCAGCACGTGCCCGTCTCTCGTGAGCATTCATGTTCAATGCGAACATGCTCCTGGGGGCGAGTACATGCATTTGCCACTGCGCTTCTCTTTTCGTTTGTACCACGTTGTGCTACTGAGTGGCTGCATAGCTCTTGATCTGTCTATCATTGTTGGATAGCTGTCATGGCGAAGATGAAAACTTGGATTGGGAAGCCGCGAATGCTTAAAATGATGGTGATGACGATCTATGACAATGATGAAGTGGAGGCGTGCAGCTGCTACTTGTATCATGGCTACTTACGGCTGTGATGGATTTTCAATGCTGTATTCGATCAGTCCCGTCAGGCCTCTTCCTGCCGGGCTCGTCTTTTTGTTGCAATGGCAGGTGGAGGACGTGCTCCGAGTGGCCCGATCCCGTGGACTGGGCCAGCAGTGCTCTGTGACCTCACTGAAACCTGTCGTTTGCTAGTAGTTCTCTTGAGGCATACGACCGAACCGGGATGCAGGGGTTTCAGCGACTCGAGACCAAGAGTTCGAACTTCGCTGAAGTACGCGGAGGAACAGTCTTTTCCCCGCTCCGAAAGGAGTGCTTGGCTTCTCAGTTTGCTGTTAAGCAGTGAAGCCACAGCCACTCCCAAAAAGCCAGCGGGAAGAAGTTGAGGATCGGATCCAGCTCAGGATTTAGGGATGATTTTACTTCGAGACCCAGGGCCCTTCCCCATGCTTCCTAAATCGACCACTGCAGAACCTCAGGTGAAACCTGGCTCGGTGAAATGGCTGACCCATTTCAGGGTCAACTCACGCCAGGCTGGGTATATGTTCACGTATATGTAATATGTAGGCATATGGATGCGTGCATGCATGCATGCAGTCAGTCTTTCATTCATTAATTCATTCATTCATTCATTCATGCATTCATTCATGCATTCATTCATGCATTCATTCCATTCATTCTTTCTTTCCATACATGCGTACATATCTACATACATGCTTAACTACGTGCATGCATGAATACATACATACACAGGCATGTGTCTACGGCAACAGGGTGTGTGTGTGCATATGTATACATATATATATATATAAATATATTTTAACATGATATATTTTTACCCATATATGTACGTACATATAACCCCTTCCTTTTTGCATGCACACATGTATATACATGTTCATACATATAAGTGGATCCTGATTCCATCTATCTATCTGTCTACCCCCCTCCCCATTTGGTCATCCACCCTTTCCCGCCCTGCGGAACGGCTTGGGCCTTGAGCTTGCGTGTGCAATGGTTGGCCAATCATTGTGCATGTGATCATCACACTTTTCCCCTGTGGAACGGCTGGGGTTTTGAGCTTCGGAGCTTTGTCACCCTCCCCGCTCCGTGGAACAGGGGCCCTTCGCACAGGCACCTAAGGACTCAGAGCGCACAGCGCACAACCGTATATACAGATAGAACTGTTTATCATGCATTACTGATCATATGGTGCTTTGAGTAGCAAAGTTTCTGTGGAAGTCACCAGCCCAGTTGAACCCCCTCAGTACTGAAGCATTCGCAGATTTTCTTTTGCCGGGATTAAGCATCAAGCACAGGACACCCTCCGCCTCAGTCAGAATTGCAAGTTCTGGCTCTAGCAGACACTGGTCATGCTTGCATCCGACCAGAACATCTCCGCCACGAGCGGAAGCTTTAAAGATGTGATCAGGGACACTCAACCCCAACCCCAAATGCAATGCAGCAGGTGGAGTGTTACGGTCGCGGCCGGGTGTTTCTGGCCGGAGATGCGTGCCACTGCCACTCTCCCTTTGGTGGACAAGGCCCGTCCTGCAGGGCCTCAAGTGCAACATCAGCCAGTATATGTGTAGACAAACGCCAACCACCACCACCACCACCACTGCCAGCACCACCACTGCCAGCACAAGCAGCAGCACCACCACCAGCACCACCACTGAACACTGAGGCCAACAGCAGCAGCAAGAACAAGACAAAACAAGCACACTTCTTCAACACCACTGCCAGAGCAAAGTAAAGTGGAACACTGAACGAATCACGACCAACGGACGGAAGATAGTGAACATAGATTGCACATCATAGAACTTTGTAGTTTTCGTTCGTATCATGTACTTCTGAAGCCTACCTAGATGGCTACTGTCATCATTGGTGCTGTCAGTTTCGCTGTACTTGGGTCCGTCTAGAACTTCTCAGTCCTAACCTACTCGTTGCTGCCAATTCATGTCGCATTCATCGTGATACTGGTGCATGCATGACTTAACCTTCATCACTTCGCATGTGTGTTACGGGTACAGGCAGGTGCATGTGTGTGTGTGTGTGTACGAAGGGAGTTGAGGCATAATGGCCATCTTGCCCCATTCCCGAACTAGCAATGCGCACGCCCAAGGAAATGTGGAATCACAAAAAGAAATAGATGTCGATATAGATATAGGTATACAGGTATACCATTGCACACACACACACACATGCATATGCATATACATATATACACACATACACGCACTCTCTGCTACTCGCTATGTTTTACTTCAGATGCCTGTGTACTAGCCTCACTAAGAATCACTGGCCACATGCACACAGGATCTTTGATTGACACAGACACGCACGCGAACAAGCCGACTAACAGACACGAGCAGTTCTGTAGTTAATCCCAAGGTTCGCGTAGGATTCGGAGTCGACGGGGTGCTCATCTCTATGGCAGGTGAGGAATCGCTTTCCGCAAGCTGCAATTGTAAAGGAGCCTGACATGATGCCTTTACTCAGTGAAATACAGCGCATGGGTAATGATGACCCCTCCCTTCAATCTGGCCTCCCGTCGGGTTGTGATGTTTGGCTGCCACACCTTCTAAACTGGAGACCGTCTAGATGAAGCCTTGGGAAGCTCCTGCAGCTTGAACCGAGCCGAGTGCCGAAGCTTGATGTGTCCAATATTTGTTCTTGCTCGTCTGCGTGGCGAGTAAGATCGTGGCTGCAAGCATCATCGCCATTTGCAGCTACTTTTCTTCACGTCGCTGCTCTGAAATATTTTTTCGAGCCTGACAGGCATGAACATGGGCTTCCAGGACGCCAAGAACCTGTCTTGGAAGTTGGCGACAGCAATCAAGAGCCTTGGCTCAATTATGGAATCGGAGGAGTGAGCATGTAACAACGCGGTTGTGCCAAGGAACCAGGCTTTCGACGGCTGGGGTTTGAGGCTCCCATTTCAGGGGTTGTTCGACGAGCTCAGGCTCCAGGAAACTCGGACCCCTTTCAACCCTTTCACCATGCAGGTCTCACGGGGATGGTGGCACAGCCTTGCAGGAGCCTGAAAGAGAAAGCAGTGCCTAAAGCCAGGTGTGGAGGTCCAACGTCTTCTTTGCTGCTCTCCTACGAAAGTGCTCGGGCTGCATCCAGGCTTCGCTTCCAATGCGCTTGAGGGATCTTCTCATGATGCACCTAGGCTGAAACATGCTGAAACCAAGCCCACCGGAAAAGGATGCCGCACTGTAGTATTGATAAAACTCCGGTCTACTGCCCTTGTTGTGGGACATGATTTTGGGACGGTTCAGCCCACAGCAACACGACACTACATGCAGCGCATCGCTCGGAAAACTAGTGATGGAGGATGGACTGTAGTAGCACATTTCCCAGAATTCAAGTCCAGCATGAAGATCAACTTCGTGTTCACCTGACATACTGCAGACCGAAGGTTCCGAGTTGGACATGTAATTGCGATTTATGGCAGATACGGGGAACAACGGTTCAATGCAGACTGTGTCGAACGATGGTGGCAAAGAAACTTCTGAAACTTCGCTGTGGACCTCGAAGGGCTAGTAGCTGCCAGTAACTGCGATGAAACAGGCGAGCGAAAGGTGCCTGGTCTGCATTCATGCGTGCAAGTCTGGTGTTGAAGCCTTCCACAACGGTCCAGCCGAAGCTGTCATCGTGATGTGGTCGGATGTCGGAAGCAGTGCAGAATGTGCTGCCGCAGGCAAATGAGCTTGCTAGTCTCCCAGCCCTCGGAGCGGTGTCATTTGAGTTTCGACGGTAAGATCTGGATAGTCATGGAATGCGCGAGCGGGCAACGCTCTTTTAGTATTTGCTTGGGGGGTGCCACTGAGACGTTGGAGAGCAAGCTCCTCGCTGGCATCGAGCGCACCTGGACAGCATATTGCCGGTGCGAAGTCTTGCTAGGGCCGCTGTACGATGCCTGCATTGAAACAACATGAAACACGGTTTGACTCCTTGCCAAAACATGCCAAACATGGATAAAGACGGGCCGGAGGGTTCTCCTTGGATGCCATGAGGAGCTCTTGGTTCCGAAGTCGCTTCGATGGTCTCAACGGGCCTTTCTCGGATCTGAAGGTGGCCAAGAAGTCGTGTCCAGCCGGAACCCGTTGATCTTCTTTATGCGCGGTCGTGGTCAGAGGCCGAAAGCTCCACCAAGATGGTGTTTTGGGATGTTTTGGGGTCACCAGTTCGGCGCACTTGTCCTTAGCAGTTGATGAAAACACCCCAGGACATGTCGTGGCCGGGAGAGAGTCAAGGCAGGAACGAGAGGTTTGCAAGTTGACTGATAAGTGAATGGATGGTTGGGTAGGGACACTTACCATGGAGCTGTAAGGCCTGATGTCCAGGCTGCACGTTCCTGTGCACAGCCTCGTTTCAGAAACAGGTACGGTGGATGCGTTCGATAAGAAACGGGACTGATTAGACCATGAACATTTCTAATTCGGGCATTTCTGTCACATGAAATATAGTGCCACGACCATCAGTCGCTTGTCAGGGCCTTCACTGCTGTTGCCGGAAGCTGCTTATTAATCTGCCTTCGAAACAGTATTGTCGAGTCCCGAGGCCATTTGGCCGGGCTAGGTCCTGAACCGGACTCTCCATGCCCAATCCACCAGCCGAGGTGGTTGTTAGTTGTTCTTGAACTTTTGCTGACGGGTCCACAAATTGTGATGGTTCAGACTCCAGCAATCTCAGTATCAAGTTATCTCGTCGCCTGTTCTTGCCGTCTTCCCAGTTGCAAAAGCAACGTCTCAAGGAGGCAACATCCGAAGTTCCGGGATTCTAACCATGTCTGCTCTACTCGTCTCGATCGCAGGTTGGTGAACATGTTGTCGCTTGGTTGCAACTATCTGTTCTGGGCTTTCTATAAGTCTTCTCGACAGAACACGATCATGTACAGCACGCCCGCTTCTGCACAGTTCTGACGTGTAAGTGGTGGTGGGAGTTTCAGCGGATCTGTTCCTGGCAGCCATAGCTCGGCTTCCAAAGTCGTGTACATGTGTATACGTGCATACGTACATGTGCACGTACGTACGTACATACATACATGCAGTGCCTAAAGCGGTGGTCCAGTTTTGCGATCCAGCCGTTGTGTTCCCGGAATCCGCAACCTTAATGTCGTTTCAGTTGCGCAGGGAATAGGCCTAGCAGCTAGGGCCTAGCAGCTTCAGGACCTTCCTGCAGCCGACCATCTTGAAGACAGTCGCGCAGCAGGCGCCTCGAAACCCGCACTCACAACAGGGCAGGTCTGCAGATTACATGGCAGAGCTGCACATGCAAGCCCGGGCACATCAGATTCTGTAGTCTGTAACATGGGATGGATGCCTACCAGCTTGAGAGTCTTTTGCGATTCGTTTGTCACAGGGTTCCACAGTCAGTCGTGGCAAAAGGTGGTCGCACCTCCTTAATCCATAAGTTCATCCCTTCAGTTCAATGACACACTTTTCCTGTCGATTGGACCTCCATCAAGTAATGCTCAACCTGCCAGCCATCCAAACCCTGTCTCCGAGAGCCATCTCCGCGATCCATCCGCGCAGATGTGGTCCTACCGCACTTCCTCCTTGTCCATGGAGCATTGGGAGCGTCCCGTTCCAACGTCGTCAGCCTAGTCTTGTTTGCACTTGCGCTTCGTGGCCATGGTTAGTAGGTGTGACAGCGCTTTCTGAATGTCTCTTGGTGTTCCTTTGCCAATGAGTTCCCATGTGACAGCAAGCGCGGCCTTGAGGTGCTTCCCCATCACGAGCATTTGCCCTGCGGGTGGGTACCGAAGACGCCAGAACTTGCATCGCTGGATCAAGACGAGGCACCTGGCCTGGAATGTGAAGGGCCATGGATGAAGAACACTGAACAGAGTAGTGCCACCCACCGTGTCGGGAGAAGCACCAGCTTTGGATCAAGGGTGCTGTCGGTCTGTAGGAGCCTCCGGTAGCATTCCACAGAATGACATAGTGCGTTCTGCAGTAAAGCTTGTCATTATATGGGATGGTTGGCTTGCAAGCACCATTTTCTGAGCAAAAGCAGCTCACAACCAGGGTCCATGCTGGAGATCGAGTTCCTGCTCCTGGGACGGAGATTGGCACAGGACAGCTTTGGAAGACGTGTGATCAGTGTGATCACGTCCCGGACTGACCTAGGCTCTTGCGACTTCTGATGCCCAGTCAGTCTGAACAGAGGGACGGCCCATGAAGCCACGCAGAGAGAGAGAGAGGAGAGAGAGAGAGCGAGCGAGAGAGAGAGAGAGAGAGAGAGAGAGAGCGAGAGAGAGAGAGAGAGAGAGAAGGATCAGAGCCCTGGTTAAACGACAGTCGGTGCAGCCGAGCCAACAAAGGATCGTCTTGCAAAAAGAAATCTTTGCGAGGACATGATGGTTCGGGCACGGGGGGAGGACTTGCGCTCAGAGAGAGAGAGAGAGAGATAGCGCCCTCAAGCCTTGTGAAAGAAAGAGAGAGAGAGCGAGAGTACTGCTCTCAAGATTGCTTGTGAAGAGGGGGACAAGCATGCACGAACCTTCTCAGCGGAGTCTGCTTGGGTAACGTATGCTTACGCATCAAACCTTGTGAAGCTTGTCTGAAAACATGGCCCGATGCAGATGCTCTCAGCACTACAAAAGAACTGCAATCCTCTTTGCTGCACGCTCGCATAAAATTTGCGAATTCTCACAGCATGCGAGAGAAGGCGTTTTTCAATCTGTCTTTGCCACTATCAGTATTCCACTGCGAATAACATGCCTTCACTGCTGTTGGGACTGTTTCTTGCGAGAGCATACATCCCACCTGGTTCCTCCGTGTTAAAACATATGGCTTTAGCTTACGGGGGATTATGCTCGCTCCTCACCCACCCCCCCCACATCCCGCACAACTAAACATGCGGGTGGGCTTGGAGCCCCGGGGTCTTAACCGACCCCTACACCCGGGAGAGAGAGAGAGAGAGAGAGAGAGAGAGAGTGTCGTGAAGCAACTGGGATCCCTGAAGTCTTTCATAAGCCAGTGCACTTCAATACTTTTCAGGGGGAACAGTTGCAGTTTTACACTCCCTCAAAGCCCCATAACATATGGGGGGGCCATGTGCCCGGGGGGGTTTCGAAGCCCCTCATGCCCTGCAGAAGAGAGAGAGAGAGAGAGAGAGAGAGAGACAGCACCTACCGCCAATGGTCCCCCGCCTGACGGGGCCGCCGCGGAAGCCAATGTGCCTGAAGACGCCACAGGGGGGAACGCGGATGCGCCGTCTTTCCCGGCTTTTTGGCACCTGCGGGGGTCCATGGCGGAGCTGGATTTGCCCTCGTCCGCTGAGCGAGATCCTGACAGCTTCCCAAGTGAGCCGGGCCCGCCTAGTGAAGTGCCGTCTGCCCAAGAAATTGCGGATGCGCATGCTCTCCAAGAACAAGTGGAGGCCGAACTAGAGGCCTACGCCAGGGCAAGCCGCCGCAGGGTCCAGAGTCCTGTGGGGGCCAGACGGAGAGTCAACCGCGAGTGGACCGATGATAGTGATTAGGGGGGCTTTTGTTGTTGCGTACTTTCTCTCCGCTGGGGCCTCAGTGTACAGTCTTTGTAGCTGCACATGTTGTGGGAGCACAGAGCAACTGTTGATCGAGAGACCGAACCTCCGACACAGTCAATGCCCCAGCTTCGTGGGGAGGCGGGTTGGGGTTTAGTGTGCGGGGTGGGTGTGTGCTGGACGGCCTGTGCTTCTTCCTGTGGAGTTTTTATCTTTTCTCACCGCCCGAAATTCCCCGGTGCGCGAAATCGCGCGGGGGGGAGGGTGCTCGTGCGTCCGACCCTCCTGGCCGAGCTGAAGAAGAGAGAGAAGGATCAGAAGTGGGTTTCATGTTCCAGCGACATGCGAACCTGTCCATTCACGCGGACGTGATTCCAGAGCGCAGACTTGCACGGGCGGAAATCCCCTGTCTCGCTGGCGGTGCGGAAGAAGAGAGTCTGGTTTTCCCTCTTTGCGTGCCTGTCTGAGTTTGTCGTTGTTTCTGCGAGTCTTGCCCTGCTTTTGTGTAGCATGCATTTGCGATCCAATGTGATAGTACGGACGTTTCTTTTGTCTCAGAATCCCCACCTGCAGACTGCGGGCCGAATCTGTGCAACGTGTGAAGTGGGAGAGAAGCTCAGGACGCATCGCTCCCGGGCGGCATGCGTGTACATCAAATTCTCAAAAGATCGCGGGGCTGGACGCTACTGCTCTTCGAAGGCAGCCGGCGTTTGGTGTATTGTTGGGAGAAACAGCGACGTTGCTGTCCTCGTTGCTCTCCTTTCAGACTTTAAACAACACCGAGCTTGCAAGGCGGAGAAGAGGAGAACCTCGACATGGAGAAGCATCTAGGGAACAAAGTGCTGAGTCTCTCGGAGCTTGAGGCATGGACATGGATGCTCATTAGGTTGTGAGGGTAGCGGCCGAGTTTGCATTGCTCGTGGTTTTGCATCATGCAAGCTTATCTGCTCAGGATGACCCGGTGGCAATGCAATTTCCGGGCAAGACCTGGTAAGTACTGTATCAGCATATGTAAGAGACCGGCGAAGCGAGTGAGTAAGCAGACAAGATGCTTCACGATGTTTTTGCGAAGATCAAGAGATGTTCTCGAATCTGTGCATGTGTGCACACAGACAGAAGGCAGAAACTCAGATGTTGGCGGGTTGTTCCAAAGGCGGCAGTTGAACTGAGCATATGGAATATTATGAGTCCACTATCTTTGGGAAACCTCACGCCATCAGCATCAGTGACGAATCACGAGCCCAGCACGAGTCCACAAGCATCGATGGAAGGCTTTCGGGGCTGGCTTCAAATCGACGTCCGACCCCACGAATTTCGTCCCGATGGTCGACGAGGCCGGAGAATGTCCAGCAGCGGGCAACTATAGAGTGCTGGTCACACAGCGAAGTGGCAGTGGCAGGTGATCTGCTTTCCGGCCCAAGACGCTTCTCGGACGCATGTAAGACAGCAAGCGCAAGATGGCATGAAAGGTTTTGCGGCCTGTGATGTCTCATCTTTCATGCTGTACCCCCAGGTGGAGGCACATCACATCTTCGGGGTACATGGCCAGTGCCTGTTCTTGGTCCGACCGGATCATTACGTGGGCTTCCGGTGCGAACCCTTGCGAAGAGGCCACACTGTCATCAAACATAAGGTTGCATGTTGCGAGGCTTCTGGAATTCTGTGTTGATGTTTGGGCCCGAGTTGAAGAGCTGGAGTGAAGAGGCGGCAATTGGAAGCATGCCAGTGAGTAGGAGCCGTGTACCGCTACTTCCGGCTGGCGTGTGGCATCAGCCACGGAATGCCGGAGGACAGCTTGTGAGCATGGTTTGGCTCCTTCAGGGGCTGGGATGCATCCGTCGGGGTGAACTGCAATGAACATGCGGCGTGGTGAGCTGAACCATGCCAGGTCCTTGTGCCCGACCAACAACATGAAAGTCGCAAGGACATGGTCTCTGCCAAGCCTCACTTCGCGCACGCAGGATGCCCCTGCCTCTTCGCGTGTCTTCGATCCCCTGCCGGTGATCGTGTGGACGCTGATCCTGCTGCTCCTGATTTTCCTCTTCCTTTGAAGAGAATGGGGCCAAAGAGCAGCATGCTTCCGGATGTGAGCAGAGCGAAACTTGTAGAGGGTGATGATGGTTGTTCAATAGGTTCGGTGCAGTTCATGCTTGCGATCTAGCTGTTTGTTTCGTGTAAGCGCCGGAGTTAGGACATCCACTGCTGGAGTTGTTTCGAAAACTTCAAGCTTGCGTCCGAGGCATGCTGCAGCAGTCAGCGGCTAGTTCCATTGATTACGAACTTGTTACTCAGTTCATGGCGATCGCTCTCGTAAAAGCCGACCACTGAGCAAGCATGAATCATCAGGCCGAGACAGCTCACCTTTGCATCCAGCCAACAAAAACTCTAAAACGGGTGCGAGGAAAACCGCGAACAACAATAGCAACACCATGAGTTATATCACTAATAAGTCACTAATAATAGTAGCTGCTGCTACAACAATAGCAACAACAACTACAACTACAGCTGCCTGCTACTACAGTGTTTTCCAAACCTTCCTAGTTGGTGTGCTGACTGGAGACCCCCATCATCATCATGCATATTCGGTTTGCTTCACGAGCACAGGGATAGCTTCAGGACCTTGTATCAACAATCTGATGCCGATTATGGGCAGGTGTCCAAGTCCCTCTCGTCTTTGAGCGTTCTTGACGTGATCGAGGACAGCCGGTGACCGGTGGTGAAACATGAGACGCCAGCACACATAAATCCTTATCGACTGCCGAGCTGGTGCAGCAGAGAAGCCGTCGTGGTGTTGGTAGGGGAAGTGGAAGAGGCATATGCACAGAGAGCGGTAATTAGGCGTCGTGATCGTGGCCGTGGTGGTAGGTGTGGCGATAGGGCCGATAGGGGTAGCCGTGGCGATAGTAGCAGAACTAGCAGCAACAGTACAGCAGTAGCAGTGATGGTAGCACTCTAAAGCCAGCACAATCACTGCCACGACTACGGCTACCGCTAACGCTGCCGCTATCACTACCACTACCACCACCACAGCCACACCACACGTGAGATAAAGTGCCAGTGGTCAAATTAAATTCTACTCGGAACCCTAAACCACAGCCAGGAGCCCAGCATCCAGAGCAATGACGCTGCAATGGTTGCGGCGAGGGCTTTGGGCTTCAAGGGCTTCGATGCAGCACAGGCGACGCAAAAGCCACGATTTTGCCCGATGTTGTGAAAGTTTCAGGAGTTGGAATGCTCGTGGGAATGGGAGGTCGAGGCAGTAGCAGTTTGAAACCTTGGGAGAAGAGCATCGCAACTATGCCGCTCCACGAACCTTTGTAGAATCCTTTTTCGCCGATGGCGCAGCGTGCGTACGGCGGCAGAGCGAAGCCCTTACAAACAGACATGTTTCCCGAGAGATGTTATAAGCATCTTTGTAGCTTGCAGGATCCAAGCCTGGTCCGTGTATATACCAATTTTGGTCTTACCGATGACAGAATCAAGAATCCTTTGACGTGGTGCTCGGGCAACATCGCGCTTGCAGAAAGGCGGCTGCTGCCGATGTGCAGACGCAGGCAGCAATCCGGCTGCGGGGCAAGGCCGCACTGCTGATGGTGAGGTAGAGGTGCAGACTTCGGCCGATTTTCCGTTTTGAATCAGCTGCCTGCGATTGGTGTAACTTGAACATTGTCGGCTCGGGCGGCTGCTTGTGGCCTAGGCTCGATCTGTGGTAAGCTCTGGTCAAAGTCAGAAGTGCCGAGTTTCAACAGGTCTGCGAAGGTTTTGGGAAATGATGGGCGTGGGCGTGGACATGTGACACTCTGGGACAGGCTTGGTAATGGTATGTGATGGTGTTTGGCCTGACACGAAGCTTGCTTTGAGATCACTCTGTCACTAACACAGAGCAGACGTTCTCCTCTCGCCAGTTGCGATCCAAAGAGCTCGCGCAGCTCCGGCAGCTGGTTGAGGGTGACGAAAGGCACCCTTCAGCAGAGTTTAAGTTGTTAGCATCTAGTTTGCAGAACTTGAAATTGGAAGAATCAGAGGCAAAAGATCCAAAGAGCTCGCCAGGTTCGCCCGGCTGCTGGAGAGGCACTGCAAGGCCGGGCTCCGAAAGTCGGCTGAAGGCGGCTCAGGTGCCCAAATGGAGCGTTAGCTTTCGAAACTCTGCGAGAATGCCAGTGGCAACTTTCCTTTGCATCGAGGTGCACGTGTGGAAGTAGATTCATGACTCGCGCAACTTCATGAAAGGAATTGTCATTGCCAGACCCATTTGTTATGTGCAGTCGTTCCGTAGAAAGTTCAGGCCATTCACGAGCTCATTGCTCTGGGCAACCCGGCACCAGCATCTGAGATGCAAGTCAGTCTCGCCATGCAGAACTGTGGTCTTGTGACAGAGTGCGGTGCCACTACCAAGCCATCTGTCCTGCAGGGTTGGACTTCATGGAAGGACGCACCATAGTAGTTATCTTGACCCATACGATCTATGCTGGAGTCATTTTGCACATGCAACCCGCTGTCAGGCAAGATTGATTTTAACTCTAAACCCCGAGTCCGGAGGGTAGTGCGGGCAGTCTCTGCAAGCCTTGAGCACTTCCACGAACAGGAGTCCGGCATCCCAGGCGACACACCAGCCACAGCCAACAAACCACCTCAGCACCGAGCTGTCCAAGGTGCTGGCGGTTCTGGCCGGCCTGGTTTGGAGCAGCCTTTCCATAGCAGCCTTCCTGCAAGAGAGTGACGTTACTGAATGTGCGAACGTTGAGAGTCAAGAGTCGCAAGATGACGTGCAGCAACCGATTTTATCAACCTTGAATCAATGTGCTTGGGCATTGCTGGGAGTCGTACCGGCCGATGAGGATCTTTGACTGCGGTGGGGGTACAAAGTGTAGTAAAAGAACACGTAAGTCCTACAGCATGGTTCAGGTGCTGGCTGTCTGCAAGTCTATTGGGAGAACCTTCTGCTTCCGGTGTAGTTTTCAGCTTCGATATTTTGGGCAAGAGTGTGCATTTCAGAGTGTGTGGTGACCTTGAGTTAGCATGGTACAAAGTTCAATATGCTGAATGTTACGCCCGATACGTTCCATAAGACACATGTCATGATAGCGTCGGACCTGCTGGCCACCCTCGCCTCGCTTGTTCAGGCTTGGGAGCTAGACACCTCGCACATGCCGAAGGCTGGCGAGAGCAAAGATTTTAAGAGAGTTTTGTACGCTCATCTGTATAGTCTTAGTCTAAAGCAGTCATATATATATATATATATACACGTATATATATATATATATATATATGTACATACAGAGAGAGAGGGGTTGACAAGGGAAAGAGAGAGCGAGAGTAAGAGTGAGAGAGTGAGAGAGTGAGTGGGAATGAGAGTGAGAGTGGAGACGAAAGCAACGGGTTGGACGGACTTCGGCTCTGGAGATGCTGCTTGGCAAGACCTGGAGACTGTGGGCAGACATCGTGATGCAGACTGCTTAGGAAGGAATCAGGTGAGACATCGTTGTTTTGAGTAGAGTTGGGAAAGGGGCCCTAACACGATGATTTTGCACCGCTCACTAAAATCGGGCCACCGGCCAGAACACCGACAGTGGGTAGCCAAGGCCCGGTCGCCCTCCTCAAGCCAACCTGCTGATGGCTCCGCTCATGCATCAAACTCAACCGAACTAAGGCTCCACCCTCTCCAATAGCAGAGTTTTTTAAGCATCAGTCATGTCTCCTGTGGCAATACAGGCGAGCTGTATGTAAGAGAGGCCTTGCGCTTTCGCAACTAGGCTTGTCTGCTTGGGGGACCTCCTCGACAAAACAAGCCTGCTTCTGTACAGTCCCTTTTCCTGAACAGAGCGGTTAAATTCATGCTGATACATAAACACATATGTAGAGAACAACAGAGGCTAATTATATGTCTTCCGACTGTACTGAACAAGGAGAGAGGAAGAGTGAGCGAGAGAGAAGGAAACCGCGGGGCGCAAATACTAATTTGCCTAATCAGCCTTGACCTCGTGATGGGTGTTTTCGAAGACGGGCGTGCTCCCAAGCTTGCATGCCTGAGCCCACAGCGAAATGGAGCGCTGTGCAGTGGAGTGGCTTGGCTTAGCTCGTGCCGATGGAGCCCACATCTACCTGCAGGTGGCAAAGCCCCTGCCTGCACCCGAGCGAAGCAGGTGAAGCTCAAGGGGACTGGGTTGTACTAGGAGGTACGATGTGCCGAGAAGGCTGGGGCGAACGCCAACATCTGGAAGGTCGTCACTTTAGTCGCTGCCAGATCCCCTGTCCCATGGATGTAGCAACACAGCTGGGTCAGTAGCAACTAGTCGGTGCGCATCCTGCTGCAATTCAGTTCAGTTTCAAAAAGGTGCTCGCTTGCCTGAGGGAGCGCGGGCAACCTTTTTCTGAAGACAAAGGACAGACAAACATGATTCAGAGAAGGGTCGCTAGCTTTGGCTAGCTGGCGAAAGCGAGTGGTCTAAAGCAGCAAGCAGTTTGACTTGTTGGGTGGCGGCATGCAATGCATTCGTCCCCTCCAGCATGCCAGCAGTGTTTGGCCACGTGCTCCAAAACTGCCGCAGCATGGAGAAGTGAAAGGTCCACCGCCAAGACCATTCGGCATGTCGAACCTATTGTACCGCGCAGGCGAGGATGAAGAATGAGATCGAGCAGCTCAAAGTCAAGCTGCAGAAGGCATCTACCGTCGACTTGAGCAGGAACTAGGCCAGCAAACGAGTTCGGCCCAAGGTGCCTGTAGTGGGTTCCGTAACACAGCAACTCGCTGAGCAGCAAAGCAGGATTAGGTTCAGGCCTGCTGTTGACATCGGTCACTGGCGCAATGATCAGGTGATGGACAACTTCAGCGAATCCCGGATGTGTTACCTGAAGGAGACACTTTTGAGAAAGAAGCACCGGCCAAGACAAGCCGAGACTCGCGAATCTGACATCGTCATGAACTTCAGGCCGACAGCTTGCAATTCACGGATCGGAAGCATCCGGCGCAGCATTCCAGGCACAGACCTTCAAAATATTGGAGTGCTTCCCGGTCTAATTAATGATCTGATATGCTATGATACGGGTTCTGCCAGCATGAGCACTATATATGCTATCATATATGGACGTATGTTGCCGGCCTTTGTAGTTGTCGTAGTGCTTCAACCTCGAGCGACAGACTTTCCAATAAGTTCTCAACCAGAAGCTGTCACTGGCATCCTCGCGGTGTGCCGCCCGCAGCATGCAGCAGAGCGACGATGCGGACATTGAAGGCCAGGATGTGCAAAGCTAGCTCTCGAGATGGGTTCTTCGGACAGGGACAGCGAGGTCCCTTCTGTGTTGAGGTTCAGCAAGGTTCCAGATATCGGGTACATACTGTGCAGACAGCCAACTAATCTCATTCGACGTCAACCCCCCCCCTCTCCCGATCGTAGCCCATGCTCGATCAACGTTGAGTGCTTGTCACAGCATTTGTCAACGCCGTGTACCCATGGTATTCCGTGCTTTGACGCAAGGCTCTGGCGACTGGGCCGACTTGCTACGGCCCCGACAGGCAGAGGCTGGTGTTGGCCCCACGGGTGCATGTTGGGCCCACGGGCGCATCGCGGCCAAAATCTGTCTTTGCGATTCTAGCCGGAGTTTTAGCGAGAGAGAGAGAGAGAGAGAGAGAGAGTCCAGGCAGGCAGCTCGCCAGCACAGCCTTGGCGATAAAAGCAACTCGAGGCTCAACAAATCCTCTTCTCCAAATCTCAATTTTTCACCAAACCGAAGGCGAGGCTACACGCAGAGGGTGCGAGGGTTCGGGCTCTGTTGTCTGTGCTGAAGACGAGACTCCTATAGGCGCTGGATAAATGAAGCGGGATCGATCCTGTCAGATCCTCGAGCATGCAGAGAGGCTGATGAGGCTTTGCGCGTGGGCTTTTCCATTCTCGGCGAGCCCACGCTAGTGCCTGCCAAAGGCGACTTCTGATGGGATCTCGCATGGTCTGCAGCTTGATGACTTTTGTGCCTTTGTCAAATGTAAACACACACACACACACAGAGCAAGAGCACACCCGCAGGCATCGCGGTCGGTACGGAGCCGTCTTTTGATGCGGCTGTGCAGTCAGATGGACCGTTGCTCGACGAGGACTAGACTCACTAGACTCTAGACTTAGTCTCGTAATCCACTTGTGTTGATTGTTCGAAAGCCCTTTGCGAGGGCCGCGTAAGGGAAGCTGAAAGCTGATATACAGATAAGTATGGACAACCCAACCATGAGGTTCAGATTTTTTGTGCATTCTCGCAATTCAGATTAGCTGCTCAGGGTTGTGCAGCAGCCTGCTGTGAGCACATGTTAAACTCGGCAGGGATGGCTATACTAAGACTTCCCGAAGCGGCAAAGTGCATGTCCTCGCCTAAAATTTCCCATGTAGTCTGACATAATGTAGCAGTATGGGGGTTTATGATCGACTGCGCAGGAGGCCCTGAGCGTCCTGAGCGCCCGTGACGCGGCTCGCGTAACAGGTTTTCTGCGAGGCAGTGGGACGTTTTTGCTAGCGTTTCCCGAACCGGTCTGTATCTGTATATATAAGATATAGATACACGTTTTAGATATATTATATATACATATATCTATATATATGCACAAGGCCTCACGATCAAAACAAAGAGGCTCCTGCTGCAGCAGATCCGAAGACCTTGCATACAGTTGATCTGTGATGAGAGGTCTCCGCGACACACGCAGTTCCTTCGACGCGACCACCGTTGAGGCAGGGACCACGCACGCAATATCTGATTGCTTTTTAAATCTTTACAAGGACACACGTGCCATCGGTAGACACTCATCTTCCGACTGCAGCCCAGGATAGCTTGGCCTAGCGCGGCACAGTTCCTTTTGGTTGGCTGCCTCCATAGCAGAAGCGTCCGTTACAGGCTTCGACGGTAGCTGTCAGTACTTGGCTGTGTCACTGTACAAGAAGGTGTATCTTGAGGGCGAGACGCATGTGAAGCACGCTTCCCACACGCGAACGCGGTCACGCAAGCCCCGCCTCCAGTATGGAATGGGCCAATAGCAGTAAGACTGGTTTGTCTGTCTGTACAAGCATATATGCATATATCGCTGCATGTGTATATCTACATGAACAAATCTACACCTGCACCTAGTTGTTGACATGTATGTGCGTATAACATAGATATCTGTATTTTCATAATTTTCATTTACATGTATATTTCGTGGTTGTTTTGTTGTACATGTTTGTACACACACATATACATGTGTATACATATATATATATATATATATATATATTTGTAGAGGTAGCTTTACAGATCATTTACACAGAGATACCTTTTCATCCATACAGATACATCGGTTCCTTAAAGACGAAAAGAGGAAGAACAACTAAATGAATACGCCAATAGATACATGAGTTTACATGCGTGCATACATACATAACATTGCATTACATGACATTACATTACATTGGAGTACATAAATTCACACACACACACACACACACAGACACACACCCTCAGACGTATACATATACAGTGGGATATGCTGCGGCCCTGAGCTTGCTGGAGGCGCTTCTGCGGCTCCTCAAATCGCTTCCAGCCCCTGACGGACCCAAGATCCTGCACCTTGCGTGCATACCATGCCCAAGAGTCACCAGTCATAAGCACCTCATGTCCAGGTCATTGAAGACGACGATGGTCGGCTGAAGAGTTGTTTTTTGGTTTGTTGCATCTGCCACCACGGATGTAACCACTGTTGCTCTTCTTCGTCGTCCTCATTCTCCCCGTCCTCCTCCTGCTTCCACTCCTGCTGTTGCTTCTATGCCCACAACTGCTACCACTGCCACCACTGCTACTGCTGTGCTACTGCTACCGCTAGTACCACCACTAGCACTACCATTGCCACTCCCACAGCCACTGCCACCGCTGCCACTGCCAGTACCACTGCCACAATTAGTACCACTAAAACGACGACGATGACTACTGCACTTCTGCTCCTGCTGCTGCTGCTACTACTGCTACTACTACTACTACTACTACTACTACTACTACTACTACTACTCCTACTACTTACTACTACAACTACTACTTCGACTACTATTACGACTGCTACTACTCCTCCTACTGCCACTACTACCACCTACTACTGCTACTGCTACCGCCACTACTACTGCTACTACTACTACTACTACTACTACCACTACTCCTACTACTCCTACTCCGACTCCCACTCCTACTCCTACTACTACCACCTACTACTCCTACTCCGACTTCTACTCCTACTCGCACTCCTGATCCTACTCCTACTCCCCCTTCCTACTCCTACTCCTTCTCCTACTCCTCCAACTGCTCCTCCTACTCCTCCTCTATTCCTGCTCCTACTTGTATACGGACTCCCACTCCTAGTCCTACAACGACGACGACGACGACTACTACTACTACTACTGCCGCCGCAGCTCGTGCTGCTGTTGCTGCTTCTGCTGCTAGACGACCACGACGACGACTACTCCAACAGCTACGACTGCTACGACTGCTATTACAGCTGCTACTGCTACTACTGCTGCTACTGCTGCTTCTAGTACTATACGTCAGTAGAGCCAGGACTAGGGGGTGGAGGAGAAGGAGCAGCAGAAGTCGTAGTGGCAGTGACAGCAACCATGTTTCTTCTGCTGTTCTGTCCATTGGCAATGGAAGTTTCGAGTTTGGCACAAACCACTCAGCCAAGGTTAAATGCAATCCGGCAGGATCAGCCTGTGCTTTTCGAGCGATTGCATGAAAGCATGAGGCTGGCTTTGGGCTTCAGGGTGCTCGGGTTAGCGCAGCAGCACTTCCGGCCCTAGATGTGCAATGTGCAAGTTCACCTTCTCGTTGAAGCAGCTCGTTTGGTTTTGCCTTTCTGCCAGGCGTACCCAGCAGCGCACCGGCACCGGAACAAAGCAGTCCGGTTGCTGACTATGTCAGAATTTCGTAGTGCATGCCTTAAACTGCCACTGGTCGCGCAGAAACGTTGCGAGTACTGTTTTGTTGCCATAGTACACATCAATGCTCAGTGGGCTGAACTCTGATACTCGCCTCCTTGAATTCGAAGTCGCGAGATGACCTCCGCCATTTGTGCGCGCCACATCTGGCAATAGGAGATCGTTGCCCAGCGCGAGAAGCTGCGTCGCTTCGATGCGCTGCAGGTGCAAGAGGCACTCGGAGACTGAGCGAGATCCGGTTTTGGACATTTGGGGCGTAGAAGCTTAGGCTTAAGTTTTAAGAACCGCCTAAAGTTCGGGACCACCCGGGAATCTCTGGAGGTTAAGAGTTCATGTCGTGCGGATGTGCTTTCCGTCGTGTTGGACGATGCCAGACACCATGGTCGGATTACTGCCCAGAGAAGATTAGACTGGGTATTTTCCTACAGAAGTCTGGAGATCGTGCGTATGATAAGTTGCTACTAAGTTTGCAATGCAAGCTTGTTCGTGTGTGAATTTCAATCTAGGCCTGTCATCCGGTGTGGCGTAAGTTTGTGCGCGAACCTGAAGCACGAAAAGTGTGGAAACGCCGCTGCAGCATGAATGAACCGTTCAGCAGGACAACTGGGTTACACTGGGTGCCATGGGTGCTTCTCTACGGATATAGACAGACGGCCTGTCCTGCAGGTAGAGCGGCTGGTCTACGAAGAGGAGCCCGTGATGTGGGAGCCCCAGCATGAGGTGTTAAGCAGTTTCGTTGTTGAGCAGAGCTCTTAACTACACGCATGTTGCTTTGTGTGAATGGCGGCAGAATACTGCAGACGTGGCTGAGAAAAAGCGGGCTAGTCTCGGACACGTAATGCTGACATGTTTCTGTGAATATTGAATGCAGAGGTTCGAGGCAGCTAGAGTGCTAGCCTGGCATCGTTTTTCATGGGGTCTAAACCCCCTAAACCCAAAACCCAAAACCCCTTTTCGAGCCCTTATCGATCCCTTTAAAGGAACCCTAAACCCTGACAGGTTTTACGAGCCCATCAAGTACCTGGACGACAGGACGAAAGGTCACGTCGCTCAGGCCTGGCTGCCGGTCGACTTCACGGCCTTTGCAGTGGTCACCCGGCAGATGGGAGTTTCCGAAAATTCGGGGTACCTTATTGGGGGTCCTTATAATAAGGATCCTACAGTTTAGGGTACTGTATTAGGGTCCCCTATTGTCGGAAATTCCCAGATGGAGGTTGAAGTGGAAATGACCAAACGCTCTCGTGAGTCCATGTATTCCTGTCATTCCCGACTGCCACCCACACCGACCGCGCCGGCATGATTGGGAGAACACGGAAGCATATTGTTCCCTTAAACTCTAGATCCTAAACCCTCGACCCTTCCTGACAGATCATTGAAGAGAAGTTGAAGCTGCTCCTCAAGCGATTGGAGATGTTCGTCGCTCAGAGATGAAGGGAAGATGTTTTCATGCGTTTCTGAAGCGCTTGGAGGAGGGACACTTCGGCCCTTAGCTCTGCATTAATCGACTAGACCCTGCCCAGTTTCCAGTTAAACCATGCCATGCCCTGGGGGGTCTTGCTGCACTTTGTGGGTTTTGTGGTGATCTGGAACTACACCAAGTCAAGAGAACACAAGGAAACTGCAACCATAGAATTAGAAGGAGTGCCCAATGATGACCTGAGTCCTGTCAGAGCCAGGGGCGACGCTATCGATTGGAACACCTTCATGACGGCACCTGAACACGAGGCCAGGCCCGTGGATTCAAGCCGAAGTTTTCCTGTGAAGTCGTGGTCAGGTGAACCTTGCTGGCAACTCGTCTCCTCGTAGCCCAAGCTCACGGGGCCCAAAGCCGCGGTCCATGACCGAGAGCGCCAAGGAAGCCTGGTTCGGGTGGATAGGTTGGTATGTCGCGCCCCTTCATCTTTTTCTCGACCCCTCCTCTCCCGTTTCACCGCCTCCTCTCTCTTCCCCTCATCTCTTGTCTCCTTCCCGCCCTCTTGACCGACCTCTTCTCCCGCTCCCCTCATCTCCTCCCTGACCCCCCCATCCTGTATTCTCCGACCCCCAGCACTGGGGCAACTCACAGCCCGCCTTTAAAAGGAAGGCCCTAAGCCCTCAGTCTCCACAATGATACTGCTTTTGCCCTAGTTGTATTGCCCCTATACAGCTATACCCGACTAGGCCCCCAAACCCCACGAAAATGAGGCCCCTAGAAAACAGTGCACCCTATAAAATCTGTTAACATTCCGCGAAACACCAGAAAATCCCGTAACAACCTTAATCTAATACACCGATGTTAAGCAGCGCTATGTCGGAAACCCTGAACAATACAACCATTAGTGTAAGACCTTTATAGAAGCCAACCTTGCAGCAGTTCAGAGCTGGAAGACTACTACAAGTGGACGCAGAAACTCTAGGAGCAGCTGTCTTTCTCCAAGTTCAACACCAAATGCACGTCCGGGGGGTGCGCATGCCTGCTATGGCAGCCAGCTATGGATTTTGCAGGCGTGGCTTTTGAAGGGAAACCAAAGGTTTCGCAGAACCAAGGCAACAACAATTCAATTTTCCATGTAGGTTGTTGGCCCTTTTTCGGTGGCAAGGTCGCCGAACGTGCCAGTACAAGCAGCTGAAGGATCACATGGAGTGAACGAAACAGTCTGCAAAGCCCTGCGACGAAACACAAACTGTAGAATCAGCTTTCTCAGATTACTTCAACCCCATGTTTGAGAGGTGGGCGTGGCCTTTACACAGGAGGATAGCAAGAGTGGCAAGAGTGGGTCAATTTTCGAAAGTAGCTTTTATGGTCCTTGTCGATCTCGGAGCTTTGAGCGGTGAAATTTCCAAGCAGTCTGGAGCCCCGAGGGCCCCAGAGAGCAACTTCTCGAACGAACAACAAAAAGCCGACAGCTCGAAAAGGACCAGCGGGTTGGAAAAAGTTGGCAACCGCTGGAACAACATTTGTTCGGAAACAAAGAGCAAAGTGCTCGGAAGGCACCAACGCATTCGAGGAACAAGGACTGCAGCATCCGAGAAACAGGAGCAAACCGTTCGGAAGTGGCCAGAGCATTTGCGAAACAGGAGCACACCGTTCGAAAGAGACCAGAACATTTGACAAACATACCGTTGTCAGGGGACTAGCAAAAGGAGCAAACCGCTACAAAGGGACTGGAGTTTTTGAGAAGAGGCGCAATCGCTCGAAACGGTTCTAAGACGATTGAAGGGAGTAGAGCATTTGGGAAGAAGAACAGTCCGTTCGAAACAATCAGGTGTAGTCGCAACCAAAGGCTGACCGTCCGAAATGGACTAGAACCATCGAAAAACAGGAAAGAATGGCTCGAAAGCAGAAATAGAAGTAGCAGTAGCGGCAGTAGCACTAGTGGTAGTGGTGGTAGTAGTAGTAGTCGTAGAAGTAGTAGTAGTGGTAGTAGTGGTAGTAGTGGCAGTAGTAGCAGTAGTAGCAGTAGTAGTAGCAGTAGCAACGGCAACGGCAGCAGCAGCAGCAGCAGCAGCAGCAGCAGCAGCAGCAGCAGCAGCACAGTAGTAGTAGTGGTAGCAGCAGCAGGAGTAGTAGTAGCAGTAGAAACAGTAGTAGCAGTAGTAGCAGTAGTGGCAGTAGTAGCAAGAGTAGCAGGAGTAGGAGTAGGAGGAGTAGGAGCAGGAGGAGTAGGAGTAGGAGCAGGAGTAGGAGTAGCAGCAGCAGCAGCCGTAGCCGCAGCCGCAGCAGTAGTACGACTATTATACTGCTAGCAGACATAGTATTATAGTAGTAGTAGTAGTAGTAGTAGTAGTAGTAGTAGTAGTAGTAGTAGTAGTAGTAGTAGTAGTAGTAGTAGTAGTAGTAGTAGTAATAGTACTAGTAGTACTAGTAGTAGTAGTAGTAGTAGTAGTAGTCTTAGTAGTAGTAGTAGTAGTAGTAGTAGTAGTAGTAGTAGTAGTAGTAGGAGTAGGTTGTAAGTGGTAAGTAGTAAGTAATAAGTAGTAAGTAGAAGGTAGTGAGAAGTAAGTAGTAAGTAGTAAGTGGTACGTGGGAAGTGGAAAGTAGTAAATAGTAAGTAGCAAGCGGGAACTCGAAAGTGGGAGGAAGCAAAAAGAGGGTAGTAGCTGTTGTGATACCGTACTGAAAGCTAGGTAGGAGAGAGGGGTCAGGGCAAAGAGGGCCGGGGGGTCAGGGGAGAGAGCGACGGGATCAAATTAAAGCGGGCGGGGGTATTCACCAACACAAGGAACTGGATCAACAGAAAAGAATCCCCCTGTCGCGACTTCGAGAGAATATGCATCAGCAGTGTCCCGGGCCGAAAGGACGACATGGACTTCGGCAGAAAGGCCTGGCAGGAAAGACGATCAAGCTAGCACCGGATTTCACGCATCAGCTATACTTCCAGACTCAGCGAACAAGTGGTCGGAAGCATCAGGATTGCCTTCTCGGAGATGAGAAGAGCTGAACCGATGCTTGCCGGGGCTCCATCATTTCAACATTCGCCCCATCTTTTCGCAAACCTCAGTGAGCCTTGGCAGGCAGAAGAGGCGGTGCGGCGAGAGTGCGGAAGAGCGGCTGCAGAGGTCGAAGCTGCAGCTCCCAAACTTGTCGTCTTTGGAACTTTGACAGTTTTTGCAAAGTGTATAGTGTATACATATGTATATGAATACTATATATATATATAGATATCTATTTGTTTGTTTGCTTGTTTATATAGAGTCACATCGTGTAGACATGTAGCAGTGAAGCTTGGTGTTTAAGTAGCGTTGCCCATGCTATACGAGAACGGGATGTTTTGCCCTGCCCGATGAGGTTGACTGCAATCAAGGGCCGCATGCCTTCAACTGTTTGTCAAGAGTTTGGATTCAGGCGCCAGCGTGGTATTGGTTAAAGGTGTCGGTCTGCCAAGCTTCTCCCCACTGCCAGCAGGAGTTGCGCAAGGCTCAAGCCAGCTGCCCAGAATAACTGCTGGTGGTGAGGGCGCAGATGGCCAGTGGCAAGCTAGACTCGCAAGGTTACGAGCAGGCAGACCTTCAGCTTGAGAAACTTCGTCACAGCAGCAAGTCCAACTGCTCCAGTGCAATGGTACACCGTCCGGCGAGGTAACGGTGAGGTGTTTCACACGACAGTCGACTTTGCACCGTCCTAGTGCCCAGTTTCTGGCACCAAGGCATCTTTCAACGCACAGCTCGAGGACCGGGCGAAGTTTGGTACGTGATGGAGAAAGATAGAGCTGCCTTGGACAGACATCTTCAGGCTGGGTTTGGCCAAGATAATAGGTACTATGCAGTTGGCATCGAAATGAGTCTCGGAGGCGGACCGTCACTGAGTCTGAACGTCGACAGTGTGCCGTCAATGTGAGAGCCGCAGGAGCTTCGGACGTCCAAAAAAGCATTGGAAGGCCCGGGGGATACAGGAAAAGAACAGGACGAGAGACGTTTGATCGGTAACCGGTAACACTTTCCTTCTTATACGAAAACGTCCCTCGCAGGCTTCATTGAGCATGAAGGGCTTATAACCTTCGTCTGTTTGGTTTTGCAAGGGCAGTCCCTGTAAGCCTTAACTGGATCCTGAATTAGCCCTCACACCCCCCAACCTAAACTCCAAGATCCCAACCCCACTTCTCCTACTGTCGCCACTAGTATTGCTGCTGACTGATAGTAGAGCTACCCGACTTACAGTTGCCATCAGTGCAACTACTTTCTTGCTCCTTCTACCAGCAGCCATACTGCTGCTAGTTAGCACTCATGGCAGCATCAGTCCTGCCATCAATGCCGCTAGCTTTTACTCCTCTTGCTCCTAGCAGTATCACTAATTCAGTGTTATGTCAATCTCTGTTGCTAACTCTAGTCAGATCGCAAGTGGCTCAAAATAGTATCTAAACAATAGGAAGAAAATGGGGATCCTGGTGTTGTCGGAAATGCAAATAAAATAGGGAAAAATAGGACCTGCCCGCAGTCCCCGCGCCACTTTCCACCCTACGGCCCTGTGTTATTTTCCTATGTGTCCTAGGTTTTTCCTACATTTCCCATGTTTCTCCTATTTTACTCCGGTTGTTCTCCTATGTGTTTCCTTTTTATTCCTATTTTTCTCCTATTAAGTCCCATTCATTTCCTATTTTTCTTTTATTTCTGGAAGTCATGGTTTCTCTAGACTTAGCACTCCTGAGATTGACATAATGCTAGTGTTGTCAGACTGTCAGAAGTTCGAGTAACACTAGTGCACCCAGTGCAGTCACCAGCTGCACCACAAATCAGTCGTTTGGGTATCAAGCACGAAGGCCGAACTGTTGCCCGTCGACCCGTAATGTATGTGTTGGTAGATAAATATTATGTGTGTGTATAGATGCGCATATGCAAGACGAGTAAGCAGAAATAGCAGTGATAACTTGAACTTGAATTAACAGAATCAATATTTTAATGACGATGATGGTAGTGGTGATGATGATGATACGCGTGACAATAGTAATGTCGTCATCATAACACCTGTAGAATTCTGAGGTTTCATTTTTTTTTTGGGGGGGGGGCGGGTTGAATATTTTGGAGGAAGCACTCCTCGCCTGCCATACACCGATGATGTGGAAGTACGTCCTCGGCCCTCGCTGTTTTTCATTTCTCTTTGAAAGTTGTTTCAAGTATGCGACGCCGCTAGCAAGTTTTCTTCAGCCATGGCATGCCGCGATGCAGTCTGTGGTAGGCGGCATTGCGCTGCTGTTTTGTTGATGTGACAGGTGAGATGACTCAGCGACTGGAAGAGAGTGAGGCGCGTGTCAACAGTGCCAGCATCAGTTGTTCTTTAATCTTTTCCTCGCAGCGATTTAGGCCGAAGTGGAGGAGTTTTCTACGGGGCTGTCAGTTTAAGCTGCGGCAATGGACAGCACAGCTGCCGTGGAGATTCATGAGGCATATCAAAACCCACAGTTCTTGCGTCGAGCACGCAGAAACTTTCGACATCTTTTCAACGAGTTCACAGCTCTTGCTGGTGCACACCGCCCGGAGTGTTGCTGAACACAAGGCGAGTCAAACTAGTCAAGCATCCAACATGCTGCTACGTTACTGCAACTGCCATCCTGTTTTCCCTGAAGTACCGCAGACAGGCGCGACATGCGCAGACTCAGATGATGGTCTCGGAGTACAAGGCGCACGCTTTGCAGCTGGTTCAAGTAGAGAGACAGGCAGGGTGTGTACACTTGGTTGTCAGTGTTACACTGGAGAATGCTGGGCGATGCCATGGGAGCTTGCATGACTGATCTGCGTTGGCTGTTCTTGAGGGGCACAAACACACCTGAGAGGCAGGACGTCTCCATGTCTTCTGGCCGTCAGGGTGGACTCTCCTGTAAGCTTTGTGCAGCAAGCCATGTACCACCTGACTCCACTCCGGTTCCCCATGACTACATTCGCCACCGTTTTCACATTGCCCTCAGCTGCCTTCTCGAAGGCCAAGCACCAGCAAGCGCAGGCCAGAAGAGCTGCTTGGTAAAGCCAAGCTCATTCAGTATCAGTGTCATGCTTTTCGCTCCTAGTCCTACACTCCACTTTGTGCCCGGAACCTTCGAGTGTAACTAGTGACGAGATAGGCGTTCCTGGGCCAAGGCTTCCGGAAGTGTGCACCAAGGCTGCCCCGGACCCAAAACCCCCTGCCGAAAGATGTTCATCGCAGGGAACCAAGGCCTAACCAACTAGTCAACTAGTCCTTGACGTCTTTATTACCGTGAGGACCCGGAGCAGGCTTTCGCGGAAACTGGCGCAAGACTATGCAAGATTGGCTCGAAGCGTAGGAATGTCTCTCCAGCATGATGGTAGATAAAACAATCCGTCGTCCCAAACAGATCAACGGGAAATGTCGAGAAACACTCTGGACAGGGGAGATGTTTGCATAGCCAGCAACTGATGCCGAGCAGCTCTTTCCGTCAGTACATGTATTGAACACCAGATGAAACTCTTTGCAAACCCGTCCCTTGCCTGCATCGAAGCCTTGTTTGAAAATGAGCAGTACTGAAGACCGTGGTGCTCCTAAATTAATGGAGAAGGGTTCCGATGCATGCGCACTAATTACATGCATTGGACGCATTGTGACTTTTGGTGCTTCCGCACGGCGGCCGCGGCGAATGGGCAGCGACGTGTAGGACATCAGTGTGCGCGCGGCTCAGAACACAATGTGCACAGCTGCTAGTCGCCGCCGTTGATGGCAAGCACTGTACTATCTGCATATGTCAATGTCAATCAAGCTTTGAGTCTGCAATGTCGACAATGTCCGTCTCAGCCTTTGAGCTTTGGTCCGCACAAATCCAGCCGCCAGGGCAATCCCTGCAGTTGGAACGACGATGGCATTGTCCGAGTTCAAATGTAAGCCCCGACAATCCAATACTTGAACCTCTAAGCCCGCTCAGGCACCAGACTCCACTATGCCCGGCACCCTCCGTGCGTCCTGGGAGGCGATCTGGGTCTTGAAGTGCAGAAAGGGTTGAGCTACTGGCATGCCGGGTTTGGGAATACTGTCAAGAACCTCAGTGGTTCGGGAATCGACTATGGGGTCAACGTCTGCGTTCCCCGTTGCCATGAGGCCACAGTTCCTCACTACTGTGATCCGCCACAGCCTCAAGCTCCGACTGGAGCTCGAGAGTGGTTCGCGAAGTTGCTGGCCAAAACACAGCATCGAGGACGCGTGGGAGTGTCAGCAGCTCAGATCTCCCATTCAATCCGCGCTTCGATGCGCGATGAGGTTTTGGATGCCGACCGCACCATCATATCCATCACGGCCAGGGAGAGGAGTGTTCCTGGAGGTCGGTAGTATTCCTGGTTCATCACATGGCCAGATTGTAAACGGCGGCTGCCAAGAAGACAGCAACTTCTGTAGCACGAAGCCCCCGGCCAGAACTCTCCCAGCGCTGTGGCGTTGAATAATGAAGCTGACTAAGTCGGGGGAGTTTATACAACGGCACGGATCCGTGACAGGCCAGTCACTCTTCGAGAAGTACGGCGTTCTTCAACATTCCAGGCGCTTTCGGTTTAAAGGTTTCCTGTGGCTGTAGATTTTGCAAACGGAGGACGTCGAGGTCTGCTGCATCCCATGAGACCGCATGCAACGCCGGACAGGCATCAACAAGGGAATCGATGAGGCACGATGCTGAGAGAAGCCTCACATGAGCACAGTGGTGCCTACAAGAGTTCGTATACGTTTAGCCCCTTTTGCCTGGCTTCGGCACCTTACCGTCCGAGACTTTCACCCAATGAACTGTGGCCCAGGATCAGCGCACAGAGTATGGGGAGCCATTCATCGGAAACACAGACGCCGGCACAGTTTTCGGGTCGCTGCCTGAGCCGAGACCGTCGCCGTCACAGGTGAGCCGTCGTCACCAGCCCGCGTCCAATGCAAGCGCATCTAGTTCGCACCTTCTGGCACACCTACAAATGAATGCAGGCAAGCCTCCGTGCGTGTATGAGTGAATGAGCGCATGCAAGCCTCTCTGTTACAGCACAGTACACGTGTCCAAGTCGATGCCAACCTTGCTGTGCTGTGAGTCCACCTGAGGCCAGCGAACCTCATGTCCATGGGCAAAAAACGACTGCAGGCGGTAATGATGATTATTGTGTGACAGTGGCATATGGCCCGGATAGCTGAGTCTGAGACATAATCAGAACTGACACGGGGACCTGAATTATCGATTAATGATGCCAGTCATGTCGGATCAGTTGTAGTTTCTTCGTACTAACATCATCCGAGTGTCTTTTCGGCAGTGTATGGGTTCAGTTCTGCCGGGCTCGTGGCGAGGATTTGTGTGGGAAGAGAAAATCAATCCAAGTATTCTGGATCCCTCGCCTTGGGGGGCGCAACTTCCATGTTCAATGTTGAAACTGCTGCGAAGACATAATCCAACTGCCCGCTTCGAAGTGCCAGGGGTTCTTGAAGAAGAGGCTCCAGAAGGCAAGCCGCAAGTGACCGGATGCAGCAGCGGTCCTTCCGAATGTTCTTTTCAGCTGGAGTCTAGAGAAGCCTCGGAGGACGTGGAAGTAGGATACTGCACAATCGCCTTTAGAGAGAGAATGGCTAAAGAGGTAAGCAGAAGGGCAGTCAAGTGGGGAACCAGGGAAGGGACGGCGAGGCGATGTGACGCTGTTTCGGCTCATAAATGAAGCCCTTAAAGTGAGGTTGTACAGCAACCAAGACCTGTCGCCTCTCGCGATTGCAGACACAGAACAAACAAGCTTGCTGGACTACTCCTGTGAACATGCCTTGGTGACTGGTGGATTGAACTGCATCGCTGCAAAGGAGGTCAGTAGAAGGAGGAGTAGCAGCAGAAGTATTTAGTACTGCAGTACCAATCGCTCTCGTCGTCGCCGTCGTCGTCCTCGTAACAGCATCGCGAGCAGTGGCAGCGGCGGCATGTAAGCCATGCCGATCGGTATTCCAACTTGCACTAGAAGTTGCAACAAGCAAGATGTTCGAGCGTAGAGCTGGCCTTGCGGAGCTTCAAAGAGTCTGGCTTTAGTAGATGTTTTCATTGTCGATGATTTCCTGTTTTGACAGACATGCTGACGGAACAACTCTGCCTCATCAGACAGGCTGTCGTCGACGAGCTGGAAATGGATGTCAATGCTGCGGACCTCGATCCACTCACGTGGCGGACTCGGGGATCATCAATTACTTCCTGCCTTGCTTTCCTGCTGCGTTGGCAGGATTGGAACCACTGTGCACGAACTCCCGATGAGACTGGCAGATCGCTGCAGTTTGCACAAGCACTCAAGCACTCCCTTTGTTTCCATGAAGAAAGGCGACTCCTTTGACGTTCCAAGTTCAAAAAAATGCGGGGGGAGCTGATTACTGATATCATGTGCTCCCTGGCTCGATGCAAGCGTAAAGCCAACCCTGCTGTTTGTGAAACCCAGAGTAGATCCCTCTAGTGATCCGCCTCAGCCACAACCTGCGCTGCCAAGGGACAATGCAGAGGCCTACGCCGTCAGCGCTCCTCGGCCTCAACCGCCATGGGGGAATGTGCTTCGTGGCCGGACTACACATCCGGATGCTTCGAACAGTTGACGGTTTTTTTTGCAAGCATCGGGAGTTCAGCCAAGGGGCCAATCCGTGAACTCATCATTCTGCGATATTCTGCGGATATTATGACCGCCGCAGACGAGCATTCAGTCATCAAGGTGTGATCAGCAGGAATTAAGCCCCCAAGCAATGTCCGAAAAGATGCACCAGGGCCTGCCTTGCGGACGTACTTATGTAGTACCTGGTTCACAAGATGAAGTCGTACTGGAGGTGCCTTAATTCCCCCACATCTGCAGCTTCATAGACTCATAGACACCCAAACCACAGTTAACTATCACAGACATGGTTTTGTGGCTGCAGCAGCATAATCAGCTTTAGAAGAGACGCCGTTCTGTACGGGCCGGAGGCGCAGTGATGATTTAGACAATTATGACAGGACCGTTGGCAAAGATCATCGTGATGATAGCGGCGTGTAGCAAGAACGCACAAATCGCCTTTGACCCGCGGCTGAGTAGTCTTCAAAACGGCAAGGACGGTAATAAAAGCAAATGGTTTCCAGCCGACATGAGCAGCCGTAGCCCAAGGCACAGACTGCAGCTTGGAAAGCTACGCGTCCGGCCCTCTAAAATTTAGCACCTCTCGTCACTTCTGCCGAATCATGCTGAGTATGAGGCACGCCAAAAGGTTGTTGCTGCTGCTGATATGCAGCTGCAGCTAAGCAGCTAAGCCCTGCTTCCCTGCTCCCTTCAAGTCTGTGACTCTCTAATCTAACCGCTGACTGTTGATCCGCAATTCTGCTTCGCAGTGCAGTGCAGGTACTCAAGCCCCGGAGCTCAACCCGACATGTAATGCGTGTGTGATAGCTTTCTTCTTGTCGACCACGTTGCATGTCATTGTGACTACAGTGACTACGTTTTTCTGCAATGCACTGTATAATGATGAGACGTGATAGTCCGCGGTTCCAACAAGAGGAAGCCGACCAAGGGGCTGCGGAGCAAAGTCTCCCACGTGAAGCAGGGCTTGACCGCGGGGTGGCCCAGAGCAAGTGCACAGAAGGAGCAGGGCTTTCGCGGTCTCCCTTCTTCGAAGTCCTAAGTCCTTTCCTACGATTTTTGGCAGTGGAACCACTGCATGTGCTTAGTGGTCGTCGTCGCGTGGGGGAACTGTACAAGGAGTAGGAGTACGCAGCAGTAGCTGTAGCAGTACATGCAGGCATGAGCAGCGGTAGCAGCGGCAGCAATACGCGTACTCGTCCTCGAATACCATGACGTCCCGAGCTCGGGTTCGGACGCGCGGGACCTCAGTTGCGGCCAGGAATCCCGGCCAAAGTGGACTATGCCTGGAAGGCCGCCCTGCAGGTCGGCAGCTTGACGATGTGTTTATGCAGGTGTACCGGTATTCAATTCCTGCTTGTGCCAGTTCAAGGTGTGGGAGATGCTAGTAATAATGGTCAAGGCAGTGCTGCTAATGCGGTCAAACACTTGCTACAAGCACTGTCGCGTGACGTTCAGTTGTACTACGAGGAACACCAACCCCTCAAACACAGGCAACCCGCATGGCACATTCACAGCGTTTGGTTGTCAGCACCTCAGCTGGCATGCATCCCAGTTCGGTCGCCGTGCCTCCGGGGTCTTCCGTGGTTTCACCGGTTCTTGGACATGCCTCCTGCTATGGTGCCTGCTGATCTTGTCTTCCGGTGCACCTGGCCCAGCGAATCGTGAAGGAGGAAGTTTTTGCTAAGGATCAGCAGCTCAACATTACACGACAGGATCGTGGAGTCCTCGGCAGGGGAGTTAGGTTAAAGTTCGTGGGACGCAGAATGAATCGTTTCACGATGGAACCCTTAGCCTTAGCCGTAGCTCTGAGGATGATGTAATAGTTATTAGTAGCTTCACAAAGTCGGCGTCCCTGCAACAACATGTCCAAGTTTGTGGTATCGCCTGCACGAACGACAAATGCTGCCGGATGGGTTTTTACTTGTAGTTCCTGGCCCTATGCACATCAGAATCAAGAGCTTGACAATCCTTCTTTGAACTCCCCCAGCAAAGCACGCAGTCCGGAAGCTCTTGAGTCTTGATTGGTTGCCCAAATGTCTTCTGTCGACCTCTGAGTCCAAGCTGCCGTCGATGCCATGGCATCTTTGTGGTTTCTTCCTGTTTCCTTCGCTAGTTTGCTCGCATAGCAAAGTTAATTTGTGTCTGCTGTCATGCTTCTTGCTATGTATACTCGCTCTACTCGACCAAAATCACGCAACGAGTTCTAGTTAAGACCTTGGGCATGACGATGCTGCGAACCTGCATCCCACGCCTTCGGGACTTCCCCCGAACCCGAGATCTTCGACAAGGTCGTCAGGTCAGCGCGGCCGTCGACGAGCTTGTTGGCAACATCGCGGATGCGGTGGAGCAGTCATTGCCTTAGATGTCTTCAGTGTGAGGTTACATGTGGGGTTTACATGTCCCAAGTGTTCTGCAACGCCAGCCAAAGTATAATTCACCCACGAGCTTTTCCAAAGCCCCTTGTGGCTTCAAAGCTGAAGCAGGTTCGAAAGCTAGTGCGGCTTGAGGCTGGCAAGTGCTTGCGAAGCAGCACAGCCCTTGCAGAATCGGAGTCTTCTGCCCTGCTTACGCCGAGGAAAGACCCAGTGCAGCAGGGGCCTTCCTGGCAATTTGAAGCCAACCGTTCGTTTGCTGCTGAAGTTTCTCAGCATGTTCATGTAACCTGATTTAATTGTGTCTTTGGAAGGTCCAAGGTCTGTCAAAACCGAACAATTAAATCAAGAATTAATTTTATTTAACTTCTGGATTCATTGGTTTTCCTACTCATGTAGAGGCTCACATCTATAAATGCACACATATTCCGCATGCCACGCACCTATGTTAACATGCAACTTGTTCTTCGTACATATACATATACATATATACATACACGTTTATATACAGATATATATATATATATATATAGGCTCCTGCAGCATGAAAATGTCGAGTCCATTGCATTTGTGACTTTTCCAGTCAACGCTTCTCTGATGAGGCACGTCCCTATGCATAATTGGATACCTAATCTGTATTATGCATGTACAGACATGTATCCGTGTATCCATTGTAAGATGCCTCTGAAGCAACATGACGCATGGCCATGGTCTTTCTTGATGTGGCGGGTCTGACAGCTCCAGCACCATGGCTCCAACACCATGTTAGCTTTGGTCCGAGCATGCTTTTGTTTTCCAACTGTTTGTCGATCACGTGCTTGTGTTTGCCAGCTTTTCTACCGAGGCAGTTTCCGATCCGGCAAGTTGTTTTCCAATTGCTTGTTCGTGTGTTTGAAGCAAATTGAAGTGGCAGCTCCCTTTCCGGTGTGTTTTGTTCCATGCCTTTTGTTATGGACCACCTGCTGTTGTTTACGGTAGGTTTTTTTTTCAGATCTTTGTTGGATAACATGTGTTGTGGCCGACAATCATGTTTGCATTTGTTGTGTCATTTGTGTTTCTTGTGTTAAACCGACCGAAGCAAGAAAGTCCTGCTTCCAAGTAGCAGTAACACAGGCAGATACCAGCAGCAGTAGTAGTGGTAGTAGTAGTAGTAGTAGTAGTGGTGGTAGTAGTAGCAGTAGTAGTAGTAGTAGTAGTAGTAGTAGTAGTAGTAGTAGTAGTAGTAGTCGTGGTAGTGGTAGTGGCAGTGGGAGTCGTAGTAGTCGTAGTAGTTGTAGTAGTTGTAGTAGTTGTAGCAGTAGTAGAAGTAGTAGTAGTAGTAGTAGTAGTAGTAGTAGTAGTAGTAGTAGAAGTAGAATTAGAAGTAGTAGTAGTAGTAGTAGTAGTAGTAGTAGTAGTAGTAGTAGTAGTAGTAGTAGTAGTTGTAGTAGTAGTAGTAGTGGTAGTGGTAGTGGTAGTGAGTGGTAGTGGTAGTGGTAGTGGTAGTTGTAGTGGTAGTGGTAGTGGTAGTGGTAGTGGTAGTAGTAGTAGTAGTAGTAGTAGTAGTAGTAGTAGTAGTAGTAGTAGTAGAAGTAGAAGTAGAAGTAGAAGTAGAAGTAGAAGTAGAAGTAGAAGTAGAAGTAGAAGTAGTTGTAGTGGTTGTCGTAGTAGTAGTAGTAGTAGTAGTAGTAGTAGTAGTAGTAAGTATGACGTGGTGGTGGTGGTGGTGGTGGTGGGAGCAGCAGCAGCAGCAGCAGCAGCCCAGGAAACCGAATTACTTGGTCATCGAGGTCGAGTGTCGTGGGGCAGCAGATCCAGGATCAAAGAAGCCGTTTCTCACGACGATACGCAGAGATCAAGGGGGCTTGTCGCCGTGTGGGCTGTGCGCTTGCGCGGTACTTGCACCCTAAAGCCCCAAGCATCCCCAAGCAAAGCAAGCGATGACGACGACCGTCTGCAGAAAGACTGGACTGAACTGCGGGCACACGAGGAGCACGCAGACTAAGACAGACCTGGGCCAAGCAGGTTACAGCGCCAAGAAACGGCAGTGATTGAGTGCCAGTGCAAGAGCAGTCTGCGGAACTTTCAAACTCCCACTCAAGCTATTTGTCCATGTCAGGGTCGCCGTAGAGGCCGTGAAAAGAAGCCTGGAACCTACCGTGCTGCGTCAGAGCATGCACCGTTGAGCATTTGACGCGGGTAGCTCCTCCTACCCGCCCTCCACGATATCAGTTGCAAGCGGCCCATCAGCGGGATGCTTCCCGGACTAGACGGTTTCTTCCGCCAGAGAGACAGGTTGCATTGGCTTGACCTCAGCTTGATGCCAACTAGCTACTGTGCAGTGCCATAAGCCACAAGCTACAGCTGTGTCGCAATCTGTTTACACCCCTGGCCCTGACTCTGACTACTGTGGCACTCTGGACTCTGGTATTCGCTTGGCATGGCTAGCTTCATGCCGAGGGCACCTCGTTTTCCACATTCGAAGCAAGGCTTCGTCTCACCCAAGCCACTGACCCCACAGCAGTCCACGCAACCTCGCCCGGATCGCTGAAGTATGCCAGCAAAGCACTTCAACAGATCTTCTTGCACCCTGAGCTGGCCCCAGCATCTGCACTTCGCGCATCTCTGCTAGCGCCCTCCTCACTGCAGACTTGGCGATGGTGCAAGATTTGCAAGACACGGTGGAGGAGACCCCGGTCGCTTGGAACAAGGGTTCGATGTGGAACGTGGTGTTTCGGTGCTGCGGGCCAGCTAGCGTAATCAATTCAGTTCAGATTTAGCGTCAAGACCATTTTATCTTTGCGAACGCCCTCGAAACTGCAGCTTCCTGTAAACCGAGCCGAAAGGTAAGTCCCAATTTCTGAACTCGTAGCTGGTATTGCGGATACAGACTTTGTTGGCCCTTTTGCAACTTTTATATCATGAAAAGGCGAAGCCGGGGGCTTAACCCGTCACGATTGGCATTCTAACTCTAACGGTTTCGCACAAACTGATTGACTTGTGACTCGGGCAATGCCTCGTTCGAGGCACACCAAATGCAGTGGCCAAGCGTGCTGATTGCTTGTCTCATGTAGGGCATTGTGTAACCGTGATTCCGTTTCAGTGTACTACAGCGACTGCCAGGAGGACTTCGACAAGCTGGAGAAAGAGCAAAAACTGCTGGAAGCCGAACTGCAGGCGAAGCTTCCTTTGGAGAATCCAGTTTCAAACGCCCTTGGACCTTGGGAATATTGACTGTTCATAAGCATCACTGCAGTCATGAAGGCAGCCTTCTGAGGCGTTGAGGCTGCGGACACGAAGCACTCACCAGGATCAGCGCAACAGCCTCGCACTCTCGGCATTTCCAACTTATCAAAGTCGCAGCCATCGAAGCAGTTCGTCTTGTCCCGCCCGGTCATTCATTTCGGAATGAAGCGATTACCTCACTCAGCTGTGTTCCTCGTCTATCAAAACGCGGGGTCCTGCAATGGGCTCATGCTCGGCCTCTCTTATGTAAAAGCGCGCTGATTTCTTTTCCAGTCAGGGGCCGAGCAGCATCCGAAGCGTATCAAACGTCCCTCGGCAAGGAGGCACAGAAGTATCCGCTGTATCCCAGCCGTGACTACGTCGCGGGAGCCTAAGCAGTGTCATAGCTTCAGATTCAAAAGGCAGAGGGTCCAAAATTGCAGCTGACACCAAAATTCTCCAGCCGATGATCCTGCACCACTTTTGGACACACGCAAGCTGCTCCCTTTGGTCTCCAATCTACTCGGCTCTTCTCCCGCTTTTTGATACCTTTTCGGCAGTCCTCGACAAGGCTTGTCTCTGCTGTCTGACATGGTATACTATACTTGCCAACATACCGTCCCTATATTATACTTCTCAGTATTCCTATGCATTATTTGGTACACAGCCGGAGAAAAACAATCGAAAGGGCAACGGAGACTTGAGCTCTGCAGAGGTCGCCTCCGTACCAGAACCCGGGGAGCCTCCGCCTCCGGAGGTGCGGCGAAGACCGTGTCTTACAGGGGGCTGTAACACGCTTCTAAGGTTCTAGTCGGGGTCTATGCTGTTTCTATAGAGTTTTTCGTGCTAGTATCTTCCCGCCTTGGGAGCTTGCCGTGAGGGGACGTGTAAATTTGCAACAGTTACACAAGTGCTCAGCGAACCGGCCCGAAAGCCCTTGCCCGTAAACGTCGCAACAAAAGCCAGTCTCGTGATGTCTCGTGTGGCTTTCTCTTTCGGTCGAGCTTGGTTCAGAGGACGTCGGAGCTCGCATACGACAAGCCTGCTAAAGGGTACAGTATCCTGCAGTATACTCTCCCACACCCTGTGTACACAAGATTCATGCGCTGTGTAGAAGCATTTCTCCACTGCTTCGGGCGAGGACATCATGAGAGCTGAATCGAAGTGCACCGTCTAGCTAATTCAAATGATTAGTCAGTGTTCCTGTTCGCACTCGACAGCTGCCCCGGTCCGGACTTAGCCGCGGTCAACATTTGTCGCCATTATCTGTTAGCTGTCCGAACCTAGCTCTTGTCAAGCGAATGCTCCCAACAACGAAGCTTTATGCTGTTTGCTTTGCTTTGCTTTGCCACTTGTCCGTTGACCCTCGACTACCTGCTCAACAGTGCAAGTAGAATCGCTTCCCTTATCTTCCCTTCCTTGTAACACCTCGACGGTTGGTTCGCGAAAGCCAACTTGCGAACACTCATGTCCCTGTTCGTTGGCGAAATCTGCAGATTGTCATTGGCTCGATGGACACGGATGTGCCGAAGGCCTGCTTCCGGACGGACACGTCATGGCTGTTTGGACTGTGCAGAGAGTTCCGTCCACACGATTCGTTCATGTCACATGTCTGTCGGGCTGAGGTGTAGGTGGCCGAGGAGCCAGTTGTTTATGGTCCACTGCTTCACATGGCCATTATTTGGCATAAGATGCAGCTGGGTTGTTGTACGCTCATGCAGCAGACACAACCGCGCTACCTCGTAGCAAAACCAACATTGCCCGCCGTATTCACGGCCAAATTTTGACGTTTGGAGACGTGCGTGCCCGAATGCTCAGGTCGAAGAGACATGACATCCCAAGCCGCCTTCAAGATGTGAGGTCGGGACCATCATGATCCAAGATTCCCGCCATGCCCACCCCTGCTCGTGTCGTTCTTGCGGTCACCAGACATGTCAGACTGTCAGAGCTGCTCACTGTGGCAACGGGCAACGCCTATGAAGACACGCAGAGAAGGAGCCAGGATCGGTGTGAAAGACTGCGACATCCTTCATCCATGCCAGCAATGCCAGCAATCAGCAATGAACAATATACGTCTAACTAGTAGGTTGCAACATACATACATGCATGTAAATGTACACACATATGTGTCCGTGCACACACACACACACATTCGGGAGTTGCTGGGTCTCTCTTTCTTGCTCCACGAATATCCATGTTATAATGTGTAGGTTTACGTAAATGTTTTGCACACGAGTAAGTTCTTTCTGTCTGGGAAGGCTGCTGGACATCTTCGTGGCCGCTTCAGTTACTGCAGGGCGCATTTGCGTGCCAGAATCAAAATTCTGCGTTGTCATTCAGATCGGCTCAGTATTCTAGGGCTGCTGCGGTACAAAACCTACATGATGTAGGCTCTCGCATCAGACTGTGGTGCATCGGAAACCGCCAAGACTCCGCCGCATGGGTAAAGTCTTTAAAGTCAGCATCACCTGTTAAAAGCCTGCCGTGAATATCGGGGGTCGCAGCTGATGCCTTGTTGCTTGGGCAGACGGCTTCTTCAAGAGCTCAGCATGTTTCTAGCTGACCTGAGATATCGTCGCTCCGGCAGGCCGAGCTTTCATCCATGGCAGCGGCCATTCAGAAGGAGTTCCAGGCATGCTGCCGAGAGGGGTTCAACATGCAGACGACTTGTGATATTTGACAGCGACCACTCACTTGCAAGGCCGCGCAAGTTTGTGCCAGACTAGCAATTCTTCAAGCCGAATCCTGACTGAACGATATGCATCTAAGTTACTTGCGAATCTGCAGCGCTACCAAGCCCGAGAAATATTTGTGTGATAATGACATGAAGACAATGCTGCTGCCGCTGCTGCTGCCGATCATCAATGTGAATGGTTTTGCTTGTGCCGCTCGTTTATTAGCTTCAGTCGTAGTGGTAGCAGCAGCAGTACGAGGAAGAGCTGGAGGAGGAATGGTCAAACACTAAAGCGGGTTGGCGCGATCCAAATACTGTAGGGTGAAGTGCTCCCGATCTAAATGCCGATACTTCGAGATGGTCTTAGTAAGACGACAAAGCATATGCACACCAGGTGTTGTGGGCCCGCATCAGACCACATAATTAAAAATTAGCAATCTAGGCTCCGGCGCTGTATCGGCGAGCATGGTGCATCGTGTGTGTGTGTGTGTGTGTGTGTGTGTGTGTGTGTCTGTTGTGTGTGTGTGTGTGTGTGCTGTGTGTGTTATGTGTGTATGTTGTGTGTGTGTGTGTGTGTGTGTCTGTGTCTGTGTATGTGCGTGTGTATTGCGCGTGTGTTGTGTGTCTGTGTGTTTGTGTGTGTGTGTGTGTGTGTCTGTGTGTGTGTGTGTGAGTGCGTGTGTCTTTGTGTGTGTGTGTGTCTCTGTGTGTGTGCGCGTCTGTGTGTGTGTGTTTGTGTGTCTGTGTCTGTGTATGTGCGTGTGTGTGTGTGTCTGTGTCTGTGTCTGTGTTTGTGTGTGTGTGTGTGTGTTTGTTTGTGTGTGTTTGTCTGCTACTACATCAGAAAGCTTGTAATCGAGCTCTATACATCTATTGGATTTCAGGACAGAGCTTGAAACACTGGAGCGTGTTCGCGAGGAGATGGAGCAGCTGCCTGGAGGAGCGACCGACTGTCCACTAGCATCTCAGTTAAGATTCCCGTGAACTTACCACATCCCTGAAAAAGTCAGACACGGCAGAGGTGGGTGCGCTGTTTTCGAAAGCAGCGCTGCGCTGCCAAGTTGTTGCAGACCGCTGTTGCTTGTAATTCCTGGGTGTGGGTTCCTGGTTCTTCAGCTGAGCATCCCTCTGCAATTTGGCTCAAAGCGCGATTGCAAACAGGCATTCAGCCTTTGAGTGTGAGCATTTCCACAGCACCTCAGCAGCATCAAGCCGCTAAGGGCCACCCGCAAGGAGATTTTGACAAATCGGAGGCTGAGGCATCGCCTTTGGAGATTTAGGTCTGCGGAGGACCGTAGCTCCTCAAGTGTCAGTGGTCAACATATGCCGACATTAGGATCCTCCCTCCCCTCCCTGGCAGAGACGACATCGGAACGGGCTGTGAACGACTTTCGTCAATCCTGACAGACATATTCATCCAGATTTCTCGGCCATTTTTCGAAGTCACGTATCGGTTTCTGGTGACCTTGATCTGCACAGATTGTTCCCAGCTCTCAGGCCCCGTGCTTGAATCGCCATGTTGGACCTGATCACGATCATCTCCGCGGCGGGATTGCAGCAGGAGCTGAAGCTTGGATGCTGTTTGGGGGGTGGTTGTTTTTGGGCACGGAAGATGGCCAGCGCACTGCACCAACACGAGGGATGCCAGCAGCACCCGGAAAATGTGGCTGCACCAAGGAAGTCTGCGAACGGAGACAAGAGCCTGGTGATTCGTGAGGACGTCTGAAGCCGTGCTGTGCTTTGTCTTCTCTCTTTGCGACCGTTCACCTTCTTGAACACGCAGCCTTATGTAGGCATGTTGAAACACAGATGTTCCGAATCGCAGGAGTCCGAGGAGGGAAGCTTCGTGGAGAGCGCCGCCAGCCAAGTGTCCGCTGCTCTGGAGTCCTTCGATGAGGCAGGGAGATGCACCGTGAGGAAAGGGCGGGGCTGCATATCGAGGATTGTTTTCCCTCCAAAGGAAGCAGGTATAAGCCGTTTCTTCAATCTCGTGTCCGCACTACTGTAGCGGATGCTGGCTCGGACTGCATCCCACTGTCTGTGCCAGCATTGTTTCCTGTTAAGAGTTAAGGGGTCCCTGGACATCACACCCCTTAAACACGGCCTGGCAACCTCAGAACATTGCTGGAAATGCATGACAATCAATCTTGAAGGCCGAAAGCATGGACAATCCCCGTGGCGCAATCATGTGAGCTCTGGGGCCAACAGCCTCTGTTTGATAGACATTCCAACTAACACAACGTGGCAGGTGGAAAAGGGGCGTGTAAAAAACAAAAAGAAAGCATGGACAGGCAAACCTTCCCTTCCTTGTCCAGGCAGTGTCGCAGGGGATGAGCGCCTTGGTTCCCAAGGTCCAGAAATTGGTGCGGTGGCAGCGAAGTTGCATCATGCTGTCCGCAACCAAGGTGCCCTCTTCGGCAGTAGCTCCTCTTCCGACGAGGCCCCTGTGGCCCTGAAGAAGGTGGATGCTTGGCGAGAGAGCGCGCACACCGGCACGGCATAATGACCATTCCGTAATGATCATGTCCTTACTTCGATGTCCGCAGCCACCTGAACGTCTGGAGAGGTGTTTTTCGTTTTTGAGAGCGGGGCGGGGGTTTTGAAGTTAGTTTGAAGTTCATGCTGCCCAGGGGCGGAGCCACGTCGAATGCTGTTGTTGCTGCAACGACGCTACCACTCCTGTGTTGCTGCAGCTACAATTATAATTACTACCGACACTACGGCTCATACTACTGCTACGCACTCCCGACTTCTGCTACAGCCTTTACTCGTGAATTGGTTCCATGTCGTCGTGGTGGACTTGTCCAACAAAAATTCAAGCCCCCGCATGCGACACGACTTAAACTAAAATTGGTGTTCAGGATCCACTCCCGAACGCTCAATTCGTGTGGCAGGCATGGTTTCAGCACCCATGTAATCACGACAAGGTGTTGTGAGCAGGCCTACACCCGGAGCATCCCGGAGCGAAATGTCCATCAATAATTGCCTGATTGCCTCTGAAGACTCGAGCAGGCTATAGCTCAGTATGAGGCACTGCAAGTTGCTAATAGGGATGTTTGTACCTATGCGAGGCTGTTTTCGAGGTGCTTTTGCTTGTTCTGAATACTAAACAAGACACACGCGCACGTGCAACAAATGCCTTGGTATATCTTGCCGGGTCGAGGCCAGGTCCGATGCCAAGATACGGGCCTGACCAGTATGTGGAGTACGTTTGTGAACCATGGTGGGTCCATCCCTTGAGCAGCATCTTCGAATTGCCATTGCGAGAATATGCCGATGCCCTCACGTTCCCGAGCAACGAACCTATGCAAAACCACCAAATGCTGTCATACTGTACTTAAAACTTCTGGTGGCATGCAAAACCTTATAGTCAGTGTATCAATGGGAAAGCTTCGATTTTCGGTCTCAGTCACATCATTAGATGCTATTCGTATTATATGTTCTGTGAGTTGTACATAATAAGTTGTATTACATCCAGCGTGCATGATATGTGTAAGCTGCTTGAGTCTGTTTGTCTGCCTGTTGGGGACCGCTCAACGCCCAGAAACCCCTGCCTGGCCGCAGCATTCAAGCCTCACAACCGAGGACTGAGCATCAGACACGGGCGCCGCGTTGGAAGCAGACCAGACGCATATAGTATAAGCAGTATAAGAGAGTCTTCATGAATTCTGACAGGGATACGGTTGCAGTTTTCTCTGAAGAATATGTTTAGAACATGCTGGAGTTGTGGCGAATGGTGTATGCATCGCACCACATTGACAGCCAGACAGATAAGCAGCTACATACGCATATTGTTCACATGTGCACATATAAGGGTGGACGATATGCCTGCATTCATGTGCACATACACGTCTGTGCAAGGTTTTGCAGATGCAGTTGATTGTATGTCGGGGGCAGAGGCCGCTGTTGCGGTCTCTTGCCACGACCGTCAAGAGAGGATGGTCTGGTCAGCTTCCCGCTTGTAATTACAGAAGATTGCTTGCAGGAGCGACTCAAGCAACAAAGCGCATTTCCTTCAGGGTTGAGGTGCTGTGGATAAAGCCAGGCGACCTGAACACTTCGTCAGGATTCTGACATGCAAGCTCCTGGCATCCACACGCCCCAAGACACTCGAGCTTGGACTGAGAGCCACCTATTGCAGAGCGAAAAAAGTCTCGCGGTGGCTTTCTGTGACGTTCCATCTCGGGCTCTCCTTCCCTGTGGTTATAGCAAGCCGCTGCGCCCGCTTAGGAAGTTGTGGTCTTGTTGCTCCGGGCAGCCTATGCCAGCATTGCAGGAATGTCGGGTTAAGAAACGAGACGGAACTTTAGCGGCATTTGCCCTGCTGTCTGCTCGATTTGGGCTCAGAGCGCAGTCTGCAAAGAGGCCTTCAGATTTCCAAGTCTGCATATCCAAGCATCTCTGAGCAGCTTGGATGCATACGAATCAGCGATGGATTGCCTGGAATTTGAACGGTGGGATGTCGGTGAAAAGCCGGCACTGGCACCGGCACCGCCCAATTAAGCTTACTCGAACCCGCAGCAACAGCTACGCGCCTTGCGCCAAGGCTCCGCTCAAATTTCGCCATGTTGGACTTGATCACGATCATCTCCGCGGCAGGATTGCAGCAGGAGCTGCTGCTCGGACATCGAACCGAACCGCTGGGTGCATGTGGGCGTTGCCATTTTGTGGGGTTTCATTTTGACAGAGCATGCCTCGCATTGCCCAGCCAAGTCCCCTCTTCCCCGATGGCTAGACGATGAGTTCCTCCTTCCGTAGCTGTCTCAAGTATTCTAGAAGACTCACGTGGACATCATGTCTGTTTCACCATCTATGTATCAGAACACATACATATATATGTATGTATACGTACATACACATATATGTATGTATGTATGTTAATCGTATATGCTCATGCGCATATGTAAATGTATATGTAATGCACAAATGCATGCGTGGATGTATGTACTCGCATGTACAGCAATACATGGGTGCATGTATGTATGTTTTCATGTATGTAGATATGCACGTGTTTATAATTGCTTATATGTATGTATGCATATGTGCATCGATCCACATATGTATGCATACCCATGCATGTGGGTATGTCGCTATGCAGGTATGTATGTATGTATGTATGTATGTACGTATGTACGTAGGTGCATGGTTGTCTGACTGTCTGTCTGTCTGTCAGTCTGTCCGGCAGTATGTATGTTTCTATGTGTACATATACGTATAGGTATAGATATATATATATATATGTATGTATGTGTGTGTGTGAGTCTGTGTCTGTGTACGGGTATTTGTATGTGTATGTGTATGTATGTACGTGCGATTTTATGTCTTGATGCACGGATGCACAGACTGGCATAGATTCTAATAGATGCATGGATGGGTGCAGAGTGGATGGATGTATTTGTGTGTCTACGTATGTAGGCATGCAGGCCTATAGGAGGGTACATATGTAGGTGGGTATGTATATATATATATATATGTATGCATGTATATAAAGAAATATATATATATATATATATATATGTATGTATGTATGTATGTAGCTATGTGTCTGTGTATCCACCTATGTATGTTAGATAGCTAGATGGGTGTGCACGAATGCATGGCTGCCTGCATGCCTGCCAGTCTGTCTGCAGGTGTGTAGTTAGGAAGGTCGCAGGGTAGGTAGGTAAGGAGGTAGGTATATGTATGGATGTGTTTTTTGTTGGTAGAAAGTGTTTGTTTGTAGACACATTCGCATTTGAGGTGGGTACATAGACATAGAGGCATTTGGCGACGGACACAGGCACACAGCATACACGCGCTGATGCTTACTTGTCGACTTTGTGTTTACGTTTTACATTCTACTTGCTATAGACACACATGCACATTTGCACGCTTCCGCATACATACTTACATACATAGATACATACATACACATACCTAGACATGCATACACATACATATACATACTTACACACATATACATACGCACATACATACACATACGTACACATATATGCACATACATACACACACACATGTACACATAAATACACACACATCTACAATGTATGCATATCCATAATGCATATACATATACATCCACCTACGCATACACCTACACCCACACATGCACACAGGTAGACATATACACACACACACACACACATGCACATACACATATACTTACATACACATACACGTACACCTGCACATGCACATGCACATAGACATACATACATACACATACACACATACATACATACATACATAACACACACACATACCTACACATACATACATACATGCATGCGAGTATATGTACATATGTATGTACACACACACCTACATGTACAGACATATCATGTACATCTGTTTCTCAACACACGTGTATATGCATCGTTATATGCACATAACATCGGTATACATATTCATGTATGTATTTAGGTGCGTATATGCATATACTATACTATAGTATACAATACAACACTATACTCTACTAGACATACATACATACGCATATGTTTATGGGTGTGTCCATGTGCGTTTCTGCTTGGTCTGGGCGCATATGTGTACATATATCGACATTTCTGCATGTACATCTACCTGTGCTCATGTTCTGCAGTTGATCATGATTTCCTGTTTACGGGCCGAGGAAAGCTGCCAATGGAGACAGGAGCTTGGTGATTAACGAGGACCACCCGCGTCCTGCGTAGGTACGCTTGGCGAGAGCGGAGTGGAATGTAGCACATTCAAGATTTTGTCATTGTCACTTGGAGTAGGGCCGGCAAATTCGAAGATAGTTTAATTCCTGCCTCGCTGTTTGCTTTGAGGCCAAGCAGCCGCCAAAAGCATGCTGTCAGGTTCAAAGGCAAATTCAGAAAGTTTCAGAGCTGAGAGCTCCTTAAAATCGTTCGGGACATGATGGCGGCACTTGACCTCTGTGGACCACCGGCAATGATAAGGACAACACTTCAGAGTCAAGCACATGACGACAACAAAGGCAACGACAATAGCATCAACACCAACAGCTTCAGCTATAGCAAGATGAGCACCGGAGCAAGCGGAGCAAGCACGGCAGCAGCATGCAAGACTGATGGCAACTGAGATGCGCAAGGAACGTGTGTTCTTGCACTTCTGATTCTGCCAGGAGTCGGAGGAGGGAAGCTTCGTGGAGAGCGCTGCCAGCCAAGTGTCCGCTGCTCTGGAGTCCTTCGACGAGGCAAGCACTGCTGTGCGTGAGCTGGTCGGGCAAGGACCAAGCCTCGCCTGTGTGTCAACTTTCAGCTTTCAGCAATGTGGCTCTTCACCAAAACAGCCCAGCGACTCCTCCTGTAGCGATTGCCCTACTAGGCAGCACGTGTAGCCGCGAAACCGTGTCCAATGTGCATGATCTGGTAGAGCATTACAAATGCATACACCAGATCCGCATGGGACCGAAACCCCACATAGGCCACATACACCATAAACCGAAAATCTACCTTCTGTCGCTGCAGGCTGTGTCGCAGGGCATGAGTGCCTTGACTGCCCTATTCGAGCTCGGCAGTGTACTCCGCGGGGCTTCCGGTTTGGGGATTCCAGAAGACATGAACAGCGCTTCCCCGAATGCAAACCAGAAGTAAAGCTCATCAGGCAGTCTACCTCTGCTCAACAATCCAAACGCTGCCAACTCCAACGCACATCGACAATTCACTCCAGCCCAGTACTTATCGTCCGACCCTTCGGAAGAGACAAACATAGGTGGGCATGGCCTAAGAGAGAGTGTAGTCACACAGCCCCTGTTCTTTGCAGCGAGCCCTGCGAATTGTAAATGACGAGCAGGAGCAGAGATCTGCCACGAAGCATCCTGAACCATCAACCACAGACCTTTTGGGGATTCCTTACAGTACTGGGCCCCAAAACCCTATTCCAATTATTAAAGCCCCTATATAATAGATACCTCATAAAGCCCGTAAAGACCATGGCACCCACATTCTCGAAGGCCCAGGGAAAGCTCACAATGTCGCATGTTGTCCATGCGTCTTGCGAAGGTACTGAAAAGCTTGGATGGAGGGCTTGTCGATTGACGAAAAAACAAGCCAGCTACGAGCAAATCTCAGCCTTCACCTTGATCCCAGTCCTTCCACTGACGGAAAGCTAGCTGGACTTGGACTCTGAAGCCCTGAAGGTGCCCTCTTTGGTGGGAGCTCCTCCTCCGAGGAGGTCCCTCCCGCCCCGAAGAAGGTCGACCCTTGGCTCAGTTTATGATCTTTTCCTTTGTCCCTGCCGTTGCAGGAGTGCTTTGGCAGTGCCGTTTCTGCAGCTTTTCGTCTTGAGGCTGTGCAGGTGTGCATTTGTGTGCTTCCAACTAAAGTGCTGGTTCCAAGCCCCGATGTCGCTGGCTTTTCCTGTTCCCACATAGCTGCCACAGCTCCTTGATGTATCGAGGCAGAAGCCTGATACCAGGCACCCTTTCCTAGCCATCCAGCATCCGGGTCAATGCGACAGATTCGCAAACAACCATGGTAGTCTGACAGTCAGCCTATTTCTTCAAGAGTTGCAATAATTGGTTTGGTCCGTGAACTTTGTCCGAAGCATCCCCAACTTCTTCATGCCTCGCTGCTCAGGACTGAGCACCAGAAGCGGGGGTTTGCGGGAAGCAGACTGGAGGGATGAGCCCAGCGACGCGCGGAGTGGGTTGGAATATGGGGTTGCAACAAACGCTTTGGAATTCAGCTTTACGATTTTATTTGTGTGGTTTCGCATGGCTGCTGGATATTCCTACGTGGACTTGGAGTGCAGGACTCCACCTGACCCCGACATGGACGTAACTGAACAATTGGTGAGTAATTGAGGAAACATGCCTCGGCTAAATACTCACGCACTCAATCTAAGTACACTTACTGGAATGCATACATCTAGACTCATGCAGACATACATACATTGCAAGCATCATGTGATCGAACCAGGATTGATCTACAAAGTCGGTGCTGCGAAAAGGGGCTTAAGTATGCAGCTAACGACTGGAGCAGTAGCTTGGACCTACGATTCGTTTGGTGATGTTTTGCGATGCTCCCACGAGCTCCTGACAGAAGTACACCATTACGGCTAAGAAGCAGAGGGGAAAACTTTATCAGAAGTGTGTGCCAGTAATTTCAAGTAAAGAGACCGACGCGGGCTGTCTGGTCGGCTACACCTGCTTGTGTTTACAGATCATTGCTTGCAGGAGCGACTCAAGCAATCATGTTCCTTTCTATCAGATTCAGGCGACGTGGATCGTTTCAACAGGATTGAGCAGTCTTTCACGACGATACTGTAGCTTGTGGAGTCCTCCTTCATCCAGAAAGTTGTTGCTTGGCCGCACATGTTTGCATGTGTGGCTCATCCAGCAAACTTCGCATCCACGAGCCTAGAACCTGCGCCTACTCGTCCTTGCACTGTGAGCCACTTTGTGAGCAGAAAAATGATGACGCTTTGTGGCAGGGCTGCGGTTGAAGCATTAAGGATATCTTCGTAGCTGGGATGGTAGCAATCGGCTCTTCGCCACCAGCAAACGGAGTCAAATCCAGATAAAGAAGGTGATGCACTCATATCGTTTCCAGAAGAGTGGTTGTTCAGTCGATCAGTTGGTACTTGGGCCCGAAGCTTCAAACTCATGCTTGCAACCGACACGGCTGTGCCGGAACTTGGTTTCTGAAGCGCTGTGCATCATAGCTGCCTTATATTCCGGCCTTCTGCCGTAGCTCTAGGTAACGAATCCATCCCAACAGACGTTTAGAGCTCCAGCTCCCAAGATCGTTTAGGTCGTTGTTTTTGTTGTGCGACCCTCCAAGTTTTTCAGCTTGTGCACTGCTTTCGCAAGGAGCCCCGGCCCCTGAGAACCCTGATCAGGCTTGGATAACTGCAGACATCAGGACATGGACATGTATATGTAGATAGACACACTTGGAATTGCGGTTCGGCATGGTCGGAATGGTGGCTGATACGATAGGGTTTGAAGATCAAGTCGGGATTTAGAGCGACGGGCAGACGAGGCAAATGGGCTTGTTTGGAGACTGTATGTTGCGATTGAATCCTTATTTCAGGGCACATGACCAGTTCGACTGTGCATCGAGTTTTATTCGTATGGTTGGCCGATTTGACGAAAGCTTGGGAGGCTTTCGGAAAAGACTGCTTCACTGGATCTTTGTGGACCCGTGCTGAAACAGGTCTTTGCTACGCAGCCAAGCATTCGGTGTCTTTTCTCAGGGCTTGCTGGCCTGGAAGTTCCACTTCCCAGTTGTGGTCATGAGGCTTGTGCCCTCCATGCAAAACTGCAGATCGAAGTTGTGTCGTCTCTGCCATGAGATCCCGTGCTAGCACAGGCTGCTTGAACTCTTATGCCAAGCTCCTACAAACTCAAATCCGGCAACCCCAAAAGCCGAGCTGGAGCTCCATTCGAAGATTGATCATGATTGATCATGGGAGGCCTGTGGGCCTGCACTCCAGCAAATGCTTCGAATGCAGGGCGAGGCGTATCGGATGCTTTACTGCTGGTTGAGAAGGGATGATGGACCGGGCACGGGCACGGACAGGTGCTTGTGATTCCGCCCTGCAAACCATTCAGTGAAGGTGTAGCGCAATGCTTTCTGTTCCAACATATGTATGCTGCAAGCAGGTCAACTTGTTAAACAATGCAGTGTCGGGTATCACTACCGCTATCGCTTGGCGCTGACTTCCTTTGCCTCAAGAACCGTTGCTAAGGCAAACGGTGTAATGCGATCACAATACTACCAGCTGAGAGAAGCATCGTCATGGGTATAATAGTAGTAGGACTAGTAAGTAGTGGTAGCAGTAGTAGTGGAAGTAGTAGTAGTAGTAGTAGTAGTAGTGGTAGTGGTAGTGGTAGTGGTAGTGGTAGTGGTAGTGGTAGTGGTAGTGGTAGTGGTAGTGGTAGTGGCAGTGGCAGTGGCAGTGGCAGTGGCAGTGGTAGTAGTCGTAGTGGTAGTGGTAGTGGTAGTGGTAGTGGTTGTGGTTGTGGTTGTGGTAGTGGTAGTGGTAGTGGTAGTGGTAGTGGTAGTGGTTGTAGTGGTAGTGGTAGTGGTAGTGGTTGTGGTTGTGGTTGTGGTTGTGTTTGTGGTTGTGGTAGTAGCGGTAGTAGTAGTAGCAATAGTCTTAGTAGTAATAGTAGTAGAAGTAGAAGTAGTAGTTGTTGTAGTTGTTATAGTAGTAGTAGTAGTAGTAGTAGTAGTAGTAGTAGTAGTAGTAGTAGTAGTAGTAGTAGGCCACATGTAGTAGTAGATTGCTACAGCAGCAGCAGCGACAATAACAACAGCAATCACGAACCATTAGAAGCTCAGTTGCCCCACATCCACCCCCTGAAACACTCAAATCTCATCGTAAGCCTTTGAACTTCAAACACGAGTAGTTGGACGAGCGGTACTAGTAGTATTAGTAGTACTAGTAGTACTACTAGTAAACACTACCAGAGGTGCGAGCCGAGCTGCAGGCGCTGCTCAAGGCGGCCTTGAGCCAGCCGAGGCCATGCATCGCAAAGTTCATACCTGGCATATGCTCAGAGCTCCCCACTATAGTACCCCAAATAATAGGTTCCTTATTATAAGGACCCCAAAATAAGGTACCCCCCTAATTTTCGGAAGCTCCCATATGCTTAGAGCTATCTGATAGCAACTTTGTGGTTCAGAACCAGACGTGCAGATGTCCTGTTATTTTTCTACACCGTCCAAGCAGACACTGCGACTTTGATGTGTATGCTCATTCGCCAACAGCTTCGCCCATGCAATATTCTAAGACTACTGCATCTCACTGGTTTTTAGAGTTGTGGTTTGATCTGATGCTGGTTGTCGGCAACAATGCAGCGACGATCACAGGGGAAGGGTCTGACGAAGTGTTGCAGGCCCACACCGAGCAGCGACAACAAGGCGAGCGACACCTGGGTAGCGGAGCCACGAGCATGGAGAGTTTCTGTGTGGCTTGTGTAGCGAACGCTTCGCATGGAGCGCGGAACTTTTCTTGCTAGTTTGCGGCTCGGTGGAACACCTGGACGTGGACATCGGCATGGACAGTGAAAGTAGTCACTCAGTCGAAGGCTTTTGCTTGGCTGTATGTTCTTACTGGTGTGGCCAGCTGTTGTCTTGTTCCTTCCGAGTTTCAGGGATTTGCACTGCATTCTGCCATGCCATGGTCGGCTATGCTTCCTGTCATTTTTTCTCTGCTGTGGCTTCGGACGATGGGCAGCGACGACGGGAAGCGCCCACTCTTCTTTTGGGCTCCTCGGCTTCGTGATCTGATCGCAAAAGCCAGCCAAGCAGTTTTGGCTATTCCAAGATTTGGACACCTCTTCTGAGGGGTGTCGCTTCATGCTGTGCTTGGGATTGTCTTCGTTGTTTCCCCCGCAGGCCCGAAATAGAAGGATGTGATTGTTGACAGCGGTCGAAGTAGCTGCACAACATTGCACAACCAACTTTTACTGCATGCCCCATACCGTACGACTGTAAGCAGTAGGTTCCTGTGCAGGTCAGCCCTTCGACAAAGCAGACTTTGCAGAAGGCGAGGTGGTCGCTGAGCTGTCGGCAAATATCTAGGACGAACTAAGCTGAATCTGGCTCCTCTCACACGGCTTTGCACAGAAGTGCATGATGAAAACACCTGTCTTAACAAAAGTGGCACAAGAGTCGCAGCAACAAACACCATCACTGTCATCATCAACATCAAAGACAAAGTAGGCGGCTCGGTAGACCAGGAACTGCTAGCTTTCACAGTAGTCTTGTACACGCCCTGCAAGGTTTCACGAAACAAACCCGCCATGCAGGCAGCTGAGGAGGAAGAGGTGCCTTTGGCCGAGCTGTGCCTCGGGCGTCAGTTCAGCGCTAAGAGGGCTCTGTTCGCATGATGTTACTTTCATTCTTTCTGGGACCTGCATCAGACAGACTTCTTCGCAGCTGTAAGATTCTACAGCCGCTGCCTACAGCACCTCGCCCCAAGGCCCGCCCTCGAAAGCCTCAGCAGCTATCGTGTCCCCTCCATGCCAGTTTCGAACGCTGGGTTGCACTTCGCAGCGCTGCTCAACAAGTCGTGTTGCGACTTGTCGTGCAGAGTGGGGGTTGTCAGGAATCTCGTGTGGAAGATTGGATCTTCAACTCGTGATAGAGCTGCTCCACCTTTGCACGGCTCGATGCAGTTTCAGGAAGCCACCGGACCCCGGTCGAGGCGGTGCAGATTTCCCAACAGAGGCCGAGCTCGACGACAGCCCTTCTGTGTCACGGCTTGTTGAGCCCATGATCTGGGAAGAAGGTTTTGGTGCCTTGCGCAGACTGGTGCGCATCTTGGATTTAGGGCCTTTAGGGTTTAAGGCCCAGGGCCCTGCGGGCTCAGAGGTAAGACAGGGCCTTACTGATTCGTGGATTGTGCAAAAGTGAGGACCAAAGAGCTCCTTTCCAGGTTTCTAAACAGGTTGGGGGGTTCTCTACTATGGCTAATGCTGGGGATCCGAATACTTGGGCCTTCTGTTACGTATGTTTTCCCAGGCTTAGTGAATGGAATTGCCATCTCCCAGTCCCTGCAGATCCCTAAGAAGGAGCGGAGGGGTCTTCTTCTCAGCAGGAAGTTCTACGCGGCTGTTTCTGTCTGTGACTACATATGTCCTTCATCTACGTATGCACAAGTGCCGACAGATTCAGCATCAAGAAATCGGACCTCTAACAACATGTACCGACGCATGGATAGATTTGTAGACAGATAAACGGATGCATCGGTATGAATGACGGTCGGCGTACCGGTACAGCTATGGATGCAACTACCGAACATCAGTGTTACTGTGGGCCTCTTCTCGTGTTCTTCCTGCCAAGTTCTTGCTTTTCCTTTTCCAACAGCTGAGGTGCGCGAGCTTCTGGACTCCCTAACACCAGCACAGAAGTCTCGCAGCCCACCTGCTTTGGATTTGTAGGCCAGGGGCGGTGGGGCTCTAAGGCTTCATGGGAAGTATGTGGCCTTGGCACCACTGTTGTTTTCGTGCGGAGCATGTTTCCACTTACGACTTCTTGAATTCTGTCTGGTTGTTGGGACGGAAAGTCTGGAAGACCGAGCCGTGGATTCTCGGCCTCCGTCACAGTTTAGCGATGTCACTCGCTGCCTTGTCCCTAGCAGCACTGACGACTGTTCCAGAATGGTCTGCAGTTTGGGCATACAAGCAATACCGCCCAGGCTGCATAAGATGACGGCATGTAGGAATCCACAGGACATGATCTCGCTTCTTGAAGCTTGAAGCCAGAGCTGAAAGCAATGGCTCATTCGCCTCGAACCTGAGTGCCTGAACAGAAGCCTGATTCGAAGCTTAATTCAACCAGGCAGTCTGAGCTACTAAGACACCCCCAAGGCTATGTGCTCCATGACCTCGACCTGCAGGCCCTCAAGCACCTGGCGGACTCTGATCGCCGTGCTGTGCTGACATGGACCACAGGCGATATTGCGTTCTCGCAGGGGTGTCGGAGTTGTTGAGCTCAGCAGCCTGAGGTGTAAGTGCTGTGGGTGTTCTCCTTGGAGTGTTGAGCGCGAGCTCGCGCTTGTTGGCATGTCTTTGTTGGAGATGGGCGTGCGGGTGTCATGTTCTAATCATCCAGCTTTCTGAACGGGAGAATGCTTATAGGCTTATAAGTCACAGGAACAGCAGCAGGATTGTTTTCATGTTTTGCCCGCACAAGGAGACCCTCAAACCCACTCAGGCCGCTGGACCTTTGGGGTGAAAATTCGAAGCTGTTGAGCATGAGCATTGCCCGGCTCTCAGGTGAGCGGCCGGAGTTCCTGGCATTGGCTCAGAACTTGGCCTTGTCGATTCAGCTGAAGGCCGTCTCTGGTCCTGGTGATGTGGCCCCGGTGTTGGGCACAAGTTGAAAACCCACTTTTGAGTGCGAGAATGTTCTGGGCTGCGGGAACTCAGCACATGAGTGCAATCAAGATACTGAATCTTGGATCTCTGCTCAGCTTGCAGGTGCCGGGCCTCTTTCCACATTTCTGCGCAGCTTGCCTCTCCTTGTGTGAGAAGATGTGCCTTCGTGATTTTTGATTGGGATTCAGCGTGAATGAGGGGTGCGATTACCTGAGCTTGGTCAGACTGGTGACGTTTACGTCAGGGGCCACAATCAGCTCGCGGACTCCATTTTCCTCTCTCGGATGAGTTAGGGGAAGTGTAATCTCGATGCATTCCAAGTACTCGTGCTCAGGTGGTGGCAATGGACCATGCTGCGCACGAGGAGACTCAACTGAGGTTTCGGATCTGCTAGTTCTTGGAAGCTTGGGAACGCCCGTTAGATTGAACTGTGAGCATCCTCTTTGCCAGCCTGCCTCTGTTGACTCTTCGACAAGTTCTTACTTGTTTTGCCTGCTACTTGTACTTCATTCCTGGATTCGGGACTGGAGCTGCGTCAGCATCTTCTACATCACGTTTGAGCGTCTCCATGTGTCATCATGTGTCTCTACAAGACGAGCTCCCAGCTTATGGCCCTGGAGGAGCTGACGCGTCGAGGGGTCTGCTCGCTTCGCTACACGCGCCACATGACTCCCTCGGGCAAAGCTGCTGAGCGCTGGGATTTCAAGCTCCGGCTGCTGATGACCGGGCTCTACATCGGCTTAGAGCTCCCAGGTCAACACTTGAGCTGTCCCATGCTTCGTTCTACGACGTGCTACACTCCACAGTGTTTGTATTGCTTGTCAGTTAGATGCAGCCGGAACCTGCTGCCAACGTGGCCTGCGGTGGTTGGCGATCTTTCAGCCAATATGCCAAGGTTGCTTGTTTTGGATGCAGACAGCGTGCTGCTATCTGACCCCTTCCGAGCGGTGTGGGCAGACTCTGATTTGGAGACAGGCCGTGGGTGCTTCACGGTACCACGGCACACGGCGACATGTTGGAGTGGAAAACGCGGCAAAGTACTCTCGCCAGGCACAGACCACTTCTTCCCCGAACGAGACCTCTGGCAACCCGAGATGAGGCCAGAGGAGAACTTGAACACTGGGTTCCTGCCGCTTGGACATATCTCGATACTCTATGCATTGTCATGCTCGGCGTTTGCAAGCTTCGTGTATGAAGGGGAATGACTGAGAAGGTGTGGTGATTTCATCAGGGATGGGAACAGACTCTAGACATTGACATAATTTTCGAGCAGCAACTTTAGACACAGGATGCGAGTAGCTACTAACAGCACTGCATGGTATCGAGAGGCCGCAGCTGGCAGCAAGTTTCCCATGCGACGAACAATGAAGCCTTGTAACTGCAGAGTGAGTTCATACTGATGCTACGACCTATCTGGCTTCCCGAAAGACTTTTTTCCTAGGGGCACGAGACCGGGTCGTGTACAGCCCTGTGGGATGGAAGCTGTTGTTGATTCCAAGCATCATATCGCTCGTTCGAGGTCGCAATAAAGTCAATGAAGTGGGTTCGGGAAGCGTAAGAGTTGCGAAGCAAACCAAGCCTCTCTGGTTACACTTCAGGTACGCGGACGGCAGACGCAACTCGTCGACATTATTCTGCTTTTTGGCGCAGTTCCTCGCCTTGGTTGGTGGACATGTCTAGAGACATTTGTCAAGCCATGCCGCTATGGCTACGCCGTGCAAAATTTGCAGCCCAGGTTTCTAGAGCTTTTTGAAGCAACCGATCGCCTAGCTTTGCCTCGCGACTTCTTCGATCAGCGTGCCTCTCGCAGTGATTTTAGGGCTACTAGGATGTAGCAGGTGTGTGTTGGCTTTGGTCTGCTTCTAATCCTGGACCGTCTACCCAAGGTACAACAGGAACCTGGAGGGCAGGATCACGGTGTGCCCATCTAAAGGCATAAACAACACGGGCTAGGAGACAGCATGCTAAGAACAGGACCGGCTCCAATGGTTACATGGTCCACCGTTGCCAACGCTTGTACACCCGTCAAATCGCGCA